CCTGTGGACAGTTCATGTAGTAGGTTAGTTTTGGTACAAGTGAAACTCAGAGCTTTTCAAAAAGGCTTGAAACTTCTGTCATTCAATTTACAATGTGAAGCCAATATATAGACTACATATATAAAGTCAGATATATCAAGTTTGTTTTTGTTATAATGTTGATGATTGGCTGACAGCTTGAGAAAACCACAAACAAAACATCTCAAAATATAATATCAAAATCATCAAATTATAACAAACGCAGCTTGGCATAAGTCACTTTGCCTGTATTGAGTCTATGTCTTACACTGGTTACACATTTCCAGTTGAATTACAGAAATACGTAAATGAACCTTTTAACAATATTCTAATCGTCTAAGTTTCACCTGTATGAGTGAGGAAGTCTTGGCAGGAACTTCATGATCAAGAGTGCGGATGTATTACATTTTTTTACTGAATCAAACAAAAGTTAAAGCTGGGGTACCGAACTTCAAGGCCTCAAAATGATCACTACTGTATGTAAAAAGAAAATCCATGTAACTAGTTTGTATCTCTTAAAATGTTTACATTGATGAATTGCATTGAATGTATTTTTGATCTTTATCACATCTTTAGGTCAGTGTTTTCATTGACAAAGAGCCCTCACTCAGCCAATTAGCTCTCATTATTTAAAAGACTAAATCTAATTATACATAAAGACAGCATGGCCTGAAATGTTCACAAAATGCCACTCAAACCAGACTCTTTCTGGTGGGACAAACAAAATATTCAAAGTATTTATGAAACAAACACGACAGTTGGGTACTCCAGCTTGAAACAAATGTATATTGAATTAGAGTGAGGTGGTTGCATAGTTCTGTCATTCTAATAAGCTTATAATGATGTTTTGGTTCAACAAGAAGTATTTTGTTGAGGAAATCTTGAGCTCAACAGCTTTATGCAGCGCAACTACGGCTTGACAGTCTTTAAGCTCATTATGAAAGCGATACGGGTTTTACAATTACATTCTAATCGCCCGCTTTGAGAATCAAATGCAGCACACCTTCACTGTTTTAACATCAAATAATACAGGAAGAACATTGGCGATTTTATCCTTTGTCATCATTACGAATACCAAGTTCCAGCAGGAGGAAATACTGCCACTTGAGTGTTTCTCGGTGTAACTGCGTCATTAAATTGGTCCGGTGTCAATCAGACGTATGAAAAGGCCGATTGCATAAACGCATAAGAGATAATGAATGTCAGAAATATATTAGACATTGTCGTAGTACGCCATTAGCCCACATATATGCGGCCTGTGCTACTTCAACTGTCTAAAACGACTATGTCCAATCCCTTTACAGTGAGTCAAGGGCTGTCACACCTCCTCACACTGAGTCTCTGGACTGCTGCACTTAGTCCTGTCTCGCCCCATCCTGTAAATCCACTCTGGAGAAAATAATACCCACCTCAGTATATGCATGTGTCCGTGTCCTATAGCAACAATACGTTAAAAATGTGATTGCATTTGTCTGTATGTCAGTGTGCTCTGCTCAATGGGTCGAAGCCCGAATCTCAAAGCCATACAAAGCAGAGATGTGTTGACACTATGTTTACAACCAAGTCATTTCCATTCAACACCATCAATTTGACATGTTTTGAACTGGTTTTGGACAAATGAGGATTAGTAGAGTTTGAGATTGAAAAAACCCATTTCTCAAGCTGGAGAGTGTGGCAAGTGTTGTTCTTGCTCTAATTCTGTTCCTCCATTTGTTGCTGGCAATTGTCATGCTGTTCTCCCATAGGTTTTATTTTCTGCCATCAATGTAACGTGGTATCTGTGTTGGCCTGTGTTGTTGAGCAAGAGCGCCCTCTACAGGGAGACAGAGCTCACACGGTCTGTTTTATATCTATGATTAGGTTATGACACAGTTTTCAGTCCTACTACTACTACTATTAATACTAAAATGACTCCTACTACAACTACTACTACCACCTCCACTAATTCTGTCTATTTGTGATCTCCATTTTAAGTCCTACTACCACTACTATTACCACTAATACGACTACTACTACTACTGTCTATATGTGATCTCAATTTTTAAGTCCTACTACTACTACTATGTGATCTACCACACCAATACCTTTGCTAGTAGAGAGCCACTTTTGTTGATGCTTTTTTATTCTATATATTTGGACCAGTTTGTTGTTTCAGATCCTGTTCCTCTTGTGTTCCGTCTCATCAGACAGACTGGTTGTGGACAGTATCAGCAGGACGTCTGCAGGAAGCACATGTCATTCGTAGCATGATGTTTGTATAGACAATAACTATTAGACAAGCACATACTAACTATACTTTGCATGTGCAGCATTGAGACTTCTAGGCTAAAATAACTAATATTTATTATAAACACATTAGTATTATATGTATATAAATATGGTTGTAAAAATGTGAACATCAAAGTAAACTTTTATAAAACCGGAAATCATTGTGCCATTTTTTCTGCTGACTTTTGGTTTAATGTTAATTTTCTTTAAAGCTGAGGTGAGAGATAACCACATGCTCAGACAAGATTACAAATCATAGATGATTTCACTTGAAGAAATATTACACATTGTTTGTGTCAAGGTTGAATAATGCTTTCGCCTGCCCATTCCATTGCTACCACCAGCGGGAGGTGTAGTTTGTTTTAGGGTTTATTTTTGTTTTAAAAGGCAGAAAACTGCTGACATTGCACTGTTGCAGGACAAATTGTATTTGTGAATTGATTGCAAAATAAACATGGTTAAAAGCTCAATTTGGCAAAATATGTTCACTTTTAGATGATAACAATACCATACAATAACATGTGTTATTCACAAGGTATGTTAACTTTACCGTCATTCATTGCAAAAAACAAAGCTTGTGAGTCCTCTAATGCATATTTTATTGTTTTCTCCCCCATCTTAAAGCTTCAACTGATGTGTAATCCAAAACCGACTACATTATCACTTTGATTTGAGCTTCTGTGATTATAAAACGTGGCTAATGCACAGTTGTCCAATGTAACAGTGCTGGGCTGCCATGTCCCTGCTGTCATTTTCTGTAAACAGGATCAAGGCTTTTTATTAATCCACTTTCATGGCACGGACCTATAAGCTCTTAACATGCAGCCGGAGTCTCCCACCAGCCCATGTCCCGGACCAGAGACAGGCTCCACTGTCTTATCTGTGCTCACTGCTTGTTCTATAGAAGCACTGGTTAATTTTTCACACCACATACAAGTGTCAAATTCCAGTCAATTTTTGCCCCTATATTACAGGCATAATAACACAACTGGGTGCCAAAATGTAGCCCAGTATTTATTGAATGGCTAGTATATTGATTTGAACAGATAAATCAGGATAAGCATTAAAGCCAGTCCCGTTTTTCATAAATAAATGTTTGTCTTTGTTGAAGTAACGTTTTGAGAACAAATAGAGCTTCATCTCATTAGAAAAATATTTAATCTTTTAGAAGTGAGAAGTGATTTGGCGGATTGAGGGCTTATCTGCTCTTTTCACTGTACAAATGCATGTGAAACTAGTGAAAGGATTGAATTATGTAGTTTTAGGTCTTGTTTAACTAAAGTGGCTCAGTGAAGGTGCAAGTGTACTTAGTAAAAAACAGGCAGTTTGTTACAGTCTTCAAGATTTAAATATGTTATCACCACACAGACACATTGTTTCCACATTATGCTAACTATCAAAGGTCTGGCTGCAACCACCTTTTAATCTAGAAAATATTTGATTGTCCAAGTTCAGAGTTCAAAACAAAAAGATAAGAAACAGATAGAACCTTCAGTCAGATTTATTTTTGATCTTGAATTATGTATATTTTGCCAATAGGACAAGCAGTTCTGTCTTATTCAAAGTGACAGCCTGTAATATAAACAATAGGTGGTGAAATACATAGTTGTCAAATAGTGGTCATTGCAATTCCAACTTTTGTTGCCAGAATTGTCCTGTGACACATGTAGCTCCTTTGCACTGATTACTGATGCAATCCACCAGTTAGGGTTCGGCTAGAAACAGGATAAACTGTTTGAGGTATGACATACTTAAGTTTTCATTTACATACTTACAAATTAAAATGTCACATACTGCCCCTTTAAAGTGCAGTTCTAATGTATGCATATTTTATTTCTGTCTCTAAAAACAAATCAGTTTTGCTTGTCCCGTTGGCTAATCTTTTAAGACTGTCAAAATGTTTGCGGCTACATTTAGCTTCAATTCAAGCACAATTTGACTTTATTATTCGTTTTAAATTAGAAAATATTTCAACTATAGGAGAGACTTTATGGCACCACCAGATGCGAAATACTGGTTGGGTATACTATAAATTATACAGAATAGTTATCAATAAGTGACAACGAGGACTAAGCAAAACCAGCAAAGCAGTTTATTGGAAGACTTTCGGTATTTGAGAGGCCAGAACATCAAATATATCACATCACACACATCAGGGCTATGTTGTGTCTTTTCTTTCCACAATCCGTACCTTTGATTTGGACAATTTTCAATCAAACCCATTTTAAGGTGCTTCAAGCTGCAGCGCATTAGTTTTTGTCCATCTGCTGCTTCCCCAATGGGCCCAGCGTGTAACTAACACCCGTAACAATATGTCCCCGTGTTCATACATACATTAGTCATGCTACAATTACTGCATTTGGTCTTACATAAAACATGGAATAATAAAACATGTCAGTAGCCCTCGGATTTAAAAGTGACCAGGCAAAAAGTTTATATTTCTCTGTTGGAAAAACAAATTGAAAATGCAAAAACCAACAAAAGACATACAGTAAAACAATACTTTGGATTTTTCCAGAAACATAAATGTGTTTACTTTCACTCAGAGTCAGGACACATAAAAGAAGTACGTCTGTTCTTATTATGCGATAAATTCAGAATTTGTTTTACTAAAATATAATGATTTCATGGCACAACATTATTTATGTCAGCATCACATAGAAAACTCATGCTAAAAGTAACCATCTGAATGTCCAAAGCTGTTCATTTGGAGTTCAGTTCAGTTGCTTCATGGTGTGTTTAATGAACCATGTCTGTTCTGTGCACGGCTGAAGGACCAGCTCAAATCCAAAAGATTTTTCGCTCTCCACCAGCTCCAGACAGCGGCCGGACGCTTCGTTTATGATTGAGGAGTTCTGGAGAGCACAAAGAACAATGTACATGCAGAATATCAAATACCTGATTTTGAAATTTTTTGTAACGTTTTTCCTTTACATGGTCCAATCAGTACTATATACAGAACTTCGAATAGGTTCTGTTAATGCGACATCACAACAAGAATATAGTTTAACATTTGGTGGAGGGCGGCTGACAATATCCTCCCTGACAACCAAGTGTCAAAAGTCAGAATTATCTTTGTTTAGAACTACTTTCTCTAATTCTTGGGCCAGTCCACATGAAACAAAACAAGTCAGTTCATATCAACTACGGTCTACTTTTCTCATACCTGTTTCAAGAGGTGACAATGTAAAGAATATGCATGATTTTGGCCAGTAGCAAGGACTTAACATAATGTTTGTGAATGGAATCGCTATAAAAAATACTTAAAACTGACCTATTTGTCTTAACATCACAACTGTATAACAAACTCCACCAAAAGAGTAGGTAATGTATTCTGAATACTGTTAGACAAAAGCACTATTCTGAACACACATTCAGCAAGAGCTCCAGTGTCCAGTCTTCTCTGTCTGGTACACACTGGGGTAGTCTTGCACAGTTTTTCCGATGTGGTTTTACTGCAAATGGCAAATAAAATGTTCTTGTATCTTTTATCTTGTACAGATCATGCAAAGGATAGATTGCTATAGTTTTCCATTTATCTAACTATTAAAACTGCAAGAAACAGTCAAAACCAATTAAACAACAGATTTCCGACCTGTGAGAAGTGCCATGTCTTCTGCTTGAGGTTGGCCACTTTGTCACAGTTTTGGAGCTGGGGAAGGTTGCTGGTGTGAACGTCCACCAGGCAGTTGGTGTCTTCGCCCGTGCTGCCCATAGGTCCCAGGAACAGCCAGCCCTCTTTGGTATAACGTCCCAACTGTTAGGGCCACATTCGATTAGACGTGAAAGATTATGAATGGAATGAATCGCATCTGGTTTAAACTTTGCCATTACAACAGAAACCAATATTTGTCAATATAGTAGGTATTTATGTTATTTTTTAAGAGAAGATGTGACAAGATAAACATCAACAAATGGTGGTAGTAATGCTAATGTGGGGGACTGAATATACTCAATATTTTATTGCTGACTGATAATTATATGCATACTTCTAACCAAGAGAATCTGTACTTAAGATAAAAAATAAGTTAACAAAAATCTTAAATTCCCTAAGAATTGTGCACACTAGTAGAATATGATTTTGTGGGTTATTTGTTGAGGTAGTAACAAGGCCAGTTGCAAAGTAACATATTGCTAACACGTTTGTTTTCCTCCCCTGTGAATGAAGGCATCTGATTGTAAGGATTGACAAAAGACAATATCAAAATAAAAACTACAACCACAGATTTTTAAGCCTAAAATCTCACCAGTGGTAACCATCAGTATTCCCACAGTCACAGTTACAAACACACAATCATTCAGCCCTCACCCTTCCTCTATAATGGTATCTTGTTGACCCTGTCTTGTATCATGAAAACTGTGTCTTGTCTCATCCCTAATGTTGAGCTAACCATAGGAGGCAGTAAAAGTAATACACACTTAACAATTCAAAACAAAATATAATCTTTGGAATGATGAAAAGAACTCTAAAACCTGTAACTGCTTTGCCTCATCGTCCACCAACAAAGCTTTGGTTTTGCAAACTCACCAGGCATTCAGATGGGGGAGCACATGGCTGACTCTATGACGGTACAATACATAACTGTGACATAAGTATATTTGGCTCTGTGTGATGTGAATGTACCTGAGGGCTCCAGCCGTGACAGGGGTGCAATGTTGCTGTGTGGTTCTCCTTCATACCCTGGTCCATGCAAAGGTGACTGGCTTTAGAGTTGCGCAGCTAGAAATACATAAACATATAATAATAACAATAATAATAAAAATAATAATGCATCATTTTTTTATAGTGCTTTTCAGGACACTCAAAGACGCTTCAAATGTCATTATTCTTTCACTTCAAACACGGTGGCGATAAACTACCATAGCCACAGATGCCCTGGGGCACACTGAAGGAAGCGATATTTAACATGTACCACAAAAGAGTAAAATAATATAAGCATACTGTAGTTAAATGCAGCATGGACTATAATTTAGTCTAATGTCGCCACAGATCGCAGACATGAAATATAAATACTCACACCAAATGCTGGGGTTTTGTTTAAAAAAAAATCATACTAGCAAGAAATACCCCTGCGAGTCACTATTTGACACTTTGGGCTGAGAGTTGATTTGTGTGATGGTGGTCCTTTTTTCAAGATAATCCAAAGACTAGCGATGGAACTGTTTTGAGAGTGAGGATATGTTTTGTTATAGGGAGTCAGATTGCTGAGAGAAGTATGGTAACTTGAGCACTATCCTCTCCTCCTTCCTACTTTATCTGTTTAGCATTATTTGGATTTTGACTGTAGTTTGTTCATTGCTATTCACCCGTTGTCCCATTGTCTGTTTCATGGTACAATGACGGGATCTCTGAGCCTGGCCTCCTCCTTCTACACCTGCGGACTGCCCCGCCCAACCCGCCTGGGAGTGCTTCGGTCCTGCACCGGACCTGTCCACGTTCAGCGTCCACTGGTCCACGTTCTGTAGCTAGCTTAGGTCCTAGATCATTAGCCTGTCCGTCCGGAGGAGCGGATCCCTTTCTCATATGGGTCTCCCTCCCTGTGGGTTTCCCTAGTGCTCCCCAAGGTTTCTCACTTTTTCCCACTGGGTTTTTTAAGAGTTTTTCCTTGTCGATGCAGGAGGGTCTTGTTGGACAGTTAGTGTCCAACAGAAAGGATTGGTGATGATCAGGACACTTTAGCATTCTACAACATGTATGGACATTTTCTTCTGTGTGTGCTTTATATTCTTCATGTGTTTTAACTGTTGATTCTCTGACCTGTGTTGGTGATTTCAATGGTTTTGTTAAGTCCTCTGAGATGACTTCTGTTGTGACCTAGGGCTATACAAGAATAAATTGTATTGTATTGTATATATTTTGGGGTTTGAAAGTTAGATGCCCCAGGTTTCAAGTAAATACAAGACACAAGTTTAATATCATTTCCATGGATACTCCTATAAAAGTAACAGTTAATATTTAATGATCTATAATGAATACAGTAACTCACCGCTCCATAGAACACCGTGTTGGTGTACCTCCTCATCTCAGGGTACACATTATCCAGGTACCAATCGAAAGTCTTACACTGCAGCCTTTTTCTTAGCGCAATTCTCTCGGAAATGTCTCCAATGTCAATGCCGTGGTTCTGTAATATAAATGCAAAATCATTCATAGAAAAAAAGCTGCTTAAGTGATGAACTGTTTTTGATCCAAACACCACCTCCATGGGAATGTTCCAGGCCATATAGACGTGGGACTTGAACTCGTCCATCCAGACCTCAGCGGCACGGAGAGCGTTGCGTCGTGTGTGGACGGCGATGTTATTGATGTAGGGTTTCTTCATGCGGGCGATGTGGGCCACTCTGGAGCAGGGGAGAACCTCCATACTGCCCCCACACAGCCACACCTGCCCAGACACAGACCAACTCAACACATATGCAACCCACTGTAATTATAGTGGATATGGAGTATTCACACCCCTTTGTCAAAATGTAAACTTTTTTCCAATTTTGCCGTACTAGATAGATAGATAATTTATTGATCCCTCATAAGAGAAATTCAGGTGTCCAGCAACAGAAGCACATTATCCCTATAAGTATCAATAAACAAATACATAGTTCTAAAGGTTATTGAGGACCACAAAATTAAATAGAAGGTAGAAAGTTCTCTATGCATTCAATATTCCAGGAAACACAAAAAGGAAGAGGAACAGGTACTGAAAAATGGGGAAAACGAACATCAGAAATAATGCAAAAGAAAAGCATAAATAACTAGATCAACTAATGTATAAGTAACACATGAAACCCTCAAATCAGTATTATCTGACCCAGTGCAAGAGAAATATCCCAATGGACTGGGCCAATGCAAAAATAGTTGGAACCTCTGATTAAAGCGGAAGACTACCTCCGAAACCTATGGTAATTAAGCAGTTTTAGCTTCTTAAAAGAACCCTTTATCATTTAATTGAAAATGTGTGTATTTTCAATTAAATGTAAAAGTAGGCTCGGACACTACTAGGTGTGGTGTATGCTTAACTGTACTAATTCCAGGTGATGTCTTCAACGTAATAAAACAGAGCACACTACGGAAAACCCAATCCTGAATTGAAAAGCATTCATGATTTTGAGCTTTTCTTATTAGTCAAATGAATAGTGCGGTGTGCAAAAGTACGTCCTTCCTTTGTGGTCCATTTGTGTGCAGCTGTGTAGTGTAGTAGTAGTAGCGGCTCTTAATGGGGCTCATTTATCAGTGCTGCCAGGTTAGACGGGACACCCTGCCCTACTTCTACAAGGGTCAAACACTGAAGAAGTAGGTGACACACATACCCTTATGCCCAGCTCGATGTTCTCTCCTCCATAGACGTCCATGCCAGGGTCCAGCAGGCCGAGGTCGCCAAAGTACTCCCGGTTAACAACAAATGAACAGCCGATCATGGCAGGACTCCTGGGAAACACAAAAAATCGGATCAGGACAATGCAAGTTTACAAAGTACTATTAAGCACTATTAGGAATTCCCATAGCATTTTTTTGTATTTAAAGATGCAGTCAGTGATTTTTTCCAGAAGCATTTTTTTAAAGTATTGTGGGAAAACGTCCCTAAAACCTAAAAGTATTGACGACTTTTATTATGTGTTTTCAAATAGTAATGGAATTGAGCAGATGCCTGTAGTCTCCAAAAATTAATAAAAAATATTTTGGAGTGGACCCATAAAAATAAACCAATGGGACTCGTTCATCCCCAACGAACCAATGGGATGTGTTTACCCCCTTCACCCTCTTCCTGTTTCTCGCGAGTAGGCGCACCTGAGTTTTTGGATTTTCTAAAACCTAAAAGGGCTGAACAGAAAAGGCCAATTTCACGTTTGCCACCCACTCTCCCTGTTGTGACAAAGAAAAGAAAATGCTGGATGTTTGGTTTGGTGGAGAGGCGAGGGGAGGGGGGAGTGGTTTCGAGTTGGTGCTACGGCTAAGCTAACAAAATGGCTTACTGCTCCTTTAATGAAATCACATTCCCCAGGAATTCCCATAGCACTTTGTTTGTATTTATGTAAATTGACTATCCGCTGCAACAGCCATGTTGTGTCCATTTCAAACATCTCTTCTATATGCTTTCATTTATCAATTGGTTCACTTAAAAGGTATGTTGCTATCCTCTCCAGTCAATAAATAATGCTTTAAGATGGGAAGTGTTATGGACAAATGTTGATAATTAGCATGGTCTTGCTAAAACACTAAAAGGCAGTGCATCTGGTCTGTCCAATGAAACTGTTGTGTTCAAATCAAATAAATAAAGAATGGGAAGTTTGTGATGCTGAACATTTTACAATCAAAGACAAAGGCTTAAAATACATGCCTGATGGGGGCGCTCGTGTCTCCGTCGTCCCACCACTTTTTGGGTGGGCTGATGTACATGCACCAGAGCTCCCAGTTGTAGCCGTGGCCAGAGTTCTCATAGCGCTCCAGGTCAAACGTGTCATGCTTGATGTTGTCGATTGAAGGCAAGATGATCCTCCGGTGGTCGTCTTTGATTCGGGCCAGAACCGGCTCAGCCCTGGCAAAAAGTTACATGATGCATCTTTCTCCCAATTCTCCCAATGAAAATAATCAAAGTATTTCCAAGTATGTATGAAGTGGCCTTTGGCATGGTACTCATATTTTACAGTGACAGCGTACAATAAACATTGGCCAAAAATAAATAATTCCAAATAATACCTGCCGCCACTGGGAAGGTTGATGTAAGGTATAGTATACTTCAGTGTCCCTGTGTCCCAAATGTCCCATTTGACCCTCCTTCAATGTCACTAGAGCAACCCATCAGGAGCAGTGGTAGCAACGGTTCAGCAGTCAAACATACTTTCACTCCCTTCGTTTTGGGTGGTTGGGAGAAACCAGAGAGCCCAGAGGAAACCCACTCAAATGCAGGAGAAATGCCACACAAAAAGGCCTGGGTCGGCATGAGAATCACACCCGCAATCTTTCTGCTGTGCTGTCTGAGTACTACCCACACATGTCTAGACCAAAGACGGCAGAAAAAAGTATAAGCATAGATTACAATAAAATGTGAGTTTTAAAAATTAACCTGATGTACGATAGAATTTAAAAGTCTTTGAATAAAAATGTGAAGTTTATTTTTTTTGTGGCAAAGAGAGAACTGGAAAGTGTATGTCTTTCCATGGCCTCGCACCAAAGTCCATCCATGACATGTTAGTGCCATATGAACCATCTCGCACTCTGAGGAGCACAGGGACTGGGCTCCTGCTGGTGCCCACAATCAGAACTAAACATGGAGTCAACTTTTCCTTTTCCAAATACTGTAGTATATGTGAGCATGATCCCATAAGATCCCAGAAGCTAAGCCTATTTCCCTTCTTTTTTTGTAAAGCACTTTGCACAATTCATACTCAAAGCAACTCAAGACAAATAAGCTTTCCTCGCCTTGTTCTATAATAGTAAATATCAACATTCATTGCTGCTTTATCACAGCAATATAGAGTTTAATCCCAAATGTGTGCATCCAAATAACAAGGCTGTAGTTAAAATATTGCACACAGAACAGATGTCTTTTGAACATCCCCACTCCCCCTTCACTCACAAAGTCCCCAGAGCAGCAGAAACTTTATTACCAATTCTATTTCATTCTGCACAGCTCTGGAGGGCATGTGTCTGTTTGTGCTGAGTGAAAAGGTTGTGAGCATTTCTGAGAGCAGTAAACCAATATGAGTCCAGTATAACAGTGTCAGCGCAATAATGTACTGCTTACACATTGTGGACGGGTTTTTATTTCAGTGTATGAACTTTTGAATGCCTTTTTTAGTGGCTCTGCATTGTATTTGTCTTAAAAGTGAGAGGTACTTTACAGGACACAATATTATCCTTGTGTTCAAAAGTAAAATGCCAAAGGACACAATGATTGCGTTTACAAAGCATAACAATACAGAGTACGCCCAAAAATTGCACTGAATTTTAATGGGACCGGGATGGGATTTGTCAGAACGGTTCTGCCGCTTGAAGCTATTTGGGTGTGCTCAATGGCTACTAGAGATACACTGATTGTGAAATTTTGGGCTGATACCGATGTTTAACATAACAACTTGGCCAATGTTTTTCTCTTTTTGTTATTTATTTATATTTCAGTTTTCAGTTTTTCTTCAGCTTGCATGCAATCGCTGTACACTGCCTCAAGCTTGCTTCTCAAAAGTCCAATCAGATTTGTTGTGTTAAAGGATTTTATAGCATACGTATTGCAAACTGCATAACACTAATCTATTTCTGATACTGTAAAATATTGCCAAACGACCGCTGCCATCTTTTTTGTTTCTTCTACTGAGGAAAGTGCGCGGACACCCTACCGGTATCACTTCACACGTGTCTACCATCTGCAAATGTCGTTTTTATTTGCCGATGGACGATGGTAGGTAACAAGGAAAACATCGGGCGATACTGATGTTCAGCTGATGCATCCCTCTTTCCCTCATTACTCAAACTTTGCAAATGTAAATTACACAACCGTATGTTTAATTTGGGTATTTTATCTTCACATATTGTTTGCTCAGCTGCTGCAGCAAAAATCATCAAATTTCCGTGGGGCTCTTAATGATTCCTGTTAAGTTTTGTTCTAGCTTTGCGAAAGTGGACAACAAAAATAGATACAGTGAGGGACCATGTATTGATTTCAAACAGCACAAGTATCTGTCCAAACACATACGATGTCTCATTCCATTCCTACTGCAGAGTACACATGCAGCTCAACAGCATTAGAATCGACGTGCAGCAGTACCTCGGGATGGACAGGTTATTCACACCTCCATTGCAGTCGATCAATCAAAATAAATAAGAGTAAGTGGAGGATTCTGCTTCAACCAATGCTTTGTAAATGCACTCAATGGCCATTTGCATTTCACAGCCTCAGTCAATATGGTTCTTGACCCAAAGCAGTCTCTCATCACAGGATTAACCAGGCCATGCACTGCTGAGCCTCTAAGATTTGACGGGATCAGGCTCTGACGATCATGTGCAGCCATTGTGTTTTCACCTGCACTTTATAGCAACCAAGTGTGCCATTGCTTTTGTAGGGGGACACTGTAGAAATCGGGATTGTGTCGTCATTGAGCCTAATGTTCAGTTCTCCCACTTTTAAACCAATAGAGACTTTAATTCACTAAATACTGATCATAACATCTAAACAAAAATATTGTTGACAGTTTGGTGTAGGATTAAGAGCAAATCATCTCATTGATCCATGGCCAATAGATCAACTTTGTTTTATATTCTTTGTCCAATGCATTTTTAAAAATGTTTGGTACATATTGCACATAGTAAATAATCTTTTATACAAAGCCTTATACCAGCAAACGTCTTAATTTTTTTTTTTTTTTTTTTTTACAGATGGAAACATTTAAAAGTACTTGATTTTCCTATAAAGGCCTGTGCCAGTTGGACTCACCAGTGTGGAGTGAACTCCACGTGTGCATCAAAGAAGCCAGTCACCTCGCCAGTGGCCGCTTTCCAACCTTCAATTCTGGCACGAATTAAACCCTCTCTTTTCTGGTTCCTCACTATTTTCACCAGACCTGGATACCGCTTTTCACATACTCTTCCAATGGTGCTTTCAGCTGCTCTGTAATGAAAACAACAGAACAACATGACTGTTATACAGACATGAAGCCCAGAAGAAGAAGTACAGTATCTTGAGTCATATTTGAGATTCAAAAGTGTCAATCAAAAACATAGATGGTGACAAAATCTCCAAAAAGAGCAGCTCGCCCTCGACTAGATGACATTCAAGCATTTTAACTTGCCTTGTAGATAACACTGTCAAAGCAAAACTCCTTCCCACACTGCTCTACTGCTTGTTTTCTTGACCAAATAAATCATTATTATTGATACTGTTTGCATCATATCTTTGCTTTAAAACTAGACACAACAAGACAAGGCCAAAGAACTAACCACATCCAGCATTAGGATGAGAGAGAGACAGCAGTTTTCTCCTTGGACACTTTGTCTTGTGTTTTCGCGGGAAATGCACAGGTCCACTCAGGCCAAAGTCAAGCTCACAGTAGTTCCAGTGTTTAGTAGGTCTGCCTCAGGGTCTGTACCTGGTCAACATGACGAGAACTCTCCTCTAGGACCATTTAGGAACTCAATATGGAGGAAGAGTAGATGTCTCTGGATCACTTGTTGAAATTTACACCAAGGAAGAGGCTAGAGATCGGTGTGAGTTTAACCACAGCCATGTTCATGATATCAAATTGGGTATTAAACAGTTTTGCCAAAAAATATAACCACCAGTATGAACATATGACAGTCTAACAGTCTATGGTTTGTGGATTATTCATTCCCAGAGACACTTATGGTAAAATCGACTCTTTTGACCACGATATAACAGTTTTCACTCGTCAAAATCCATCCATGCCAATCAGGAAATTCGGTTTAGAAATGCACAATAGCATGTCTGTGTTTGCGGCTGGTAATTTTTTAATTTGAAAACAAAAACCAAAAACATTCAACTCCGTCTGGTGGTCGTAGAGAGAGTTCCAGACAGAAATCATTTTTTATACTCTTGATATGAAATAGAGTAAATAGTTACATCAAATAATGCAAAATATTAATTTTATATGATAACATGAGATTTGGAATCAGTGGGATTGCCATGTTCTTTAAGTATTGTGTATTAGCAAACCTGCCTGAAATAGTTCCATTAAATTATGTAGTAGCAAATAATGTGTAAAGGCAGGGGAGAGAGCCTCATTTCCACCAGCCCGACTGAACCCTGATTGGGAGCATTTCCACTGGCCCCGTTTAACCACATCAAGTACTTTGTTAGAACCTTCTTAGCCAAAGTAAACATACTGTAGTCTTTACATTTACTGAGTGTGTGAACGAATGATTAAAACTGAATAATCCCATCCAATTGAGTGCAATTATGAGTCTAGTCTGTTTTCTTATGCCTTGTAAAACGCACTCATCGTTTTGTTTGCAGGAAGATTATCCTTCTGCGTTCTACTGCAAAATACTAAAGTACCGCTCACTTTTGACACAAATCCTCTTACAATGCAGAGGCACTGAAACAGTCCTTGACGAACTGGTGCTGAAGTGTTCTAACTGCCGACTGCTGGAAGCCATGATTACCAAAGAATGTCCACGGGTACTGATGTGCTGTAAGTAGGTTGCTAGGGGTTTGGTACCAGATGTTAAAGCGTAATGGAAACACAACCAGGAAGAGTAGAGCCGAGTGAGGCCAAGTACGGGCTGGGGATTTTTTTGTTTTTGTATCTATGTATTTGTATCCTATCCATGGATTCTTATCCATGCATTTGTCTCCAGTAGGTTAGACTACTGCAATGGCCTGCTCACAGGTCTGTCCAAACAGGCTGTAAAACAGCTGCAGTACATTCAAAATGCAGCAGCTCGACTAGACTAGCCTGACTAGAACCAGGAAGTACGACCATATTAGTCCGGTCCTCAGGTCTTTGCACTGGCTTCCTGTGGCTCAGAGAATAGACTTTAAAACAGCTTTGCTTGTGTACAAGTCTCTCCATGGCCTCGCACCAAAATATATTAGTGACATGTTAGTCCCATATGAACCAGCCCGGACTCTGAGGAGCACAGGGACTGGACTCCTGTTAGTGCCCAGAGTCAGAACTAAACATGGGGAGGCTGCTTTTCAGATTCATGCTGCTAAAATCTGGAACAATCTTCCTGAAGATGTGAGACAGGCCTCCTCTCTGACAATGTTTAAAACCAGGTTAAAGACAGTTCTGTTTAGCTGTGCATACAACTGAGGGATTGTATATCTTATATTTTTATCTTCCTTTTTAATGTTCTGTGATTATTTATGATTTTAATGCTTTCTTGTTCAGCACTTTGAGTTGCCTTGTGTATGAATTGTGCTATACAAATAAACTTGCGTTGCCTTGCCTTGCCTTAGAAAAGGTCCATGTCTTTTGTGTCTTATTCCATCACAAATTCTCAATAGTTAGGTAGAAATAATATTCGCCCTGTCCTTGACATTAGTCTCAAACTTCAATGCATTTGTGTATCAAACTTCACTGTAGGAGAAGACAACTTTGATCTGAACAGGAACAGCAACTTCTGAGCCATGGTTTTGGATCTGACGAATTTAAAATAGCAGTCGACACACAGAGAATTACAAACTATCCGACGAGTGATTTTTTTAAATCTCTTGCAGTTTTCAACATCCTGTGTGCTTGAAAAGTCTAATTTGTTCAGAGTAAAAATAACATATTCAAATGAGTAAGAAAAGTGCAATTATATGAAAAGTGCATTTATGAACGATTAACGTGTGCATAGAATTCTAACCTGTTTTATAAACTAGTTTGACTTACCTTTTTCACTAAATTCTTATAGTCAGGCGATGATGAAAAGATACTTGTTCTAATATTACTAATAATATTTTCATTAATCTAAATTCAAGTATTTTTTGCTGGTCTTTTGTTTTGTTTTTTTGGTTCACAAAGAGCTTAAATAATTGCAGTCTTAGAAATGTGCGGCCACACAAATTGCCTTTAGATTGTGATTAATTGTGCATGTAAAAGATGCAACAAAAAAGAATGTCTTGCACAATGTATTGCATCATGGTTTCCAATATTATGGTTGGTGAAATTCTGATCAAGTACTAAAATAATTTACATTTCAATAAACCTATATTTTTATTATTATTATTATACTTTGAATTCACTGACCATCGGTGCTGTTGTCATCCACCAGGACGATCTCTTTGAGCAAATGAGCCGGAGTGTAGTTGACGGCTGAGTGGATGGAGCGCAGAATCACAGACAGAGCCTCGTCCACAAAGATGAAGATGAGAGAGAGCTGAGGAAGATCTCTGGGGTAATTCAGAGTCTTACATCTAAAAACAGACACACAGCATTGAAATAACACAATACATTCTGCACCTGAATGTTGAAAGGTTAGAACATTTCAGCGATGCCTTTACTGTATATTCAAGATAAATGTTTGTGGCCCCAAAACTCTGTACTTCAATGTCAAGGTTCCATTGAAAGACAGATTTTTTTTTTCAGGCAACTTTTCTTTGTTTAATAGATTATACGATAAATGTATCTTTCTCATGCCTCTCAGAAATGATCTTATGACCCTGTGCTCTCTTGTCAATAGAGCACAGGGAAAACTGTCACTCTGGTGCCTCTCTCACATTCTATTAATTGAATTGTTTTATTTTAGAGTTTTATTAACGTAACTGTGCATGTTTATAAGGGCCTATTATGATTGTACTCTGTGTGTTTTGTTATTGTACTTTGTGAAGGGGGTGACAGTGGCTCAGTTGGTAGATCATTGGCCTTTGGGCCTGAAGGTCATAGGTTGAAGCCCACCACAAGGACCTACTTCACGACTCCCACTGATGACTGCTGTCGTTGTGTCCTTGGGAGACAAGGCTCCTGTGGACTCACCACCTGCAGGAGGATCAGTGAGGGGCTGGTGCTCTGTGTACTGGGTGCAGCTCTGACTGCCACCCCCCCGACGCAGAAATGGATTAAGGGGAAGAAAATGGATGGATGGATGGATGGATGGATATTTTGTATAACCATTGAGCCTCTCTTTGTAAATGTAATGGTGCTGGTGTTGGGATGATCTATGTTAGTGTGACAAGCCTCATGCTAATTTAAGAAACAGTTGAAGATGAGGCAAGATAATAACGAGTTATGAATAATAACAATAACTTCATATCATATCATGTCATGTCTGATTTGTTTTCAAATATGACAACTGAAATATAATTTCTAAAATGCACCAGATCTAGAAATCCATATAATTTTATGCAAACAATAAATGTAAGTAGATAATAGAATTACATAAACATATCTTAATCTTGGATTATTTGTGAAATGGCTTCTTGCTTTGTGCATTTGCAGGATTTCCACTAGTGCTGTTGTGCCTCCAGTCAAACAAAGCAGCTCTCAGAGAACGAGCTGCTGTGAAGCCTGAACCTACACTTCCTACAGCTCTGAGATCCACACGACAATAAAAGTCTGTTACGAACACTGGAATTCTGAGCCCACCGCTCATAAAACACTGAGACAGACAAAAGAGTGGGTGCTCTCAAAACCGACTCAATGATCAGTTTTACAATTGGATAGTTATTACACAAGACATTCTGTTTTATGAATCCATTTATTCAAGTTATTGAATAAATGGATTCATATTTATATTTCAAGCTATTTACTTGACAAAGCTTCAATAAATATATGTTTTATGTTATTGTTGTTGTTCATTTCAAAATCAAAAGCTTGATTCCATTTCAAGAATTTACTATAATCTATGCAGGTGATGTCACCCAGAGAGACACAAGAAGAGCCACTAAGAATTGTTTCTTTTAATTATGATTTTTCATACAAAAATTTTTGGAATGATGGTGTTATTACCTGAAAACTATGTAATTATATAATTAGGAGGAAACAGAATAATTATGAATAAAACATACATGTTTTCATCATTTCAGGTTTATATCCCTTATAATGTAAAATATGCATTCCTCTTTTTGTGAAGTGGTCTGATACCTGCCTCTTGCAATAGATAATAACACTCAGTTTGGTTTCAAACATGTACATTCCTCTGTGCTTGGGCTACAGTGAGAAGACTGGACTCTCCACAGATATCACTTATCAAAGTGCAGTCAAATGCGTGTTTCAAACATTCAAAGGAAAGTTGATTGACAAACTATACAAATCCAGGCAAATAAAACAATTAGATGAATCTGAGCAAAGAGAGGACCCGCCACCAGGACAACTGAGGAATGTCACACCAGCGTTTACAATAAATGAGGTGTCAGCATGCACTTACTGACTGGGCCGGTGGTCCGGTAGGCTGCGGTCCAGGGAGACCCGGTCACTGAGGTAGGCGTTGTAGCCATATTTGTCCTTCAGTGGTTTAGCGTCTATCTCCTCCAGCGGGGACAGAGTAGCTGGAAGCCCACCTTTACCCCGGCCTCCAAACCCCTCAATCAAGCCAAGAGATTTGGAAAGTCCTGGTGTGGAGAAAGGATAGTCTTCTCAAAAACACATACACAGGTTTCATAAAGACATGGGATCATTCTCTTACCGTTGAGCTGCCTGTACACCACATCCTCAAGCGAGCTGAGCCTTTTCAGGAGCAGATCATGGCTGATTTCAGACTCTAACGTGGTCCCGTTGCCTCTGAACCTCTTCCCTTCAGCCCCACTGTCCATGTCGCTGACTTGGAAAGTTCGTGTGTTGCATGTGGTCCAAAATGCCATAAAGCCACCGAATGCAAACACGTTCAGGACCAATAAGACTTTCCATCGTCTGAACAAAACAGCCATGAAAGGTGCAGCCGACCAGAATTGAACAGGAAAACTCTGAGCAGGAGACTACTCCACCAAACCGAGGACTCGATCACCTTTGAAAGTGCAAGATAATAGTAAGTATTCTTTATGTATATACCGCCTTTCACACACCAGAGCCACAAAGCAGTTTACATTTGTTATTTTTTGTGCACTTGTCCTCTCACTGCACACAGAGATGGAAGGGGGCAGAGCAAACCTACACAGACACAGGGAGAACATGAAAACTCCACTCAGAAATGCCCTGGTCCGACCGGGATTCGAACCCAAGACTGAGAGGCGAGAGTGCTATCCATTCAGCCACCGTGCCGCCGTTCATGTCTTCCAATACAGGAAGACAGGAGCATAAATGGGCAAGATAAAAAAGGATGAATGGTTAAGGATTATGGTTATAATAACTATCGTTCATCAATAACTAAATGTGATCTTAAGTAAAGACTTAACTGTGTATCCTGGAGGTAATAGGGACACATTTAATCCAATTAATTAGTCAATAATGAATGTGTATTCAGGAGACAGAGTGGTTTCAAGAAGAAAAGGTTTGTCCATTTGGGTACAGAGGTTTGAAGGCTGGTCCCCATGTGCTCTTTATTTTAAGTCATTAGCGAAAGGGATCCAACTAGAACAGATGTTAAACAAAGATAGCAGCATATGCTTCAGGGCATTGCCACCCCGCTGAATACAAGTTTCCAATGTTATCCCGCTTCAGTGATGCGACTGAAAAAGAAAGAATACCTTTTGCCCTATGGCCCAATCTCCAACGTGATGCTCTCCGACGCTGCCTACAATGCACCCTTTAGCTCCAAGCAATGCGGTTCACATGATCTCATAGTGCATTTGTCCTCGCAAGGTGTCACTCGGAGGCTGAGTGACAAGTGGACTCGAAGACAACAGCATCATTCAGAGCGCCTCGGATGCAGGTAACAGCAGCAGCAGCAGCAGCGTGCGTAAAGATGCGTCCCTTCTCCACGGGCACTCCTTAGATTCTAGTCCATAATCGGGGGACAGCTTGTGCCTCAGTCTCTCTCTGTGCCTTTGCTCTGTGGTTCTTCATATAAAAGAGTGTCAGTCTTGTCCCGGTGTTGGCGGCGGAGGAGCGCGGAGAGCCGAGTTTATGGTCGGAGGCTGAGGCGAGGGAAGTGGGCGGGGCATCCTCCCAGTGTCTCCTCCATGTACCGTCTCAAAGCGGCTTCTTTTCCAAGGTTTGTCAAACTGTGGCCCCTGGGAACGACCAATATTTTTTTTTTACCCCTCAACCCTCAAGGAGCCAGTGATAGCAGTAATAATAATAATAATAATAATAATAGTAATCATAATAATATTGGTAATATTAATAGTAATAATAATGATAGTATGAATCGTAATAATAATCATGATAATTTTAATAATAATAATACATATTTGTTTTGAAAAGTGTTGTACAAATATGGTATTGACCAAGAGCTGCACAGTCAGTAAAAACAATAAAAATAGTCAATAAATCTGTCATTATTGTATTGTGTTGAGACGGAATTAAAGACCTGCTGGCTGCTCTGACTGCTGAGCTTGTTGTACTTTGCTTTGCTTTTTGTGCGTGCGTGTGCCAGTGTGAGGGGGAAACGGCAGCATCCACACCGTTTTATTCCTCTTTGATCTGGCCCCTGAAGCTTCTCATAACCTCGAGCTGCTGTTGGGTCCAAGATCAGAGTCAGGTGTCATTCTCCTTTTTTTTTTTTTCTTTTAACGAGAAATCCAAAAGCCGTCAAAACTGTTCACATTGTAGATGAGCAGTTCCAGTCTGCTCTATCCACATTTTAAAGAAATTTACAACAATCAAGCAATTCATCTTTTCTACTGTACAATAATCCTAATAAACGTCTATGCTGTAGCTCCTAAACACTGAGTACTAATGCATTCCACCTGCTGGGGTTTAGCTAGAGACAGTACCAACTTGTATAACATATCACTACTTATTCTAGTATACTTTCATTCAAACTTATGTGTGGTGCTATTTTTGTTGTATTTGTTTGTTCTAAAAACCAAATACAAGATTTTCCTTCATGATGCTCAATGACATGTTTTCTGGAGTCATCAATCAATCAATCAATCAATCAAAGTTTATTTGTAGAGCGCCTTTCATACACAGGGCAACACAAAGCGCTTCACAGTCCACATCACAAATCATCACATAAAACAAACACCAGAATCACAATTAAAACATTAAAATCACACAAAAGATTAAAACACAATTAAAACATTAAAATCACACAAAAGAATAAAACCATTAAAACTTTCAAAATTACACAAGAAATTTAAAAAAAATAAATAAATGACAGCAGTGCATTAGAAATGGAGATAAAATCCTTCAGTTGTATGCACAGGCAAACAGAACAGTCTTTAACCTGGATTTGAACATTGACAGAGTAGACGCCTCCCTCACATTTTCAGGGAGATTGTTCCAGATCTTAGCTGCATGGATCTGAAACGCAGCCTCCCCATGTTTGGTTCTCACTCTGGGCACCAGCAGGAGGCCAGTCCCTGTGCTCCTCAGAGTCCGGGCTGGTTCATATGACACCAACATGTCACTAATGTATTCTGGTGCAAGGCCATGGAGAGACTTGTACACAAGCAGAGCCGTTTTAAAATCTATTCTTTGAGCCACAGGAAGCCAGTGCAGAGACCTGAGGACCGGACTAATATGGTCATACTTCCTGGTTCCTGTCAGGACTCTAGCTGCTGCATTTTGGATGTACTGCAGCTGTCATGTCTCGAGGTGGCATCAAATGTTGTCATGAAACACATTTTCTGGATAACATCTATAAAGGATTTTATTATGATCTACATATTATAACTAGTAAAATGTTGCTGTATCATAAAACATACACTCTAAAAAAATGGCATGTTGGATTTCATTCATCACTAATTATTAATTGTTACACTTACCAATTAAAACACAAACTTTATTCCTTAGAAGATTTTGTAACATTAATAATTAATCCTAAAAAAGAACAGTATCAAAATTGGTATCAAAGTGTGAAATATTAGTATGGTTTGGTTCGACTGCTGTTGGCGAATCAACCATTTTATGACGCCCTTCAAGACCACTGCATGATGAACAAATCTTTGTGTTAAGAATCTTATAAAAGGCAAAACCCAAATTTCTGCGTCCAAAATATACAACACAGTACATCATTTAGAAACGGAGAAATGAACGATATTCAAATTTCAACTGGCTTCATTCTTCAGAAAAGCACAGACGCTTTGATTTAAACGCAATAAATAGTATTTTCATTAAATGATGTTGCAATATGCATGACTTCATTTGCACGGAGCACTGCAAAAATGGGTCACCCAGATACGAGCTGAGCAGAGACACAAAAGGCAAAAAAGAGATCAACAACCAGCAGCAGAACTACATCAAGATCCGCACAGAAAGACAGGAGCGAGCAACAGAGGAGGCGGGCTCTGGGGACACACACAGAGGCTGCAAAAGAGATGACAGCTAAAAATGTGATATTGTGACTGTGGTAGATATTTATTTTTAGAAGAACAAGTGGGGAGTAGAAATTGAACAGAGGGACCTAGTCGTTGAAGTGCTTGACATTTTAGACTTAATTTTTCACAAAACATAGATGAAGAAAGATTCTAATAACTAAGGTTTTGCTATAGATTATTATGGATTTTCCAAATTTCATCCCAGTTTGGCCATAATTTGATTTTAACATAATTTCACTTTCCAGTTGTCTGAGTAATCGTGTACTAAACTGGGCCTAAACTGTTCCATGTAGCAGGATGTAACAAAATTATACTTTGATTTAGTGAAAATCATTTAAAGCTGGGTACCTAACTTTCAAACAACAAAACATTGTGGTTGACTAAAACAGTGTAGTTCCTGGCTCTAAAGTAATTTGGTTCTCTCACTAGTTTGTCCTCATCAGCTTTCTCAGAAATGAATAAACATTGCCCACACAGAGCATCTCCTGGTGTTGTAAGATATGACAAGAGAACCAGTATTTCAGTGTTCCAGCACACAGTACAACAGCAGTTTAGGAGTAAAAGTCTTTGGATCAACTTCAGCACAAGAATGTTTTGTGTTGACAAAATACTGCACAAGGTTTCTGTGTCCAAGGAAACCTCGTGAAGGACAATACTCCAGCATAAAGATTAGATTAAGCTCCTAAATGATAATGACTCCATGAACAAATACAATAGATAATGGATGTAGACATGCAGTGTGTGAGGCAGCACTATGAGGTCAAGCAGCTGAAATACTCAATGCTTATGAATAGAAAAGAATTCTGGATACTTTTATATTATATACAGCATTGGATATTTCAATATGTGAATTCAAATAAGTGGTAACCAATTGTAATTGGTTTATTCATCAAATAAAGGATAATCAACATAAAAGGCAAATATATAAATATGACCAAAATACATTAAACAATATCAGTAGAAAAATACAATTAATGTTTTTGCAACATATTTTAACAAAATAAACTTTAAGGCACTATTGGTAACTTATTTGTAAAAAAATATTTGTATAAAATGGCTGTAAGTGAATAGAACAGGGCAAGCGCACGGTCTCACTTATTTATGGATGAGATTTTCCAATTACAGTGAAAGTAATGCTAACCTAGCATGTAAAAAAACACTATAAAAATAATGCAGTCTAGGCTGTCTACTGTAGAAAATGTTTTTAGCACTTGAGAAATGTTATCAAAAATAAAGTCCTGTTCTCTTCTCTGAGTTATAATGATTTTTTTGGACATAGGGGACAACGTGCTTCAGTGATTTAGGCTGTCCCAGTTAACACAGCGCTGCCGGGCAATAGGCTCGGACCTGCATGTTATGTAATTCTTCTATACAACATGAGCCTGTATAAGACAGGGATACAACAGAACTTCTGCATTTTATAACTAGACTTTTTTTTAAATTAGTAAACAATCCGTAAAGCTTGTCACTATGTTGTAAGTGTATCACACACAAGAGAAAAACATATCATGGATATTTTTGCAAACTGGAGCGTTTACTGTTCAAACCGCCTCAGTCGTTGCAGCCTCATCTCTTCGTGAGAGAGTTGGAAACCGTAAGGAGGTGCAGGTCTAGGTGGTTCTATAAAAACACAGCATCGGTCAATTCATATAACCATTGGATAAATTATATCAAACAATGCAAGCTATACCTACCCCTTTCATTAAGACTGTTTCGGATCGCTCTCTCCAACTGCTCCTCCTCTGTCAATGCCCCCGTTAGGTCTGGGGAATTGTGTGTATGCATGTTATATCCACTGTAGTCTGTAAAAGTGAAAATAAAGGTTGTTTTTTTTGTTTTTTTTCCAAATTCTTCATGCAGACACACTGATACATACTAGGAGAACTGTTTTGTGCCCTCTGCCTGAACCCAGCTCTATTAGATGTCACCATATCTGCACATATAACAAAGTCCAGAAAGTCTTTAAGGTGTGCTTCAGATGTATAAAAAAATAAAAACATTGCAATGATTAAAGGTTTGTGAGACCTGCAAATTTCTGCATAACAGCCTTCAGAGGTCCTGACGTGTAGAGCAGTCCTACAAGGATGCCTGACAAGTGACCGATAAAAGAGGTACTACAAAAAACAAAGCAAATGTATAATTGCATCAGCACACATGATTTTAAACAACTACATGAATTAGCCTATTTTGTATTTATCATCAGGTACTCACCCAGGTGATGTAATATGGATCAGCACTAATTCAGCCCAACTAGCATAGCGGCTTGAGATTGGAATACCCATCACATAGGACACCGACCCGGGAAAATAATGGTTGACAAGAACCTTAAGACCAAACAAAACCCCTAAAAAACAAAACAAAAGCATTTTGGGGGAAAAATGTTTGTTTCTATTCTATACAGTTATTCTGAAATGTCACTTTGATTGTACCAGAAAAGCCAACTGCACATTGCATGCTGAAGGAGTAGTCCTGAGTGAGCTCCGTTAGTGCACCCTCCAACAACACGTAGACCAGTCCAGTGAGGACAGAGAACACCGTCAGCACAAACAGGAAAAACGGTCCCCCGAGAAGTCCCTCCAGCCTCTTGCCTTTCCACAGCAGTGACACCATGTTGAAGTACAGATGCATGTCATCTGCATGGTGCAAAGGGGACAGAAGGAAACGCCGCCAGTCCTTCAGCCAGTACACCTGGTCTACACTTATACAGGCCTAAAGACCACAATAAATATTACAAAATATATTTGTATAGAAATGCTAATTTCTAAACAATACCTTCATCAATGGTGCTGCAGGAAATAAATACAAATACGCGTTTAAAGCCAAAACAGCCAGAGTCACAGGGGGGATGTTGGACAGACCCACTTGAAAAAGCTGACTGCCCAGCAACAGCAAGCCAAGATTGGAACCTCTATGTCTGGGCCGCATCTTTGAACAAAGAAAACAAGTTATTTAAATAAACAAGTCAATATGATCAAAGTTCATGACATGCAATGACATGCGATGACAAAGGAAAAAGCTAACCTACATCAGCTTAGACAACCAGTATCTTGTAAAGTTGACCAGAGCATCTGGCCAACTTAACATGATCAATATAGGCCTATAGGTCCATCGTTACCTACCTTTTTAGAAAAAAAAAAAAAAACAACAACGACAATACCAAAAATGGGGCTTTTGGCGATGCTACTAGTGTTAGCTATGACTTGTAAGCTATTTTTACCCAGTTAAGGGAACCAATCAACTTCACTACTTGTTCAAAGTATGCATGATTGGTTCTAGAGCAACTGAGTCTGTTATTTGTGTCCATACAGTGAGAATTGCAGTGTATTTCATCATGTATGATCCACGTTGGAGAGAAGCTAGGTCACGTGACAATAACAGAAACCAACGCATGCGCTGTGGAAGTGCTCTTTCGGAAAAAATGAAATAAGGAAATGTATCAATATTACTTTAAATGAAAGGCACGTGTATGCTGATAGGAACCTATTTTAATCCAGGGTTAGAATTCACTTCCAGACTTACTTTCTTGCGCACGGAAATACTGTGGCTGCTGCCATCAAGTGGCCAGAATATATAGCTACATACATTTATTTTTGTATTTTTGTTTATTTATGACAAATCTTTTATTACATTAAGCTAAATATATTTGGGGATAGACGTTATTATATGCCCTATGTAGCCCCATGTCTGGTTTTATTATATGTTTAAATTGCAGTATTTAGGTCACTGCACCAGGTGTCAATCCTTTAGAATCAGAATCAGAATCAGAATCAGAATCATTTTTATTGCCAACGTAAGTAACGGGAGGTCACAGACTTGGAAATTGCTTTGGCTCAGTGCAACAGTCAAAAAGAGATAATAAAAATAAGAATAAAAAACACTTCTAAAGAATAAATTTAAATTTAAAATAGAGTTACAGTTACTATTTACAATATACAAGTGCACATGGTGCACACAATGTAAGGTGACAGCAGTACAGTGAAGTAAAGTGACGTATGATGGGCAGTAAAGTGACTTTATAAAGGGCGGGGGGACAGGTTAAGAAGTGTTCAAGAGTCCAACAGCAGAGGGGAAGAAACTGTTCTTGTGGCGGGAGGTTCTAGTCCTGATGGACCGCAGCCTCCTGCCTGAGGGGAGTGGTTGGAATAGTCCATGTGCAGGGTGAGAGGGGTCGGCTGTGATACGACCAGCCCGGCCTCGAGCTCGGGCGACGTACAGGTCCTGCAGCGATGGAAGGCTGCGGCCGATCACTTCCTCTGCAGAGCGCACAATGCGCTGTAGTCTCTGTTTGTCCCTGACTGTGGCTCCAGCGAACCACACGGTGACGGAGGAGGTGAGGATGGACTCGATGATGGCCGTGTAGAACTGCACCAACATCTGTGCAGGCAGCTTGGCTTTCCTGAGCTGCCGCAGGAAGTACATCCTCTGCTGGGCCTTCTTGATGAGAGAGCTGATGGTCGGCTCCCACTTGAGGTCCTGGGTGATGGTGGTGCCCAGGAAACGGAAGGACTCCACAGAGGTGATGGGGGAGTCCATCACGGAGGGTGGGGGCGGGGGGACAGTGCTCTTCCTGAAGTCCACAATCATCTCCACTGTCTTCTGGGCGTTCAGCTCCAGGTTGTTACCACTGCACCAGGACACCAGCCGGTCCACCTCCCTCCTGTAGGCGGACTCATCGTTGTTGGAGATGAGTCCAATGAGGGTGGTGTCGTCCGCGAACTTGATCAGCTTCACGGAGTCGTGGCTGGAGGTGCAGTGGTTGGTGTACAGGGAGAAGAGCAGGGGAGAAAGAACACAGCCCTGTGGGGCTCCTGTATTTATAATCCGAGAGTCCGAGACATTCTTCCCCAGACGCACTCGCTGCTTCCTGTCCGTCAGGAAGTCAGTGATCCACCTGCAGGTGGAATCGGGCACGTTGAGCTGGGAGAGCTTGTCCTGGAGCAGGGATGGCAGGATTGTGTTGAAGGCAGAGCTGAAGTCCACGAACAGGACCCTGGCGTAGGTCCCCGGGGAGTCCAGGTGCTGTAGGATGTGGTGGAGGGCCAGGTTAATGGCGTCGTCTACAGATCTGTTGGCTCTGTAGGCGAACTGCAGGGGGTCCAGGAGGGGGGAGGTGAGGGACTTGAGATGGGAGAGAACCAGGCGTTCAAATGACTTCATGACGACAGACGTAAGTGCTACAGGTCTGTAGTCATTGAGTCCTGTGATTTATATGAAATATTCATAAACACAAAAGAGTTCAGTTACTTTCATCTCTCGTGTCGAGTAATCATAAGTTTCTGATGGTGAAAAACTGAACAACAATATTATAGTAAATATTGCTGGAGTAGAACACATTTATAGCTGGAACGTTTTTGAACGGTGGGTAGACTGTTGCTATAGTAACGGCTGCGCTCAAGAAAGAACCTGGCTGCAGGATTTTGTCAAGTTACATATAGAGATATGCGTATTTATTTCAAAATAAATCATATTATGAATCGCGATTGTTACGTTAATACGATGGTTAAAATCATTCTAATTTGACCTGGCTATTATTTTATATTATTATTGTATTTTATAATATCGTATATTATGTATTGATTTATTTGATTTATTGCATTTGTTGGCTCTGAATCTATTTAATTTCCATTGTTCATCATACTTTATAGACTTGTATAGTGAAAATAAGAGTTATAATCCAACATCCCACTCTCATTATTTTGAAACCGGAAGCTGTATTTTGATGACATTCCAGCTTGACTGTAGTAGTGGTCAGAGAGCGTGCAGAGCGGAGCAGGTACAGGTGTGTGTGCGTGCGTGTGCGTGTGTGTGGCGCTTCTTCTCGCTCTGAATGGATGATGAATGAATGAACGAAACAGAAAAATACAGAGAAACAGTGACTGGTTGAGCAGAGATTCCAGAGGGAAGAGGCTGTGGAATAATAAGAAGACAATCACGCGTATTTGTTAGAGGATGTCGGAAAGAGTCGCTTCGTGTGGGAGTCTTTATGACAGCACGAATCTACTGCTACAATACTGCAACAACGGTGAGTTACGCTCCTTAAGAACGTAGCCTGAAATGACCTGATATGCTTTGACCAGGATCTGCCTATAAGCATATAACAGGCAGCATTGTAGCCCATCAAACTAAATGTGAGCGAATTGGAACCTGCATCTGTTGATGATACTCATGTCTGTGTATTTGTTCCTTTTTGATTGGTATGTCTCTCCGTTTTTAATGTTCATTGTTTTTGTTTAGAGTGTGTAATGTGAGTAGCGACAGAAACATTTATGACAAGAGAGGAGATAAGGTGATGACCACCTGTTCTTTTTAGCAAGGAGATGTCACAGCTTTGTCTACAAACATATAGAGTCAACCCCTAATCATAAAAAACCCCAAAAAACAAGAATAATAAACTTATTTTCTTGTTGAGAAATGGAACCGTAGTTGATGCTGTACAGTGTAAAAGTCGAGGCGAAGGTTAACAGAAATCTCTGTTGAGACAAGCAGCTGACACCACTTGCCTTGCGCATCTTCAATTGCTTTTCCACCATGGCCACCGTTCCTTTTAATCTGAGAAAGAATTCCAATTCAATATTCTGATATGTTGCCCATGGCTGTGGTATTTGCCTATAGTTTTGCCTATAGTTTTGGTATTTGCATACCTAATGAAAATACTTGACTGTTTTAAAGACCACACCAGGGTCAAATTCCTTATATCTTCCAAAAGGTCATGCATGCACAAACACACAACAGTATATTGTTGTCAGATAAAAATAATTATTCGGTTTGGTCCATCTATCTTGAAGTGTGATGTAGCTTTACAAGTATACAAGTACTTTGCATCAGTTTCCGTGTTCTCTGCCATTATGCCCTTTCACAGTAACCAGAGAGTGTCTGTCCATCCGAGCTGTGCGCCCCAGCAGACTTCTACACTCGCTCTTTATGAGCGAGAAATTTAACCGGACCAGTGAGGAAACATGTCCTCTCTTTGCTCATATGAGAAAAGAAGATCATGATAAGTGACACAACTGTGGACTTATGGATTTCACCCCATTTTATTTACATTAACCTGCAGCTTTATTGCGTCCCTCTTTCACTTCACAGAAGATTTGCAACATGTGCCTGAGTCTGATCCGTCAAAATTCCCCGGGACCAACCTGTCTGATTAGATCTTCCCTTCTTATTTACTGTCTTTGAGAAACACTCTCTTTTCTACCCAATAATCTATAATGTAATGTTGCACTGTACTTTAAATTAACCTGATTGTATTAAAGCTGTAAGGGTAAACCTAGTTTTGTTGTTATGTTGGCTACAATTGGTGAATCACAAAGACAAAATTTATTGCTAAATCCGTCTCCATTGAATCATGATACATCATCGATCCGTCATTGATTCCTCTCACATCTCTTCCTGGCATTGCCTATAGTTGTCTCGATGCTGCTGCTGGTGCTGATGCTGGTGCAGTGTGTATGTGCAATCTAAACCCCTCCCTTTTTACGCCTGTGCCCTGCCTGCAGCTATTATCCCACCTAAGAAAAAAGGACAAGGCGACAGGGGGAGGAGGAGGAGGAAGGCAGGCTGAAGCCATAGGAGTGGTCCAGGAAGCAAAGACAGAGGTGGTAGGGAGGGGAGGAGGGGGAGTGTTAGTGAACGTGCCGGCATTAGGCAGCCTCTAGGGGGGACAGGAGTGTGAGCTTGACTAGACTAAAGCGGCTCTGTGGTCAGATTGGACAGACGGATTGGCAGGAGGAGTGACCCAGGCGATATGGCAGGTAGGCAAGATCTAAGATGGATTCACTGCCGTGCACTGTCCGGTAATGGACAATAGTGCCGTGCACTATTGTCCATTACCATCTCTGGCTGGAGCCCTGACATGCGATCTCACCCCCACTGCATCACTGATTTGATTGTAGATTTCCCTCCTCCTCCTCCTCCCTATCTCTTACATCCTTTTAAGTTGCTGTGGCCTCTGATTAGATCCCCCACGTTCTACATTGTCACATAAAGCTGCTGTTTTATGGACTTGGCTGTCTGGGGCATGCTTTGTTCCCTGTGTCTAATTGAAATGCATTACCTTTGCTGCAGGAGCAAGGGAAAACCAATGTAATTGTAATTATGAGCCAAGGACAGATAGCAGAGGGATGATGCTGCGTTAGCACAGAGAAAGGTAGATAATGTTAGTCTTGTCAACATCCAAGGTTGCATTGTGATTATATTTGTGTACACCCGCTGCCTTATAGAGGTGATGCTGTGTTGAATAAATGAAGGAATGCTGGAATTCTTGGATCATCACAGAACATGGGCCTTGATTGTGTGCAGACAGGCAGTTTTTGCAATCCTATAATACCATACTAGTCCTTCTCTTCATAACTATGGAATTTTATCTTTGTTTTTGTATCTTAATATGGTCTGCGTTTCTCAAATTAACTGCGAAAGTTGAGTCATTGGTCTGCATGCAGTCCTCTCTCCTCCCACCTCCTGCTGTCCTGGAGGTCTGCCTTGCAAGGGCCACACACACACAGACACACACCATAAATGTCATATTAAACTGACTTTGACACTCTGAAATATTATCTAGAATATACAGAAGGAAAAAAGCCACATTGCCGTCTGGCTTTTCCTATATCCTTAAATTCCTGTACAGCCTTGTAATATTGTTTTCATCAGGTGGAGATAATTTTTACTGCTTTCCTTTCATTGTTTTTATGCAGCACCATGGAAACGTCTTTCTCTAATCATGCCATTCAAATAAAGTAGATTGGATTATCTTTATTTTAGAATACAGTTGTACATTCTTTATACTGAACCTCATTGTGTACTTAACTGAATAATACTTAAGTGTATTTGTGTGTATCCGCCAATAACTATATTTTAGATTATCAATGTTAAAATCTATTTGGTTTGGTGTCCCAGCAACCCCCAGCCATAAAAAACTTTTTTTTTTTCTTGTTTCAATTTCAGGGACTAAATCAGCCCGTTATTGTTTTGTAATTATTGTGATCAAAGGGGAGGGTGTTAGTATTAGATAGCAATATGGCCTACGTGCAGGACTGTACAAGGACTCTACAAGGACTCCATGTTATGACTATGATGTGACTGTCTCTTTGTGACACGTATGTCTTTCGATGTGTGACGTGACAATGACTATATAAACTGTGTACTGCCTTTATTCTGTCTGAGAGAAAGAAACAAAGTAAACCACTGGAACTTTAGAGAAACTTAAATAAACTTCCAGAGTTTGGCGCACCACGATCCGTCTCTGTCTGCTAATCCCTGACATTATAACCAGAAGTGTTATTGTTTGTGTTATTCAGAATTATTTGAATAATCAATTAGTTATTATTCCGATTCAATTTGTCGAAGATGCATTTGACCAAAACAAAACTCAACAATCCACCTCCTGACAGGGCTCTAAATATGTGTTGTGTTTGCATGTTCTCCCATGGTCTGACTAGGTTTCCTCCAGGTGCTCCGGTTTCCCCTACGACTCAAAACCTCTGCAATAGCTCCGGCATGCCCCTCCATAACAGATGGAGGGGCATTTGATTAGAAATACTTTTTTTTTTAAACAAACTATTTCTTTGCATTTTATGGTCCAGATATGGTTGGAAAAAATGATTAGTTAAATAGTTGTCAAATATTTAAATAATTAATTAATCGATAATTACAGTCCTTGTCCCCAGCTCTACTGTAGTTGTTCATAATATATTACACAAAAAAATCCCTAATAAGCAGGAAAAGGAAACTCATGTGAAACTCAAATTCACACATTATGCAAAATTAAGGAAAATGATTTAGTCAGATGTGTGGTTTTTATTTTTAGATTTGGCTAGAACAGAATGAGTAGCTGGTGTCTTAAAATGTGTTGATGTTCCTGTAACGTCCCGTAGATAAAAGTACTGTATGTAAATCTCGCCAGACTTCCCAGCGGCCTCCAGCTGTCTCATTTGACTGTGACATCACTAATAACAGTCTGTCCTTTGTGCTGCTTGGCCCTCATCATTTCTCTTTATACACTAATGTTTTTTTACCGTTTTGTTACCTATAAATGTCATGCTTTTGGTTTGTATTTGCCATGCTGTTGACTTTTCATAATCTGTTTTCACTGTAGAGAATCCATGTTTGAGCAGAAACTGGTTCTAGTTTTTGCCAAAGTGTGTGTCCGTGTTGGGTTTGTGACTTTCAAGTATGCCTGATTTCATATTTCGCAGTTAAAACAGTGTTTATTTAAGTATAATATTGTTACATTTTGTGCTTGGGGATTTTTGTGATCCTCTTCGTCACACGTGCTGCCTGAAAGCAAAGCCACTTGGTGTTTCATTTTGTTTCCCCCTGTACCTGACTCACTACAAAGCCTGCCTCTAAATTATTAAAATAAACTAATTTAGAATTCTTTCAAGAAATCTGAAGCCTCTCGGCCGATTCACTAGTTCACTTGGCCATTGTTGTAGAACTGGGTGATACTGAACATTTTCAAACTTTTTTCACAAAATTGAAATAAGTTGATGTTCTAGTTCAATCATGTTGTATATCTTTAAAAACAAGGATGGTATGGTACAGTGCACAACAAAACATTAAGATTAAAGTATGCTGGTGCCAGGTTGTAGCATACATTTCAAGTTGCACCTGAGCAGGAAGTAAGAAATATGAAAACAGAATAAAATAGATAGTAATATAGTCCATATCCATCTGTACTTTTTAAGAACAATGTGATGAATCCAACTCTGATCATTATATAGCCATAGAGGTCCATGTGAAGTGTTTCCAGCAGGATACAGGATTGTGTTCTAAGCCTCTGCTCCTTGTGCAGATGACACAGTGTCGGCCAGCAGCCACATGGACATGGAGGACCGCGTGTCGCAGCTGGAGCAGCGGCTGCAGCTGCAGGAGGATGAGATGCAGCTGCTGAAGGCGGCTCTGGCCGACGCTCTGCGCCGTCTGGGCTCCTGCGAGGAGCAGAGTGCGGGGCTGACGCAGGGACGAAGACCCCTGTCCACTGCGGCTGCACCTCCAACCAAAGGTCAGAGCCCACATCACCATCTCTATATTTTAAGTTTAATGTGAAAGAAAATGATTGATGTTTCCTGTATTGTTTCAGAAGCATTAAGATGAATAACTTTAGAGCTTAAGAGCTTATCTTTACTTCAGACAGTTATTCATTGGTGTTTAACATAACATGTTAGAGTTACTGCGGTTTTGTACCAGTGTTGATGCAAAGAGTTATATTGTTCTAAATCATATAGAATTTAGCAGTGTTTGTAACAGGCTTTCCCTTCACAGTGCGACAGCTGCTGCAGGCTCTTCCCTCCAGGCCGCTGAGTAATGGATATGTTCAGCAGAAACGCATGCTCTCGTCGCCCTCGTCCCCAAAGAAAGAAACAATAAGAGACATGAAGAGGTAAAGAATGAACTGTCTCCTACATCCAACTGGTTATAAAGCAGCCAAAGATACACCTGCTGCTTTGTGTGAATGAAAGGCTCACACAGGCTCATCATCTTTCTTCTCACAGAAAAAGCCAGTCCACGGAGCGCTTGACTCTGGTAAGGAGAGAGCTGGGACTTGAGAGCCGCAGTAGAACCACTTCCTCCAGCAGCTTGACTGGAGGCAAAAGGTAAGAATGGTCTTAAAGGAGAATCAATTTTCTTTTGTGTTTTAACCATGTTGCAACATTGTTCCCTCATTGTTCCCTCATTGTTCCCTGGAGTTGTTTTTCCCAAAGCTACTCCCTCAGTTCTGTTTTCAGGCCTTTTTATTTTAGTTTTGGCAATTATGTTCTTTACAAGCATATGGCTGTATTTGCACACTAAAAGCTTAAAATGAAATCAAAAAGAAGAAAAAATGGCATCACTTCCCTCTGGTGGTTGTTTAGGAAATTACAGACGGATAGCATTCTTTATCCCTTGAGACTTGTTTTACCATTTATTTTCTGTTTAAGATCTTATTTTGCATTCTAAAGCTTGAAATTAGAACAAATCTAGTCCCACTATCATTTTGATGGTTTTTCTGTCAAACATGATTGCTACTGCAGTTAATATTCTTCTTCTACACAATTGCCCTCAGGTCTATCACACAAAAAACCACACATATTATTGTATCCACTTCTTTTTTCTTTTTTTTTTGCCCAAACACATCTGCACTTATGCTGTGAAGAGGCTTTTGTCTCTGTACATCTGATCAATATGCCACCTGCTTACCCCTGACTTACTTTGCTTCAAATATTCAAGTTTTCATCATAGATCCATTTCAACACCTATCCAGAAGTAGCTTTTCATATCAAATCTGAATGGGAGACTACACCTCTTAAAGATTGGCCATAAAACTAATGATCAGAAAAAGACCATGTTCAGATGAGAAATCTTGAGCCCCTAACTATAAATGTTCCAGCTTAATTGAATAAACGATAAGCTAATTTTGTAATTAGTGAGATAGATCTAATTGCTACTTGTTTGAAATGCACAAAAGGTCACTATGTGGCCTTTAAAGAACAACACACAGAAAACCTAATTTGAGTTCCCTTTAATCTATAATGTCAATAGGAACCAGTGGGTTGAGTCGGCTTTCAAAACTGCACACAAAGTCACTCAACAGAGAAGACTGGTATAATATAATTAAATACAAATACAAATAATCTTCTAAGAAAGAGCCCTATGAGTCACTAGTTGATGCCTTGGACAGAGAGCTGATTGGCTGAGTGAGGTTGGTCGTCCTTTTTAAACTTTTACATGTCTGAGGAAGCTGATCTGTATACTTGAGAGGCCCATAATACACGAAAATCTGTTTTGAGAGCAAGGAACTAATTGTTTTTTATGAATTTTTTGTGGTTTTAAAGTTAAGCACCCCAGCTTGAACATGGTCCCCCCTCCTCTCCTGCTTACTCAGTGCTGGTATTACTTATGTAAACATGGGAGACTGGTGGGCAGGGCGTTTCTCATGGGGGCCTGGCTTCAAGAAGGAAGTGCCTTGTGATTGGACGAGCTCTTCTCCAGCAGAGCTACAAGTTTGCTCATATGAAGGGATAAGGGAAGTGGCTTATGTGTTAGTGAGAAAGGGAGCAGCTCTGACAACGTTATTCAACAAATATAGCGGAACAATTGCAACCATGAAGAGGTCCAACAGGTAAATGCAACTTCATAATGTTATGTGCAGTTTAGGAGGAGTCAAGTTGGGAAAGAGAGAGGGCTTTCACAGGTCACTAAAAATAACTTGTTGGGATCTATATTTGCTAAATAGACATCAGTGCTGTCATTAAAAGTTGATGCAGATGTTTTAAAGCCACTGAAATAGCCAAAAATAACAACTTAACTTTGTGTGTTCTGTTGCAATGGCTGTAAAAGTGGTCTGTTTAGCTGGCTCTAGAGCAAAATGTTGAATGTTTTATTTGTGAGGAAGTGGCTTTTTGTCTGATGCAGGCAGGGCATTAGGGAGGGGCAGCAGCGTAGTAACGTGAACATAGAAACATAATCCAAGCTTTGAAGTATGAGATCTGATAAAGAATGAGAACGATTACAAACTTCAGGCAATAGTTTAGAAGTACACAATCATTGCCACACTCCTCAAAGTAAATAAAACAACTGGGTATTGGACTATCTGTCATGTGTACATTTAAGAAGCTTAATTATGTATTGCCAGACATTTGGATACAACAAAATGTGTTGTAGTCTTTAGTATGGGATGATTTTTCTTTGAGCAAAATTAGAAATGCAGGAATTCCCCCTTTTAATGCATTGCAGGAGGCTTATGGCAGGCTGCCTACAGTGCAGTAATAATATTGATCGGTTGCCTGCTTTACATGCAGCAAACATGAGCAGCAGAGACCTGACTGCAGAGACACAGTATGCCACACTAATTTTAGGCTATTTCACATCAAAGAGTTTTCAATTAGGACTATTTTTTTTTTATCCACATACAATAAGCTTTTTCTATAGGGCCTTTTTAGATTGTCTTTTTCCATTCACTGCAGGCCTATAATGGATTAGGATATGGCCCCAGCACTTGATATTGCATTGATTTACAAGCTGACCATTAGACCACATGTCATTATTGTCTCTGTAGAAAAGATACTCCAGCGTAAAAATAAATAAATAAAAGAAAAGATTTAGCGTTTTTTAGTGTTAAAGAGTTTTGAACACATTAAACTACATAAAAAAATAACAGAAATGTTACTGTGACTAAGTGCATGCATACTCATTGAGCCCCTGTAGCAAAACTCTCAAACAAACTAGACAGGGAAACAGCGATTCAGAGATTTCTGCCTATTCCTGAAGAAGAAGATTGACCACAGTCGAAGGCTCTGGGCGGCCCATTAGTGATGCCAATACATGAAGGCTCTTGGGAGCTTCATCTGCAGAAAAGAGAAAATCTCTTTCTTTATTGATAGAAGACAGCTCTATTTCCGGTAAAAGCACACACTCATCGTAAAGACTTTTATTCCTGTGACTGGAGTTTTGCACTTAAACATTTATAGTGTTTTCCAGAGTGTGATACTAAAATACCACAGGTCTGGCTCCATGTTAATGAATGCCCTGTTTGTGCATTCCATCCTGAAACCCGGAGACTGGGCCTCCAGCCGCACTGCTCTCAGCTACACACTTATGTGGCTCTCCTGCCCTGTGCCAACTTCCCAGCATGCACTGCTCTAATTATTGGATGTGGGGTTGTCCACTCCTCAGACTGGCAGACATGCAATAATCAAGAACAGTGGCACAAACAGGCTTTTATGTGGTCACATCAAAGGGATACCTCCCTGTGTTCTGTCCACAGGCACAATATGGCCCCTGCAGACAAAGTGTTCATCGGGAGCTTATTCGTTTTCTTAGTTGTATTGTAAAAGTCCTACACAGGAATACAAGTATGAAAGTCAGGCAAACAAATGCTTCTCCGGTAACTCCCTCTAAGTAAAGTGACTGGAAGACGCTGACACTTCTCATTTACCACAGCTTTTGTAAGAAAATTAGATTGACAAACAATATATTTTGCTCCTGCTCTGTTCGTTTATTTATCTCGAACCAAAACTGCTTCATGTATGCACTAGAGGCGACTGTTTCTTGTGGATTCACACAAAACAGATGTTACATCCTGCTGTTCAATATTTGCTTGGAACAGCTCATTATGAGCAGCTGCTGAGTGAAAGAGAAAAGCCTTTTCATTTCTCTTATCTCACTTTATGAGTCAGTTGCCTGGTGACATTTCCCTTAGAGCTGAGGCCTGGAGCATCCTGAGCACAGACTGACACGAGAGGGCATAACATGGTTTTTTAACTTTTTTTCCTTTTTTTTCTATCAGCAAAACCAAAGAATGCACGTTTAATGCAGGTATGCTTTCTATCTCTACTCAAAAGGATCTTATTTAATACCTAAAGGTGAAAAATAATACATGCTGTTCCGTCTTTTGCTAGAGGACAGTTACGTGCGCATGTTCCTGCGGGGGCGCCCCGTCACCATGCACCTCCCAGACGATCAGAAGGAGAGCTACAGTCTGGACACCAAGGCCGCGCTGCCTGACCGCAAACTCAAACTGCAGTGGGTGTATCCTTCACGCAGGTGGAAGGCCCAGGATGTTGGAGCCACGTGCATGTGAAAGCCAGATTAAGTCAGACCTCTGAAGCTAAGCAGGGCAGGGTGTGGTTGCCAAACTGTTGTTGTGTCCTTAGGCAAGACACTTCACCCACATTGTCAAGAATGAGCCTGGTGTGTGCTCCTGGTAGTTGAAGGGGCTGATGGCACAGATTGGTTTAACTCGCTTATATCAGTCCCAAAGGGGCTTGTAATACCTTGTTGTAATCTGAATATCCAGCATACTGTATATCAGTATTGTACCTTAATCCTGGAGCAGCTATGGTTACCGTGGGCGTGACTGTCGCTCCAATCTGTATTTGTTGCCGACAGGAGAGATTGTTTATTTTAATGCCTCAGTTGTGGTTCTTTACAACACTGAGGAGCAGCAGCAGAGACATTACCTGGGACACAACGATGATGTCAAATGGTGAGCTAATCATGTATTTAATTACCGTGTTTTATGGATGTTTAAGGTATTTTCACATATCCCACTGTTGTTTTAAACGTAATATTGTATGTGTGATGTCCATTAGATGTCCATAAAAGTGGACATAATGTGAAATCAATTGCTTATGGAACAATAATGTAATGGAGTTTTCCGAGGCTGGGACTCTCCTCAGATTCTGTATTATAATGAACGCTTGTCTCATTTCAGCTTAAGTGTGCATCCCGACATGGTAACCATAGCTACAGGACAAGTTGCAGGAAACACTAAAGATGGAAAGGTGACGTTTAGAGAAAGTGAATCCACATGTGTTGCACTTAGGGTGTTTTCACACTTGGGGTGTGTTCACGCTTCAGTCCCAAGTGAACCAGATTGAATTTGTCGAGCTGTGAAACCACCAAACAAGTGGACACTCCGCAGAAGCCTTGTTTTGGTGATTTTGCATCTCTAAAATCAAAGCAATCAAGTGAAGTCTACTTCAGATGGAGCTGGATAACTATATTTGTGTAGATGTGAAAGTACCACACACTTGGAATACTGGTCAGTTAAGTCCTAAGTGTGAACGCATCCTAAAAGTCCATATTTCTAGTTTTATAGTTTTATGGTTTATCTGTCATCATGTCATTCCTTCATGGTAAGAATCTAGTCAACATTAATGTATGCTACATTATTATAATGATATAAATGTATGTGATATGTTCTTTAATAGTTGTATGATGTTTTGTGTAGTCTTTGGCTCCTCATGTTCGTGTGTGGGACTCTGTGAGCCTCAACACACTTCATGTTCTTGGGATGAGCGTTTTTGACCGGGCGGTCACCTGTGTGGCCTTCTCCAAATCAGTAAGTACTCTGTACGTGAGACCTGTGTTGATCAGAAGCACTTTAACCATTGTTTCCTCTCTACAGAACGGAGGTGCTTTCTTGTGTGCAGTGGATGATGCCAACGATCACATTCTGTCAGTCTGGAACTGGCAGAAAGAGAAGCAGTTAGCTGATGTCAAGGTGAAATAGATATTACAAATAATAACTTAGCATCTCTTATTGTTCTACTGTATTTTTAAATCTTGTCGTGTGTGTCTTCAGTGCTCCAACGACTCTGTATTTGGAGCAGTATTTCATCCTATGGACGCCAATTTGATTGTCACTTGTGGAAAATCTCATATCAACTTCTGGACCATGGAGGGCACCACTTTGACAAAGAGACAAGGGCTGTTTGAAGTAAGATCTTAAAATCATAATTTATGTTTGTATCGATTGAAGTATTTTTGATGTGATGGTAATAATAATAATAATAACACACTTAATATGTTTTGTAGAAACATGATAAACCTAAGTACGTACTTTGTGTGGCATTTGCTGAAAATGGAGATGCCATAACGGGAGACTCCAGCGGAAACCTCTACATCTGGGCTAAAGGTATTCCCTGCATAATGTCTGTTTTGTATCACATAACAAGTAAAGACATTTAGAAGAAGCTGATTGAGTCTGAGATCATGTGTGTTTCTCTTTTCCAGGAGGTAACCGCATCAGCCAGCTGGTGTCTGGAGCTCATGAAGGGGGCATCTTCTCTCTGTGTGTGCTGAAGGATGGAACTCTTGTGTCTGGTGGAGGGAAGGACCGAAAGGTGGCTCTGTGGGACCACGACTACAGAAAACAGTCAGAGATGGAGGCAAGATCTTCATCCATAGCTTATCACATTTACATAATTACAACAGGTTTTAGTAACATGGTATCTTCGGAGTAGGTTGGGGAAGCATTTGGCCCGGTACGATCACTCGCTGAAGGAAAACAAGGGGAGCTTTTTGTTGGCACAACAAAAAACGCTATTATCAAAGCTGCATTCCCTGACACGTTAACTCCCATTGTGCAGGTACTTTTGCAGGAACAATTACTTACACATTACATACCGTTTCAGTCGACCTAATCTGTGTTCTTCTGTCCCTTAGGGACACACTGATGAGCTGTGGGGCCTGGATGTTCATCCCTCCATGGAGCAGTTTGTAACCTGCTCCCAGGACAAGCAGGTTCACCTGTGGGATACTCACACTCATCAGCCGATCTGGAGCAAAACTATCGAGGTTAGCCTGCTCAGAGGTACATCTCCATACTTTATATAACATTGTATTTTTAACACACCAGGATCAAGGGCGGTCTGCAAGCTTCCATCCGAGTGGGGCTGTTGTGGCAGTTGGGACCATGTCTGGAAGGTAAATTATAAATTGTGCATTACATGGGTCCCCTTAAGTGCACACTGTATGTTTAATGGGACTGATACATCGTGTATGTTGGTCTTTGTCCTAATACTGAACGATAAATAATAAAACATGACTCTATCATTGAAGGTGGTTAGTGCTGGACACTGACACCCGAGATCTTGTGTCAATGCACACAGATGGTAATGAGATCATCTCCAATGTCAAGTATTCTCCAGGTAACCCATGTCGCCCAAATGCTCTGAAGGTATGAAGCGTAACACCTCCTGATTGTTACAGATGGAAACTTCCTGGCCGTCGGCTCACACGACAACTTTGTTTACATCTACGCTGTGACAGAGGCCGGCAGGAAGTACAATCGTGTTGGGAAATGCACTGTATGTGTCCATAATATATTGTTTTGTGTGTGACCATATCAATATAATAAGTGTTGTCTTGTGTCAGGGTCATTCTAGCTTTGTAACTCACCTGGACTGGTCGACAGACAGCCAATACCTGGTCACAAACTCGGGAGACTATGAGATCCTGTTCTGTAAGCCTCACATTAACATACAGTCGATTATTAAAACTAATGGATATTTGACTGTTCTTTACATGCACCAGGGGAAGCTCCCAGTGGAAGACATGTGACCAACATGGATACTGTCCGTAACCTGCAGTGGGCCACATCCACCTGTACTCTGAGCTTCAGAACTTTTGGTAATATATCTCACTCTTGATCTGGAACTAACTGTAAGAAATGCCCAGAACAACAAAACATGTCTTTTTCAGGGATTTGGCCAGACGGTGCAGACGGAACTGACATCAATGCTGCCTGTCGGTCACATGATAGATCTCTGCTGGCTTCTGCCGATGATTTTGGCAAAGTGCACTTGTTCTCCTTCCCCTGTTCACAACCAAGGGTCAGTTCTTTCTTTGTAGTTGTTGTTTAGCAAGAGTCTGATTCAATCTTTGATATGCTTTCAGGCTCCGAGTCACGAGTACAGTGGCCATAGCAGTCACGTGACCAATGTTGCCTTTCTGCACGACGACAGTCACCTCATCACCACGGGCGGGAAAGACACCAGCATCCTCCAGTGGGTCCTGACTTAGACTGATCTCCTCATCCTATCACTGTATCTGCCTCCAAACCAATGGAGTTTAACACTGTGCCTATAGTATCCCACTGACATTAGCTTAGATGACCTAAGCTGAATTGGCATATTTGCATTGCTTTGATATGAAATGCTTCAGCAGTATACAGTGCTGTCCTTACGCACATTATTGCATTCAAACAGTGCTTAAAATACAGTGATGGGTAAAAAGTGTTATTACCGTAGGTCAAATTATCCTGAATGTCCCATAACCCTGCAGTCTGCTCCACCTGTGCCTACCCCAGACTCATGTAATGGCCCTTTAATTGGACTTCCTACTGTTTTAAGCGACATGTGATTGTCATTTTAAGTGCGCATAAATATTATGAACTTAACTGTAAGGAATGTACACTGCTGAATCTTCTTGATCTGTTGATTGTTGTACTTGAAGCATGAAAACATGCTTATACATTGATGGACACATCAACCATATGGAATCATACTGCTTTCTCTAGAGGCAGCAGTAAAGTAAAATTGATGGTACTACTATACATAAATCTGTCGTCGTTCTAATCTGTAAGTAGTCCATCAGTGGTACGTTTGCTGTGACTTTTCATGATATTGGCCTGAATGACACGATTGAAACTGCTAGAGCATGGCAGAAACCTCCTGCTCTCCACATAACAAAGGTCTATAGAGTATATGTAATAATGCTATATATTGGAGTGGCTGTGTAATTTAATATTTAACAATATTATTCTTGTGGCAATTTTAGCAATTGACTTATGTAGACCTGCTGTAGCAGTTTGCTTAAGCTTCTGTTTTGTTAATAAAGTTTTTACCAGAGCACTTCTGTTAAAGCTGTGTTTTAGACCATGAAAATCAGTAAGAGGCGACAAACGGGGGGTTTCTTTCTGGTGCCTTTAATTGTTTTATAATATATTTGGGACAAACTGCTTTTGGATGGACAAGTTGTGAAAACTGGAAACTGTGGCAAACGTCTAGACTTAGCCTCGTCCTGACTAAAAGTGAAACTTAAGGGCTGATTTCCTGCAGACGAGAGCATCCTTATCAAACTGCTGAACATGACTAAAACATTTGTCACATTTACTCCGGTCTTTCATAAATTCATAAAATTAAACATTATCAATATCAAAACACCAATTTCAGGGACCGCAAGAGGTAACTCACTCATTAAATCATAGGTCACTGAAAGTACAGTAAACATACCCTCAGTCTGATGTAACACTTCATTTACAAAAATAATTGTAAATCTAATGGAATAAATAGGATTTTTAGACCATATTACAGTGAAACTTATTCAAATATGAATAGCATCCACAATTAATAAATTAAGCAAAAAAGGTTGCATTTTTACAATCCAGCATTTACACTGAACCCAATCCAATGATTTCCTATAAAAAATTACATGTATTTATTTTTTTGTGAATGACACAGTGAGCCCTTATACTTGAGAAAGAACATTGATTCTTTTGCACTGATAAAAATGCAGAGTAAATAGATCAGGTGTTCTGTCATTAAATGTAACGTAAAAATTGGAGGGAAATATTCTTTATGTATAATAAAACAAGTTCTGTAGAGATAATTGATATTGGAAAATTTGAATGGACTTTCGGTTAAAAGATACAAACAAAAATATTCAAGTACAAGTCTATGCATTGTTCAGACGTAGCTTTAAGTAACCCGACAGCTTTGTGACAGAGCTTTCATTAAACCAAATAGAGCAGCATGCAGTTGAAAGAACAGTCACACAACACACACATTCACACACAATTTGGCAAAATACTGATTTCAATACTTCCTCTTTAAGTGCCTTCCTTCCCCACTCCCCCAGTTTTTTCTTCGCAGTTTTGAAATACATCAAAATGATGGCAACTGTGGCATTGTGAAGGCAAAGCATTAAGCACATCACATGTGTTTCTCCTAACTGCTGGTCCTCCTGCATTCTAAGGCAGGAAGTACATACAAGTTCTGACCCGTACAGGCAACAGTATAGTTAGCAATGTCCACACCAGAGGGCAGCAGAGACGTGTTCATGTCTTGTCTTAACAGTGCCAATGGCACCTGACATGACACAAACACCCACTTTGTGGATAGATAGGCTCTCTCCTTTAAATATTGCCCTTTTCTTCAGAAACACTGTGCGTCTTCTGTTGTATCTATGGCTCAGGCCATGTAAATGAAGGTGTTAAGGTCAGTCTCGTCTCTTTTTATGTACTTGTGTTCAATAAGCCATTCTATCTGCTCCTTGATCATCTTCTTTTGAGGTAGAAACATGTTCTTCAGGATCTCCACCAGCTCTGTCTGCAGCTGTGCATTACTGATTCTCTTCCTCATCTTCATGATTTGAATAATGGCCTCCTGAGCAGAAACCAGACATTGCAGTTGCAGCCTCAGTGTATTCATATTCTCCACATCTGCTCCGTGTAAAGTGCTTACCTGAGTTCTTAGGATCCTGAGCTGGACAATTCCCTCATTCTCTTCCTCTCTCATTCTCTCTGTTGTGAGTTGCAACCGACCAATAAGATTTATTTTCCCACGCTTCTGGACTTTGTTGTTTTTTCTGTTGAAGTGAAAGTGTGAGCAACAATTGCAACTAAAACAGCATATATTATCCTTAAATGGTGTCTTACATGAGAGAGAAATCTTGGTTGACATAAAATATAGTGGCGTCAGTGAAGTCTTTGGGAGAGTTAACAGAAGGATCATAAGACAGTACTTGTCTCTTCAGTTTAGGGAAAGAAACCAGGGACTACAGAAAAATCACAAATTAAAAAAAATAATGAAATACCTGTAGTGTTTAACAATCCAAGCTGAGAATAAATATAACAATATTGTTCTAACCCAAAGTGTGCGGCGCAGCTCTGCATCGGGGAGCTCTGTGGCCAGTTTCAAATTCTCAAAGCTGATTCTCTCTTTTGGTCGCTGGTTCCAGGCAAACAACACTGCCAGCTGAAATGTAGTCACCTCCAAATCGTACTGACCTACTTCATTCTTAAAAGTGATCTACAGCAAACACATAAGGAATAATACAATCATAAATAAATAGTATGTATGTATGTCAAAGACTGAGATTTTGTGTTTGCTCACAATGCCATTAGACATGAGGTGATGCCAGTGGAGTTTGCGACCGCTGTGGTTCTTTTTGTAGAAATCCTCCACTTCAGGAATCAGGTCTTCCAGCTCAGTCGGTAACGATACAAAAACCTTCTCACTGCTGCGTGACCAGGCACCAGCATTCAGGATCTTAATGTTCACACTGTCCGCTGCGGAGATGAACGACAAAGAAACACTTTCTATCATCATGGAAATAGGGATTCCTGACGGGACTTTTTTTGGTATTGTATTTAAATGTCTGGTCCCAATAGGGAAATCCCTCTGAAGCTAACAAAATGCCTTGCTTACATGCGGTACATGCTTCTTGTTCATTGAGTCAGAGAATATGATCTGAACCATGACGTGTGTTTTACCTGGCAGAGCCAGCTTGTTGTGCTTGTGCACTTCTTTGAAGACCTGGTTCAGATCTTCCGAAACTTTAATATCCTGAAACATTCGGGCTAGTTTGTTGACGTAATCAGCAGGCATGCCGACTTCCTAAAAATGCACAAACACACACTGGAAATCAAACTGCAACATACTGCAAGTCATAATGTGGATTCAAAAGTCCTACCCTCAGCCACTCCACCATGTTTTCTTCTATTTCACTATCAGCAGAAATGTCAAGGATCAGACGCCTTGTGAGGTGAGCTTTGTGGTACCGCATGAACACGTCTTTATTCTGGACATACTTTAAGACCAATAACTGAAAAGGGTCAAACGTGAAATTAAAGCAGAAATATGACTTTTGACTTTGACAGCAGAGAGCCACTTCCTCACCACTTCCTTGAGTTTAAGCTCAATCTCCTCCGAGGTGAGCTTCTTGCTCAGTGGTGTTTTCCTCAAAAGCATGTCACAGTAGTTTGCCAACAGTTCAGGGCACTTGGATTCTGGTTGTGTCTTTGTTCCAACACTAAATATAAAATAGCAATCCATTATTTAACTTTTAAGAGTCTGCGGTATATACAGTATATGGTTATATATATACTATGGTTATACCCTTTCTGTTTCAGTGGCAGTTCCAGTTTGAAGATTGTTGCATCATTGACGACAGCTTTGTAAGCCTGATAAAAAACATGTTTGAAATATCAAATAAATAGTTTAGAAAAATACTATTGCATGGGTTTAATGAAAGAAATAACTGAACTAAACTTACCTTATCTCTGGCTGTGAGAAAGCGGGGGTCATCCTGAAAAGCTTCCTTAACTAGTTTACTAAAGCAATTAAATAAAGTCAGCAGTTGCTCAACATATTTCTCAGAGTCCTGTACAAAAACATGTGACGATGTGAGAAACAGAGAACTGAGTTGTAGCTGTAGTTCTAGTTATTAAATTAACGCTGGGTACATACAGTAGTGATGGTCTCAGCAGCAGCAACCATGTCAGCTAAACCAGCACTGATGATGTGCTCTTCAAGATCCTTCAGCATGGGCTCAATACCATTGGGAACTTTGTCCATTAAAGAAAACATAAGTTGCAGCTCTGTTTGACAAAAGAAAACAATAGTTACACAAAATATGGGAGACAATTGGAAATATTCATGAAAAAAAATATACTGAATATGTCTCACTGTCTGTTTCATTGTGCTTTATCATTGCAGGACAGTCAGCAAGGATTGTCTCTTTGAACAAAGTTACGAGTGCATTCACACAACATTCCATAAGCTAAAAACAAAAACAACTTGTTAAAAACATGTTATTTTGAATGAAGTTTGGAAACTCCGGAAACGTACTGCTTGAACAGAGTTACATTCACGCCTCGTCTCTAGATATCGAAGTGCTCTCTTTTCCTCTTCTCTTAGCTTTGCATCGGCCTACAAAAAACATGCCAACAATATGTGATTGCTTGCAACACAGACACAACCAAAACCAATTCCTTCTTACATATTTCATGTAATTTTGGACGCCATTTTGCTGTAGGTAAGATGGGGCTTGTGTGCGGTAAAACCTCTCTGTTGAATCCAGATAGGCCTTTTCAAAATTATCTCTGTAAATCTGCAGCTTGTCCTCTGGATTCGAACATAGATTGACTAGAAAGAGACGAGGATGCCGTTGTGATTTAGCACTTGAATGGGGGACTAATGCATTGACATTTTGAAAGATTCCTTTGTGCATTTATCCCTTACCATATGATTCACGGACTCCTATAACCAGCTGCGAGTCAAAGGCTTCGCCCAACCTTTCAGCGTGCACCAGTTTCATGGCACTGTCCTGCAGACGACTCTTAATGTTTGAAAATATTGATTCGTTCCACGTGTCCAACATTAGCTGTGAAACAAAGAAGGTGAAAAAGATTCAGTATTTAAATACGCTTTAAATATTATCAACAACAATTTCATCCCTGATTGAGATACATTTGCTAAACACATTTTCTTCACACATTACTTAAGTTATGTTGTCTTCCTTACCTTGCGAACTATACTGTCCTCCATGTTAGATTTCTTGTTGTTACTGCCCTGTTTTCCCATTAGTGTGATCTCTAGTTGACAGAAAGGCTTCGGCAGGATGTCACATTGAGTAAAAAACTTTCTCCACTCCACAATGTAGGCTTTAAGAAGCGCTGTGTCATCCTGATGGCTTAAAACTCGCTTAACAATAAACATTTTTCATTCAGTTGTTATGAACTCACAATAACCCATCATATTGGTGTGTAGCTTACAGCTTGTGCTTGTTTGATGAAGTCTAGTATGTCTTCTTTAAGGGCTTGGTGAATCTTTGCAGGTCCTTTGTCATCCCACAAGCAGACAGCGTGAACATCCCTGAGGTGAACATAGCAAACACATTTCCAAATGGCACCTTTGAAGTCCTTCAGTTCAATAGACATTACCAGACAACATTTGCAGAAAAGAATTAGCTGTAACTTACGAAAACAAGTCAAACCACTGCTGTTTTGTGACCGACTCCTGTCTGAGCAGTTTAAGCACAATGGGGCGCATCAACTCCCATTTATCCTCAAACTGTAAAGACCCCTTATTCTGGAGGAGATGGAGAAAATCAAGGAATAGGACTTCCACTATACAGCATTTAAACAGTGCGTTTTATTATACTATTACAATGAGAGCAGCATCAGCAATGACAATGGTGTAGGAACAATAGTATCTGGGTGGCCTTGTTTTATAATGCATCAGATTCCTGGGTTCCACGAAGAAATTAGGACCATGACGAGAACATTTTTTGTATTTTAAAATAATACCGAGATGTTGCCCAAAATAAGGCCTTGGCATCTCAAAAGGAAAGTTACAGTGGTAAGAATGACTAGTTTACATTGTGTTTTCGCTTCACACAGTTGGAATGAATAGCCATCAAATTTACCGACATCTACATCAATAGCCTTTTCGTTTATGATTCATGATTTAATCTTATCAATGGATGTGTTCTGCTGCTGCACCACAGAAGTTCTACCATTGCGTAGTCTACTCATAATTGTACAAAGAGATGCGTACTGCAAAATGTGATTGGTCATTCATGTGCACGTTAAATGTTCATTGACCAGCCCATAATACTATAAAAGCAAAAGAAAGTCAAACAGTGTTGTCTTGGACCCAAACATGACAATGGCAGGCTGTCACGCACAATTTCGTCTTTGTTTATTTGCTACGTTTGTCTAAAAATCGGTTGTATGCCAGTTTTATCGATAAAAGCCTTGCATATCTGGCGCATTAGGACGAAGTGGTACGAGTGGCCGAAAACCCTCCATAAAAGATATTTTTAAACCTTCTTACCTTTAACAAATGAGACGTCGCCATGTTTCTTCAACTTATCATCTCGCAGCATCTCGCGAGATCACTAGCTCCTTGATGAGGTAATGACAAATGCTGAAGACAAATCTGCGAAACTTTCTAAATAATTTGTATGTATTTGTTTAAGTATTTAAGACGCCGCTGTTTTATTACTTGATTTTGAATATTCTAAACAATTTACACATCGTCACGCATACTTAGCCAAATTATGTATATCTCTTGGCAAAAGAAAAGTAGCACGGTTAATGATTGTAGGGCTAAAAATGTATAATATCGATTTTAACACTTTGGGCAACTATTATTATTTCTTAAAAAAAAATAAAAATATTGTGTGGAAAAGGTATTTTTGACCTTAGGCATATATATTAGTTTATTATTATAGTATTAGTTGCCCCAGTGTATTGGAATGGGTATTTACATTCATTTTACATAAATTAGTTAAATTACTATTATTAGATTAAATTCAACTTTGTTGTCAATGCAGTTTAGCATCTAACCTGAAGTACAATTTTGCTCAACATTCTACACTTCTACCCTTTGGATTAAAAATATCAATCATATATCAATGTAATAACTATCGCTTTGGAAACAGTGATGAAGAAACAAAAGAAATTTGCGATCAGTGCCTTGTGACGTTGACAATTAGAACTGCCTAATCATACAGTGGGTCTTCTCCCATTCACATGCAAACAAAGGTAAGTAATCTTTGCCCTCTGAGTTAATAATTCAGCTTTGAAGCAGTGAACAGATCTTGGAGATTTGTGAGTGTGAATGTATTTGCTCTGTGCAAGCATGGAGACTCAACAGCATTACTTAGCCAGTATTTAGGGACCTGGATTCTGACATTAGAAGCAAATCCTTCTTGAAGGCAATGAAACAGTTCAAAATGGATCAACTTTTTACTTGGTAAGTTGAAACATACTCCCAACTAAGAGGCTGTGCATGTTTGGCAGGAGAATGTCTTAAGCTGTGAGTATGATTTGTTATATACATTTTCTCCAGGCGGCTGGCAAAGACCTTGGCAATGGGGCAGGGTTTGGCTACACTCATCTGTGGCACAGCCATCACATCGCAGTACCTGGCCACAGACTTCCATGTGGATACTCCTATGCTGCAGAGCTTCTTCAACTATGTGCTGTTGTGTGTTACCTACATTCCAGTGTTGATCTGCAGAAAAGGTACAAATCCAAATCCTTGTGCAGTCACTATTCAAAAAATCATGAGCAAGTTCTATGGCCAAAAGTTTGCGTGAAATATTATTATTTCATTTGGAGGTTTGTAGCATTGAGGAACAGGACTCCATTAGCAATATCTAATATCTAATACCATATACAGTGTACGCTTGACGTGGGCAATAATGTTCTGAGCATTCCCCTTTAAAACACAGGGGATCAAAATATTTTACAGATCCTCAAAAGTAAGTGGTGGAAGTATGCGCTGTTAGCGCTGGTGGATGTGGAGGCCAACTACACTGTGGTTAAAGCTTACCAGTACACAACCCTCACCAGTGTTCAAGTAAGTGCAATAAGATTGTGCTCTTTTTTCTGTCTTTATCAATACCATATTTTGAACACTTCACATTTTCACGTTGATCCAGCTGCTAGACTGTTTTGTGGTCCCAGTCCTCATGGTCTTGTCCTGGTGGATTCTGAAGACCCGTTTTAGACCAGTCCACTACGCAGCTGTTTTTGTCTGTGTGCTCGGAGTCGGAGCTATGGTGGGAGCCGATCTTCTGGCTGAACGAGACCAGGGCTCTAGTAAGTTGTGAAGACTATAAAATGTTTCTTTACATTTTAAAACCTCCCAGAAATCAATTTACCTGTAAACAAAGTCATGATTTCCCCTGTTATTCTTGACCTCAATTTGGAAGTGAGACAAAACTATATAATCAGGTAAATCAAACAATATATTTACAGGTATAAACTCAATAAATGCAATAATAATAAAGTTCATCAGCTGTACCCATAAACAAAACAGTCAGTTGTCAAACATTAGAAATATACTGAATTATTTAACTTTCTCAATTGTGTAATACACTCTTAACTTTAATAACTCTCAACGTTTTTCATTTGTTAACATGCGTCAGTTATGAAAATGAGTAGAAGTAAGAGCCTGAGCAAGACTGCAACGGGTTCATGGGGTCAATTTTAGACCCATCACATTTCTAAAAATCTAAGTCTAGGAATTGTTTTGGGCTAAATGAAGTTGAGAAAACTCCATAAAAATGTATGTTGTTGTTAATTAATTAATAATTGTATTGTATCTAATTTTCCAATTGCAACCTATCATTTTCATTTCTTTGTTTCTTCTATACTAGACAATAATTAGATAGTGATGTTATTACCTTGACATCTTTCGACAGTATACTACATGTCAAGGTAATAACATTGCTATCTGTCTGGTATAGAAGAATTCTTCTAATCTAAAGAAGAAAAGATGAACCATCCTAGGCTATATTGTTATATAGTCCAGTTGAACCCTAAATCAAACTTGTTTTATGAATATTGTTGCACATTGTCCTCAGCTGCCAATATCTTGTTGGGCGATGGTCTGGTGTTGCTCAGTGCCGTGTTTTATGCCGTTTCAAACGTGTGTCAGGAGTACACCGTGAAGAACCTGAGCCGAGAGGAGTTCCTGGGCATGATCGGTCTATTTGGCCTTTTCATCAGCAGTGTTCAGATGTGAGTGCTCTTGTCCTGATGATGCCACATGCAACATTAGTACATTTTTATTAGATTAAAGAATTGTGTGTGAAGGTGTATGGTAAACATGAACCAAATGTAAAGGTGCATTGCATATCAGATTATAGCAGGAGATTTCAATAATTTCATTGTATAATTTTGATGGTTTTTCTTTGTATTTTGCACAAATCACAATCAAATTTCAGCAACATATGTTCAAAATACCCAATAAATTGCTCAAATTAACATCACTACACTATATTTAGCTTGTTTTGACACTTTAACAATAATGCCAATAATTACAGCTTTCAACTATTCTTCAGGAGGAGTTGAAAGTTGAAAGTTTTCACTATAATCTATGGGTCCCTGAATGAAACATTCAAGAACCCCTCAACATTTTCAGTGAAATACAAGGTGATATGGTTATTGTGCACCGTTTAAAATGTTCTTGTTTTCAGGGCAATTCTGGAGCGAAGTGAAATTGCTGCCATTCAGTGGAATTGGAAAATTGGTGAGTTCACTTTAGGTTTTGGTAGAAAAATGTTTAACATGAATATACTGCTATATACACAGTTCATGTATTTTTAAATCAATATTTGTTCCCATTTATCACTATAATATGTTGCACATGCTTAATTCCAGTAAAATTCAAAGGTGCTATTAATGACTGCATATGTGATTGGACAGGACTGTTGTTCGGTGGATTCGCCCTGTGTCTCTACACGCTCTACAGCTGTATGCCCATTGTCATCAAACTCAGCAGTGCCACCTCAGTCAATCTTTCATTACTGACTGCAGACCTGTTCAGTCTCTTCTTTGGGATTCTTCTCTTCCATTACACGGTACGTTATACAAATACATCATAAATGTACAGTATACATGTAAATAATGGGAACACTCATCTGTATTATATAGCTCTGAAAAAACTGTAAAGTACTGTCCTTGGACAGATTACAGGTCACCACGCCCCAGCTCAATGCTGGAGCCATTAAACTACTTTCGCAACAAAATTCAACTTTCATCAACATCTTGCTTTCATGTCACACAAGGATCTTTTTCGATCTGGATTTAACCATCACTGTTAAATAAAAGCCAAGATTAAAAGCTGGTGTAAAAAAAATTATAAAATCCGTTAAAAGTCATAAAAACCTTTACGCTTGAATACAATAAAAAAAAAACTAATTTTTGCCCCTATAAAAATACGTTTTACTACGTTCTCTCCTCGGCTCTGACTATGCACTGCTTCAGCTCTACGGGTCTGTTCTTATTGAGTCTGTGGGTCTTTTGGCCATGGCCTGGGCTGCCAGACCATGGGACGTGTCAAGCTAGACCACAAGGCTCAAGCCTTCCCCGTGTCTTCTCCTCTCCCCTTCCCTGTCTTTTGTGGCCAGAACACAGGTGTCCTCATTGCATGAGGGCCAGCAGTCAAGTACGTGTAATAAAAAAAACACAAACATGCTAAACATGTATAGAAACACACAAAACCTGATCTAAAAACCACCGTCATGTATACAACATTATGTTACGTTTTCGTAATCCTTTTGCTCTAATACTAATTTGGTCTGTTTGTTCTTTCCTCAGTTCTCTGCACTTTACCTGGTCTCACTGGTCGTTATCATCATCGGCTCTATAATATTTAATGCAGTTCCCACTAAGACGGACGCAGATCTCCTTTTGCCTGAGTGTGAGGAAGGCATCTGTGAAAATTCAACGCAAAATTACTCCACATACCAAGAAACTGTGGACAGAATGGAGCTGGAACTCCAAGAGAAAAGGACAAGTGTCACAGGCAAAACTTATGAACATGAAGAACAGTCTTACCAAAAACACAAAGATGCTGTCTCATGTGGCACAAAACTCTAATGAACGTGGCCTTGTCATTTAATCCTGTCACTTTATAATAGATACTTGTAATAGCCGTCTTAATTTTCATTGATTGCATGATTATTTCGCTTGGACCTGTATGCTTGTTACAATAAATGTGAGTTACTGCCATTTATCCAACCTTAAAACTTAGTCTTTCAGTTCATTGTTCTGTAGTTGGTGAGCATGTAACAGGAAAACAAATAAAATACAAAACTAGGACAATGCCACCCTTTCAATATGATCCAGGTATGTACCATCAATATCATAACAACATTGTTTCTTTGGTCTTTACTTTTTTCTTTAATTGCGCATACATGTGTTTTAGTATTTTACTGAAAACTAGCCTTATTATTATTCAGTTTAAACTAGAAAGACAATCCTATGGCTTTGTGCCTCTGTGTCTAATTACAAGAGTCATTGCCCCCCACTGACTCTGCTCGTGTCGCAGGGATCAGTGCATGAGCGCCCAGTCGTGCTTCACTTAAAACCTATCAGGGAGAGCGCACGAAGCCATTCATTCACCACAAGAACAAACGATGCCAGAACGTGAGCTTTGCAATGACTTCAGGAGAGCTGCAGGATACTGAAGATTCACACATGATGGTAATCTGACAGAAATACAGAAGCCAGGACACAGGTATGGGAATTTTGTACAGAGGATCAACGAATCAATATTAACAAAAATTATCTTTATCTAATATTTACTTAATTTTTTTTTCTTTTTAATATTTGGTTTGGCAGCGTGATGGGTACTCAGGGATGACGTAAAGTGTCGACAGAAGGCAAAGATAAACAAGAGGAGAGACGTTCAAATCAAACACAAAAGGCAAAGGACAGTGCAGGTACAGTAATAAGCTTATCACAGCACGCTTCCTGATGTCTAATCAGCTTTAGTGAGCGTGTTTACAAGCAATTGTGTCAGACTGATGTAATATATTTACCATTGATTTGTAGGTTCACTAGCAGGCATGTGAGGTACATTAAGGACAGTAATGGAAATAGCTGCCTGTTTTGTCACGTTAAATATTTGCAGATGTTTTCATTAGTATGATATAATATGCATGCTTCTTTTGCTTAGACTTTGTGAACTAAGGCACAATTTGTCTAAAGCAATGTATGTATGTACTCAGAACTATACTTATTCACTATTAGAAATTAAAAATCAAGTTTATGTCCCAAGACTCAATTCCTTTCCGTACTTTTCCCTCCTTTTTTAACACATTAGACTACTTGTTAAATGCTATAGAGACTGGACTGAGCATGGGTAGTCAACCTTAGTCCCAGACCTCCGCTGGGGTAATTAGGTGATCAAATATTGATGGGTACACTGTGGGTGACTTTGTTGATGTGTGCATGGCTTTTTTTGTTGTACATGTAATAGATTTTATAGCAACATGTTCTGGCAGATCTGTGTTTCTCCTTTTAATCAACCTAAGCACCAAAATGTAGAAGTTGGTATAGAAAACCTATACCAATTGTCTGTTTTATCCGTAATTAGAAGAAATCTCAGTTCGTCATTGTATTGTTTTTATACTATTTTACCAGCCGTTCATTTGGTCATTAATGATCAAAATGCACAGAAAAATAATTGTGCATTGTTTTGAATGAATGATTGAATGAATGGATGGTTTTTATTCTGACAATATGAACAGAAAAAAACATCAACACCTGGAAAAGCACTTGTAGAGCACAGACCAATGGCAAGAGGAAGAAGTTCCATTCCTTAAATAAATACTGTATCCAGACGGTGATCCGGAACACCTCCAAAATCCGAGGTTTCCTAAAATAAATTTTAGCGAATTCGGCTATAATTTTTTGTTGTTATGTTGCTAACAAAACAGACAGACAGACAAACCCTGGTGAAAACATGAACCCAGTTTCAGGTGATAAAACATATGCAACATACTCTTCTATTCTCTGCAATCTGTCTGTAAAAGTGGAAGTAAATAAAAAATGTTTTTTATATATCTTACCCCTACTTTAATAATACAAAAGTATTCCAACTTTTTATCTCTTTGTCACATGAGAAGCATCTACCAAGTGTCAAAATGCCAGAGGCTTAAAATAACACGTATTAACAAAACATAAATAATTTATCATCACTAAAACACACAAACACACCTACACAAAGAACCTCAAGCTGCAATCTGATCTGGCAAGATGCACAACTACCAACGCAAATAACTTAAACTCAAAATAATGAATGCTACAATGACTCTTATTACAAACTGTATGGATGTTCAAGGAAACACACTACAAAAACGTAAATAATTAATAAAAATGAATCCGTAACTATGCTAGATTAAACATCCATATTATGATTTTGAATATTATTTTTTTACACTTTTTTACATCAAATTCTACTTGCATAATGATGTCTGCAATGACTCACATGTTTTTTTACCATAATGTTTTCAGCTCAGTGCATTTCAGCCACAGACCAGGATTTTACCCTGTGGCATTTTATATGGATTCCATTAAAACTCCCAGAAAACTCACCAGACCATCAAAAATTGGCTGCATATAATCTCTTCAGAACTCGTTCAATCCCTCCATACAACATTCACACATTTATAATAACTGTAATATATATATTTTTGTTTCTAGAGTCCAGAATATTGCTGATGTTCCAAAGAAACCCAACAAAGCACCATGGTCATTCTCCAGCAGGTAAATGAATTATCGCTGTTTGAACGGCAAGTCTATTGTTGTGCATTCATAGAAAATTGTTCATTCAGTGTTTTTCTCTTAATTGGAATCTGGGTGTTTTGCTTCTTTTCACACACATGATTTGATTGGAGTCCCTTTGAACACTGTTGTTGTCATTTCATCTTTTGTTGGACTTGTCATCCTTTCATAAACTAATGGCCCCTGACAGCTCCCCCTCGATTTCAAAGGGCAAAATGGGGCAAGCCAATAAAACCAGATCAGCTGATGTCTCTCTTTCTCTCCAAGCGCCACTCCACAACCCAAACTCATCACCACAAATGTTTATATCAGTCATTTGGTTTTAGCAGCAGTGGCACAGATTTCTTGTTCTATTAGCACTGAAAAGTTACGACCAAATCCAAATCACCTATTGCTTCTGTATGGAGGTTAATTTTGGATTCAATTATAATCTTATATGGCTGTGAGGACAAACAGAAGGGGCTCTGATTGGCCGCCTGAGGGCTGGGATCCCAACTTGCGTCGTCTCAGCTCTAGATTTGCAACACTTGTAAAGGTAAAACACATTTAAACTGCATTTTACCAGCTGCCTATCCTCACCAGTTTAATCTGAACATATTTATTTTCATTTAAATTTTCTCAAACAATGGCTGTGACTTTGCGATACTAAATGTTAACATCCATTGCTCACTGAAGGTTGAAAGTGGCTCCTGCAATGACTGATTGGAGATGATCATAACCAGTGACCTTTATCATGTCTCAGCTGGGAATATAAATGCAAATGAGCCAAGATGGTGGTGTCTTTTAAACATTATGTGAGCACAGAGTTTAAAGTGTGTTAAATGTTAAACAGCTCTGACACAGGTTGAGGGAATTGTGTGCGTGTTTTCTGGACCACAAGTTGGTCAGGTGTAAGAAGTTATTCTGTGAGTGTCGAGAATCACCAGCAGAGGGCAGCATACACCTGATTGTGTGTAGAGTTCAGGAGCACTGTTGAATGATTGATGCTTTGTCAAAACTTTAGGCAAGTTTTGTTTTGAGAAGAAAGAAGTACCCATAATATTCAAAGCTGGAGTCGCTAACCTTTTTCTTATTGATACTATTGTGTGTTTCTCCCAAAAGTTAAATGTGGTGAACAAATCAGACAACATCAAACTGTCGTTATCTCATTATGAAGACAGCTATCTCATTAAAAGAAAACTCAAATGTTATCGTTTTACATTTGACATATATTTTTTTAAAGTTTTGTTTCCGTACCCCAGCTTCAGATTAGAAGGTTTTTACCGATTCTCAAATGTACTATTATTGATTTTTTGTAATTTTACTCAAATGTTATGTTGTGGAACAGCTTCATGAGCCATCTATCACTTCACCTAAAAATTTGAAAAAGTTGCAAGATCAATGTTGTTTTTATTATGATTTAAATGTATGTCTGAGGTCATCCCGCCAACCTAATGCTGTATTTGGATTATATTTCTATACTCCTCTATAACACTGGTGCCAGAGTATGGTTGGTTACTGTCTATCATATTGATTCTGTATCTAGTTGTTTGTCATTAGAAATACTGACTTAACGTAACAAAAGTTGTGTTTTATTTATTTAGTGATGCCCCAAGTGACCGTAGAGTTTAAGTGGTTGCCAGTTAATCTGTGTATTTGCATCTCTGCAAATGTCATAGCTAAAGGAAAGATTACTCATCATTTACTGTCTAATGTCTCTTGAAAAAAATTAGACATTCTCTTTGTTCAAATCATGTCCCAAACAGATAGTAAAAAACAGATACAAAACAGACAGCAAACATCCCAGCGATTTAAATAATTTAGTGACCGGCTCCTGCTGGTTTGTGGTCTGCCCAGTGTGTGTGTGTGTGTGTGTGTGTGTGTGCGTGTGTGTGTATGTGTGCAACAGGTGTGTAGTGGTGTAATGTTCAGGTTGCTCATTTTGCCAGGTGAGAAATGTACCTAATTAAAGTGACACATACGTAACACACAACCCTAACATGTTTACAACTAAATGCAAAGCAGCGCATAACAAAGTATGAAGAGAGACCAAAACATTCCACACAAGTTAATTAATTAATTATTTTAAAAAATTGAAACTTCCATACATTCAACAACAACGCTACAGCTGTGTCTAATCCTTTAAATGTTCATTTTGAGAAGCACTTTGAATTTAAGTGCATGGAAATCCCACACCAAAGCACACACCTGAGGAGGAAGTGACATCTTGTTGCTACAGGTAACAGATGAGTTTGAATGGGGGTTGGGTTTACAAAATGAGAGACCGAGACATGAGAACAGGACCGTCCCGTGAATACTTTAAACACTGAAACTGCTATTTTTTACTTTGCACTAAACAACAACTACAATCTGGACAGCTACATTTGTATTTGGCATTTTCTTTTTACTGATAGATATTGATAATGTCTCTTGATGTGGATACAGCCTGGGTGCAGTTTTTCTGACTGTGCCATGAAAGGAAACTGAAGTTTATTGATTTTTCTTATTGCATTTTTGACTTTTTTACCAAACAGGGGATTTCATTTTTATTCATTTTTTGCTTTTGGGATTGAGTTACTCTTGCAAACATGTACAAGCGTCGGGATTATGTTGAACTTTACGAGAAGGATCTGGCTAAATGGACTCTTGTTAGAAATGTCAACACTGTGGTCAAGCATACTACGCTTCTCCCGGTACATGTTGTTTTATTACATGTTTTTCTTAATATGGAGTTTTGTTGTGCATTTGTAACCAATCACATGTGACACTTTGTGCATTAATATGTCTTTTTTTTTTATTTATTTCAAACATTCTTGAGAAATACAAACAATTATTCACAGAAAAAATGATAATAGGAGTTAACAAGAAAACCTGTGCGTGGTTTGAAAAGGCATTGGTCGAAGCAAATGAGGCTGTTATTTGTCTAATTGTTGAAACTCTCCAGTGGTTTAACCAAATTTCTTAGACATAGTTCTTAGATAAGTATTGAGGAAAATGTAGATCACTTAAAACTATAGATATTTTTGTTGTATTTCAGGGGGACTATGTCTGGTTGGATCCAAAGAGCGGCCGTGAGTTTGAGGTGCCAATCGGGGCAGTGGTGAAACTATGTGACTCAGGACAGATCCAGGTGTTGGACGATGAAGGAAATGTAAGACCATTTTTATTGACTAATTTTAAATGTCGCTGTTTTTTCTTTCAATTACCAACAAATTATTCCTCTCTCTGCAGTGAAAAAAGATTACCATTTATGATGAATGCAATGTGTTTTTCTGTTAAAGAACACATGCAAAATCGATTATTTTGAGATGTCTCAGTCCTGTATAGTATAATTTAATTTGACCACTATTACATAACGCTCAGAGGAGTTTTATGTCTTTTTAAACAGTAGTTTCCATTATTTTATATTTTCTTCTTAAGATATTGTTTCACGCACCAGGACACCCTAGGCCGGAGGTTGATGATCGACTTTGTTGTCGTATCATCTGACCTTCGACTGCGTGTCTCGGACACTCGGGTAAAGAGAGGGGCGGAGCTATCAACCGATCATCACCTGGTCGTGAGTTGAATCCGCTGGCAGGGGAAGAAGCCGGTCAGACCTGGCAGACCCAAGCGTATAGTGAGGGTCTGCTGGGAACGTCTCGCTGAGCCCCCTGTCAGACGGACTTTCAACTCACACCTCCGGGAGAGTTTCTCCCAGGTCCCGGCGGAGGAGGGGGACATGGAGTCCGAGTGGACCATGTTCTCTGCCTCAATCGCCGATGCGGCGGCTCGTAGGTGTGGTCGCAAGGTCTCTGGTGCTGGTCCCGGCGGCAACCCCCGAACCCGGTGGTGGACACCGGCAGGAGGAAGCCTCTCCTCTGTTACAGAGGCAGAGGCTGAGGATGTTGGGGCGGATACATCCATCTCCCTGGCTGAGGTCACCAAGGTGGTTGGTAGCCTCCATGGTGGCAAGGCTCCGGGTGTGGATGAGATCCGCCCTGATTATCTAAAGTCTCTGGATGTTGTAGGACTGTCTTGGCTGACACGTCTCTGCAACATCGCGTGGCGATTGGGGGCAGTGCCAATGGAGTGGCAGACTGGGGTGGTGGTCCCTCTCTACAAGAAGGGGGACCGGAGGGTGTGTTCCAATTATTGTGGGATCACACTCCTCAGCCTCCCTGGTAAGGTCTACTCCAAGGTACTGGAGAGGAGGTTACGGCCGATGGTCGAATCTCGGATCCAGGAGGAGCAGTGTGGTTTTCGTCCCGGTCGCGGAACACTGGACCAGCTCTATACTCTCCATCGGATACTCGAGGGTTCATGGGAGTTCGCCCAACCTGTCCACATGTGCTTTGTGGATTTGGAGAAGGCGTTCGACTGTGTTCCCCGGGGTGTCCTTTGGGGGGTTCTCCGGGAGTACGGGGTCGGAGGTCCTCTGCTGAGGGCCATCCGATCCCTGTATGACCGGAGCCAGAGCTGTGTTCGCATTGCCGGCAGCCTAGTTTATACTCGCGCGGCGCGGAGCTTACGGAGGTGACGTGACGTCACTTGCGCAACGCGTTGGTCACCGCAAGGCCCTTACGTCGCCTGCCGAGCAGCATCGAAATTTTCTAACTACGTAAAGCCTAGAGTATACTTGCGCGGCGTGGCTTACGTTAGCGGTTGCGGTGGACCTACGTAAGCACAATTGATGTTGTACTGGCGCGTTCCCCTTACGGAGTTTTGAGGAGAATGTTGTAATCCCACAACAAACCACATGAGGGCGATCACACAGGAGCGGTCCCATTTACGCTGCTACTTTGTCCTCTTCAGAACAACAATAGCAAACAAAGCTGTTTGAGTTCATTACACGTGTTTCTACTGTAGGTTTATGTGATAGTTTTATGGATTCATTATTTTATAAGTCATTTCAACTGTGATTCTGTGAATAAAGACACAGTTCTTGTTGGAAACATAGTTATTATTAAATAGTTTTCAGCACAAACAGCAAAACAATAATAGTGGTAAATATCTGAGACAAACATAAACGATTTACGAGTGCAGGAGGAAAGCAACAAACGCAGCTACGATTCAAACAAAGACAGGAACAGTGCAAAACAAACGACTGCACAGTTTATAAGTTATATATATGTTAGATAGTCCACAGTCTCCTGTTTATCAGGCTCTGAGCCCAAACTGCTTTTCCTTCGAAGCACAAAGCTCTCTGCTCCATAGTGCCTCGTCCATGTCCCTGCTGCAGCCGCTCCATGCTTCCTTCCAATACACACACACGGACCAATCACAGCGGAGATTCCTTGCGGCGACCTTTACGTAGTTAGAAAATTTCGATGCTGCGCGGCAGGCGACGTAAGGGCCTTGCGGTGACCAACGCGTTGCGCAAGTGACGTCACGTCACCTCCGTAAGCTCCGCGCCGCGCGAGTATAAACTAGGCTTAAGGGTCGCCGCAAGGAAGCTCCGCTGTGATTGGTCCGTGTGTGTGTATTGGAAGGAAGCACGGAGCGGCTGCAGCAGGAGCATGGACGAGGCACTATGGAGCAGAGAGCTTTGTGCTTCGAAGGAAAAGCAGTTTGGGCTCAGAGCCTGATATACAGGAGACTGTGGACTATCTAACATATAACTTATAAACTATTCCGTCGTTTGTTTTGCACTGTTCCTGTCTTTGTTTGAATCGTAGCTGCGTTTGTTGCTTTCCTCCTGCACTCGTAAATCGTTCATGTTTGTTTCAGATATTTACCACTATTATTGTTTTGCTGTTTGTGCTGAAAACTATTTAATAATAACTATGTTTCCAACAAGAACAGTGTCTTTATTCACAGCATCACAGTTGAAATGACTTTTAAAATAATGAATCCATAAAACTATCACATAAACCTACAGTAGAAACACGTGTAATGAGCTCAAACAGCTTTGTTTGCTATTGTTGTTCTGAAGAGGACAAAGTAACAGCGTAAATGAGACCGCTCCTGTGTGATCGCCCTCATGTGGTTTGTTGTGGGATTACAACATTCTCCTCAAAACTCGGTAAGGGGAACGCGCCAGTATAACATCAATTGTGCTTACGTAGGTCCACCGCAACCGCTAACGTAAGCCACGCCGCGCAAGTATACACTAGGCTTAAGTCAGACCTGTTCCCGGTGAATGTTGGCCTCCGACAGGGCTGCCCTTTGTCACCGGTTCTGTTCACTGTATTTATGGACAGAATATCTAGGCGCAGCCAGGGGTCGGAGGGGGTCCGGTTCGGAGACCACAGGATTTCATCTCTGCTGTTTGCGGACGATGTTGTCCTGTTGGCTCCAACGAACCAGGACCTGCAGCATGCACTGGGGTGGTTTGCAGCCGAGTGTGAAGCGGCTGGGATGAGAATCAGCACCTCCAAATCCGAGGCCATGGTGCTCGACCGGAAAAAGGTGCCTTGCCCTCTTCAGGTGGGTGGAGAGGTCCTTCCTCAAGTGGAGGAGTTCAAGTATCTCGGGGTCTTGTTCACGAGTGAGGGAAGGATGGAGCGTGAGATTGACAGGCGGATCGGTGCAGCGTGCGCAGTGATGCGGTCTCTGTATCGGACCGTTGTGGTAAAGAGGGAGCTGAGCCGAAAGGCAAAGCTCTCGATTTACCGGCCAATCTTCGTTCCCTCCCTCACCTATGGTCATGAGCTTTGGGTAATGACCGAAAGAACGAGATCGCGGATACAAGCGGTCGAAATGAGCTTCCTCCGCAGAGTGGCCGGGCGCTCCCTTAGAGATATTGTGAGGAGCTCAGTCACACGGGAGGAGCTCGGAGTAGAGCCGCTGCTTCTCCACGTCGAGAGGAACCAGTTGAGGTGGCTCGGGCATCTGTTCCGGATGCCTCCTGGACGCCTCCCTGGGGAGGTGTTCCGGGCACGTCCCACCGGGAGGAGGCCCCGGGGAAGACCCAGGACACGCTGGAGGGACTATGTCTCTCAGCTGGCCTGGGAACGCCTTGGGGTCCCCCCGGACGAGCTGGAGGAAGTGTGTGTGGATAGGGAAGTCTGGGCGTCTCTGCTTAGACTGCTGCCCCCGCGACCCGGCAACGGATAAAGCGGAAGAAAATGGATGGATGGATGGATGGATGGATGGATATTGTTTCACATTCTAAATCCTTCAATTACAAAGTACTGGACAAAAATAATGCATAAAAATTCTTATTTAAGTGGATTTCGTTTATCATATTTCTCTGCAGGAACACTGGATCTCACCTCAGAATGCCACAAACATTAGGCCAATGCATCCCACCTCTATTCATGGAGTGGAGGACATGATCCGGTTAGGAGACCTCAATGAAGCTGGTATCCTTCGAAACCTGCTCATCCGATATAGAGAAAAACTCATATATGTGAGTAATTTGATTTCATTCAGTTCAACTTTATTACAGACTTTAGTCATTTGTAGTCACTGGAAATCATTGAAATCTCCCTTAAGTTTCGTATGAAGAGGAGATGTCTCCACTTGTCTGTCTTGTCATTGAACTTTTTCCCCTTGTTCTATTCTTTCTTCTCTTTCTTCCTATAAAGACTAACTGTGGTGGCAGGGTAAGGCAGACAATATCGTAAAACATGCATTGTTTGTCTGGTTTACTTTAACTGGACCTACCCTGGTTCACTTGTTTGGTAGTTATACATCCACAAATAAAGCATTTTGCCCTGTGAACCAGAATCCAGGTCCAGTGAACCAAACAAAAGGTGCTCCCTTTTTCACCTCAAGTGTTTGTCCTGAACCGGCATAAAAGATGGAGCATGTGGTCTGCATGAACTGCCGGCTGTACAGCCTTGATATAGAGAGCATTATGTCAGAGCTTGTTGGTAAAGTGCACAGTGCGGCTGATGCCTGCATGTGTATTTGCTTCTAACATGGACGCCACTTCTCCCATGACTAACACTGATATGTGCTCATTGTCATCCATCACCATTTGAGCTGCGAGATCAGAGTTACCTTATCCACCCCAATGAGCTAACTGCTCTTACCGGCAGTCGCATGTGCATACACAAGGGCTGGGAGACCTAAATTATTTTTGCTCATAAGAAAGACATTTTTGTTTGTCTCATCCCAATGTAACACTATGAATAAATCAGACCACGACATGTTGAAATATATGTCATTGTTGGCACACTTGTATGAAAGAGCCATGTGGGTCACTATTTATGCTTTGGGAGTTGATTGGCTGAAAAAGTTGATATAAAGATATGACAGAAGCCAAAACTAGTGGTATTTTGAGAGTGTGGTTCCCCAGCTTTAACTGCTTCATACATTTACCAGCAGTTGATAATTGGTAATTGATTTCTGCTTTCTTTATTGTATTTCTTGTGGAATATTCAGACATATACAGGGTCCATTCTGGTGGCTGTAAATCCATATCAGCTGTTGCCAATCTACACAGCGGACCAGATCCGACTCTACACCAATAAGAAGATTGGAGAAATGCCACCACACATCTTTGCCATCGCAGACAACTGTTACTTCAACATGCAGCGAAACAACAAAGACCAGTGTTGTATTATCAGGTAGAGTACACACACACATAAAATACACACAATCTTTCACGTAACTTCACAAAACATCTGCTGTGTTTGGTTACAGTGGGGAATCAGGAGCTGGAAAAACAGAGAGCACTAAGCTGATCCTTCAGTTCCTCGCAGCCATCAGTGGACAGCATTCATGGATAGAGCAGCAAGTGCTTGAGGCCAACCCCATTCTGGAAGGTAGGAGCATGTAAAATAGCACCTGACCCACATACCCAACACACTGCAGTGCTCTCTCTCCCTCTCAACTATGTATAATAATAATCAGATTTTTCATATTGAATTGTTTTTTCATGTATGTACAGTAATTATGTACATTAGCTTGTGTTGCTGACTAGCGACTAAATAAATAATGAACAACACATTTAACACCCCATTACTATACCATCTGCAGTAGTGTAGTATCTATACCAACACATTTTGTTATCGTGACAGGACTGCCCACAATATAGATACTGTGCATAACATTGTTCCATTCTTCTTTGTAGCTTTTGGTAACGCTAAAACCATCCGTAATGACAATTCATCGCGGTTTGGAAAGTACATAGACATTCATTTTAACAAGAGAGGAGCCATTGAGGGAGCAAAGATTGAGCAGTACCTTCTAGAAAAATCCAGAGTTTGTCGCCAGGTAGGAATCAATAAGAATTAAAGGCTTTCATAGATAAGTCATTTTAGAAGTCTATGTTTCCTGTGTGACCAGGCATATGATGAGAGAAACTATCACATCTTCTACTGCATGTTAAAAGGCATGACAGAAGAGGAAAAGAAGAAACTCGTCCTCAGCAAAGCCACAGACTACAACTACTTAACTATTGTAAGTCGCTTCTTAAAAGTAGTTCATGTTTTTCTATTGTAGATGTTCAACTATTTGATTTAATTACAGGGAAAATGTACGGTGTGCGATGGACGAGACGACTTCAAAGAGTATTCCAACATTCGCTCTGCAATGAAGGTATTTTAATAGATATGTAATAGGGCTGCACAATATTAGAAATAAGTTAGATATGTGATAGTGGTGTCAAAGTAGCTATAACAATATTTACTGTCATATTTTCCTTTTTGATTTCCCAAAGAAACCAAAATAACAGTAATAATAACAATAGTGGTGTTATACTACTGTAGCCACAAACTCATTCTAGCCAATGTGGGTGTTCCCTGAGGTCTCCCATCAGAGTACTAACCAGGCCCTGCCCTACTTAACTTCAGAGATTTGATGGGGGGTGGCGCCACTATTGTTCTTTCCTACCACTCGCTCTAGCAGCAAATCATCAAGACGTGCATCATACAGAGATTGCACATCTTTGCTATACCAATATTGCACTTGCTATTATTGCGTAGCAATATCTTTTTGATATATTGTCCAGCACTCATGTATAATTTATTGATTATATATTGCTTTTATACATGCGTCACTTTAGGTATTGATGTTTACTGACAAAGAAAACTGGGAGATTTCAAAACTGCTTGCAGCCATTTTGCATATGGGGAATTTACAGTATGAAGGTATGGGAGGCAAAATATCACTAACTAACTGCAGTGGTTGAATGTATCTTAAAATTGTGTTTCCTTTAAAGCTCGCAATTATGATAACCTGGATGCCTGTGAAGTGGTTCGAAGTCCTCCTCTCACAACAGCATCTACGTTATTGGAGGTGAGACTCATCTTGAATACGTAAGTATACAAACATTAGGGAAAGACCAAATCAAATAATTGTTTTTTGTTCAGGTGGATTGTAAGGATTTGCAAAACTGTTTGACAAGTCGCACTCTGATCACTCGTGGGGAGACGGTGTCCACTCCTTTGAACATGGACCAAGCCTTGGATGTGCGAGATGCTTTTGTCAAGGTAGCTTATTTAGTCTAGTGAAATGTACTAGATTGGGATGTCTAGATTGAGTGCATGTCTTCTACATTTGCAGGGAATCTACGGGCGCTTATTCGTGTGGATTGTGGAGAAGATTAACGCCGCCATCTACAAACCTCCATCGTCACAGCCTAAACTCGCTCGCCGGTCGATCGGGCTGTTGGACATTTTTGGATTTGAGAATTTTGCGGTTAATAGGTAAATGACAACAGCAGCAATTTAAACAGTTGTGCTTGAAAGTTTACACACCCAGAAATGTCAATGTTTTTACCCATTTCAGATATTATGACACACACACACACGCTTTTTTCACTCATTGCTAGTGGTTGTTAGAAGCAATTTTTTGACAATGTAAATGTATTATAATGACAACAAAAACTAATCCAATTACCTTGATCAGAGGTTTACATGCCAAAATATCTGAACTCTGAACATTGTAAAGCACTTTGGGTGACCTTGATCTGTAAAATGCACTATATAGAAGTAAACATGACTTACTTACATCCCCCAGCCCCTTAAACACCTATTACAGCTTGGAGTCTTTTGTGGTTGTTGTAAATAAGGTTCTTTCTGATGGTAACGCTGTCCCTTTTTGTTTGCAAAAAACACATGTTTTGTTTTATTCCTGGGCCACCTTGCATGAACTTTTACCATTGATAGTGGATCAATGGTAAAATAGAAAACCTATTTTATTTGAGAGTATAGGGCTTCATACAACCACTAACAATGAGTGGGGGAAAAAGTGTTTGTGTTTTAATCTCTGGGTGTGTAATGCTTTATAATGGGTGATAAATTACCTTGATATTTTTTGTATTTGCAGCTTTGAACAACTGTGCATCAACTTTGCCAACGAGAACTTGCAGCAGTTCTTTGTGCGACATGTTTTTAAGTTGGAGCAGGAGGAATATAACCTTGAAAATATCAACTGGCAGCACATTGAATTTACAGACAATCAAGATGCACTGGACATGATTGCCATAAAACCAATGAATATAATCTCACTGATCGACGAGGAAAGCAAATTCCCTAAGGTATTCAATATTGTCAACAAGATAATCTGCACTTTCACAACAAATGCTGACCATGATCGTTAATTCTTATCGTTGAAGATGCAAACAAGAAACTCAAAAGTGTATGCATTTATTTCTCAATATCACGAAAAGAGAAAACATCTGTGAAATGAATGAGTAATTATAATAATATATGAGAAATAATTTCTAAGATTAGATTATTTATTTCTAATCTTATCAATAATATTTCACATACATTAACAGAAACACAACACAGTACAATACAATGTTTTAAAGAAGCACTGGATGAAGCCGACACACAACACAATACTATACAGCGCAATTCAGTCAATCATAGTATAATGTTGTTTACAGTAATACAATATAGTACACTAATACTGATGTTCTGAGACAAAACAAGGCAAAACACACTCACTCAGACAAGACTTCAGTTTTCCTTTATAAAAAAAAGGAACCAGGTTTTAACATTAACATTTAAAAAAAGATCCACTAGGGTAGTACAAAGTAGCTCCACACTCTGAGATACACATTGATTTTAAAATAGTGCTATATATTGTTTTAGACTGTAATTATGTAACGATTGATGTTCTTTCTTCTCAGGGCACAGACGCCACGATGTTGAACAAGTTGAATTTTCAGCACAAGCTCAACACAAACTACATTCCCCCAAAGAACAACTATGAGACTCAGTTTGGGATCCAGCACTTTGCAGGAGTGGTTTATTACGAGACTAAAGGTCAGAGGGATACACTTCTATTTTCCAAGTGAAGGCGACTTCTAACACTCTATATTTTTATGTTGAAATCCAAAAAGGTTTCTTAGAGAAGAATCGGGACACACTTTATGGGGACATTATCCAGCTGGTGCATTCTTCCAAAAACAAATTCATCAAACAAATCTTCCAGGCTGATGTTGCTATGGTAAAACAACAATATATAGATATTTTTTTTGGCTTAGATATTTTGAAGGAGACATATTATGCAATTTCTAAGTTTTTTAGCTTTTAACCGTGTTCCGACATTCTTGCCTCATAAAAAACAGACCTGGGGTTGTCTTTTTTTGTTAAAAGCCAAGACATCACACGCATCAGTTTCCAGACTTTTAAAACAAAAGTGTTGTCTCAAGTTAAATCACATTGGACAGGCCGATTCCATTATTTCCCCCCGAATACTTGTTCCACCATAGTATTTTCCACTGAAGTTATTATTAGTAGAAATCCTCACTGTAATTTTTTGTAGCCAAAATTAATGCATAACATGTCTTCTTAGTGAAAAGTGTATTTGTGTGTGTGTATTTATCAATCCAAGTGCTAAGCTGTGTGATTAAATGAATATAGCGTGTGTGGTGTAGTTCTATCTGCACATGCATTATAAATCAGTTTGCTGAAGGGTACTATACACTTCACGCACACGCAGCCGTTGATAAATACACCCCTCTGTGTGTATTGTGTTTTGCCGCATGAGTAATGTACAGCTTTATGCTAACATTACTGTTTTCTCTTCCCCTGTGTTTTTGCATGTGTGTGACAGTTTCTGTGTGGTTATGCTCCTGCTAGTACAGTGTGTGCTCCTGCCAAAAGTCTGCCTAAGGTAAACTTAATGGATTGATAGATATTGAAACTATCATTTTAGTGAAGAAGGAATCGTTCAGTCTTAGAACACCTATAGTACACAACATCTCTAGTTGAAATAAAATATTCTTTGCATAAAATGTTAAATATACAGTAGTTTGTATATTTTTTCTACAAAACTATTAACTGTTTAACTGTTTTAGACAGTTGTATGAATTATGAAAAAGATTAGAAAAACATTTTTTTACCCGACAACAAGGTCCAGATCTGCGTATTAGCTGTTAGCTACAGTATATGGCCTATGAATGGCATTTGTTAGTTGTAACAATGATTCTAGTTCTGTCCCAAAATAAACAAATATTATAATATAATAACAAGATAAAAGAAACATGCTTGTTCCATTGACAAAATAAACTTAAATAAATAGACTTTCCCCAAATACCAGAGATTTGCGAGATTCAAGAATGTTTTATTTATCTATTGTCCCTTTTTTGTTTTCAAAGAACTTAATTCTTTTCAGTCTTTGCGATGTTCTACTTACGGCCACAAACATTGCAAGTGTTTGATCATACAGCCACGCAGACAGTACACTTTCAAACCCATGCGAATTTACGATTTTGATGATTTCACTGCAACATCCAGGAAGAGTAAAAGCTGTGTTTCCATTGTTTTGGAAACTTTTGACAGGGGGCAGAGACCAGGAAGCGCTCTCCCACTCTGAGCAGTCAGTTCAAACGCTCTCTGGAGCTGCTCATGCGGACGCTGAGTGTGTGTCAGCCCTTCTTTGTGCGCTGCATCAAACCCAACGAGTACAAGAAGCCCATGGTGAGTGTTATATACCTGTGCATACATCATTATCACACCATTGCAAAAGACAAAAAAAACAGTAATAAACCACATACATTTAACTTTTTACCACAAAATATTTTTCTATAATCTAATCCATCTCGCTTTCAGCCCAAAGCATCAATTAGTTCCTCACTGGTCTCTTGGGACTGGTCTGTGAAAGGCGCTTTATAAATAAAGATTATTCAATTCAATTAAGATGAAGATGGCTTGTTGCGGGCTGATTTGTTCACACAATTTTAGTTTAGCAATTCTATTTCTGTTGGGGAACAAATTTACAAAATATATTATTCACATACAGGGTGAAAAAGTTAGGTACAGCAGCTTTAATTTTATATTTTCATTGTCCTAGAAGAAATGTTTTTTTCAAATGTTTTGGCATTTTTATATGTGCAGATCACACAAAGAACTGTTTCATTTTAGCATTTATTCAACTTCAATAATTTGCAATATATCTAGACTTTTCTATTGACTGTTCATAAGTCAATACCCTGCAAACTTTTCAAAGGATGTATTTTGTCTTTAGCTGTTTGACCGAGAACTGTGCGTGCGCCAGTTGAGGTATTCTGGGATGATGGAGACGATCCGTATCCGTCGTGCAGGATACCCCATCCGCTACACCTTTGTGGAGTTTGTGGACCGCTATCGAGTGCTGATGCCTGGAGTTAAACCCGCATACAAGCAGGTGACGAACTGTTCCACAGTGGAATATCAACATGTTGTACTCGACATGTTATCGTTTCATTACTGCAGTTGAAAAGACAAATGTAGATTTTGGTGTGACCCTTGTTTGATCAGGAGGACCTCAGGGGAACTTGTCAAAGGATCGCTGAAGCCGTGCTGGGCAGAGATGATGATTGGCAAATGGGAAAGACCAAGATCTTCCTCAAGGTGCAGCAAACACAGAGGGACTAACTCGGACTGTAATGGACGAATATTTTTACAGTTGATTAGTTGGAAGATTATTCTTTCAGATTATATTGTTAAAATCCTGAAAGGTCAAGGAATATGGGATTTGTTATACAAGTGTCCAAAGCAAATCACACGTGCTTCCGCTGGAGAACACATTGGGTTGTTTAACTAAAAAGAATACATTCTCATTTTAGCACAGTGGCTGAGTGGTTAGCACACATGCTTCTTAATAAGTTAGAGCTGCACCCAGTACACATAGCACCAGCCCCTGGGTTTGATTCCATTCGATATATATTTCATTCTGCAGTCATTATATAATTATTTGAGTCATACAAATCTGAGCAGGTTTAAACTTTGTGCAGTTTAAACAAGAATAATTACTAAATTTGACCACTATTCTGTGGGACGAATAAAGGAATTCTTATCTTATCTATTTCAATATTAGATTTGTCACAATAACTCTTTTGAATGAATACTATTTGTTACCTAGAAAAATTACAACTAACGATAATATTGTGCCACTGATGGAAGTAAAATATGGACATTTTTTCATTGTGTTCTAAATTTCCTTGAAAAGTATGCGCATTGGAAACAGCAGGATTAAGTAACCATTAGTCTTATTGAATCTTCTACATCTGAAATGTCCTTGTTTACAAAGAAACTAGCAAAATTATTATTGTGACAGGCCTACTTACTTACATTTAGATACTTGTGCTTTTAATGATGGGAATTGTCAGTTGAATGCGTGAGTTTGACTCAGGAAAGAGAGGTCAAATCAGGGCAGTGGCCACATTTCCCATTCAGGATGTGTTTTATAGATAGCAGGCAAAGGGGCAACATTGCTGAGCTTTTCTACTTGTTACGTCAGTCTTTAAATTCTTTTTATTTGCAACGATATTTGTACAGATCTTCTTCTTTGTATTTATCTATATTGCTAGAATTTCAATAGTTTAATCGTTGTGTTCTGTTGCATAGGATCACCATGACATGCTCCTGGAGATCGAGAGGGACAAGGCGATCACTGACAAAGTTATTCTCATCCAGAAAGTGGTGAGAGGTTTTAAAGACAGGTCAGTGCTTTACTCAAATATTACGCAAAATAGTCTTTTTTGGGTTTTTTATTTATGGTTCAACATTGTTCACACATCACAAATGTTCTGGGAGCTTCTTTCTAGGAACTTTGGCCATGAACTACTGTATATCAAATACATCCTTCCACCTCTTTCACCCATTACTAAACTTTGACACCATGGACAGAGCTGTTTTGTGCTGGTTTTATTTAATTCCCTCCAAATTAATTTTGTGAATTTCTCCACCGACATTAAGATCTTTACAGCTCCTTATCTTCCTTCATAGCACCACGCCTTCTTTGGTGTGTTTGCCCAAAGATCCAGATTCAGATTCATTTATTTGCCATTTGCAGTAAAACCACATTGGAATACATTTGCAAAAGTCTATAAATTACGTAAACAAAACAAATGAAGGTGAAAAGAGTGGGTTTTAGTCAAGATGCTTTCTTTAATCATTATCCGCTCATTCCATATTTTTTCTACTTACTAAAACTTTTCACATTCTATGACATAATAAAACATGAAATCTAAATAAAGCCCCGACAATACATATATTATTTTTATTTTGGAGGAATTTTAGGGGTTTTTAATAAATAATGCATCCATGGACAACTGTAGTTATGAAAAATGTGTCATCCAAAAATGACATTATTTTGTGCTACAGGTCAAACTTCCTGAGAATGAGGAAATCTGCAGTGCTTATTCAGAAGACATGGAGAGGATATCAATGCAGGAAGAACTACGGAGCCGTAAGATAGATCCACATTTACTTCATATTGTCAAATGAACTAAAAGCTAAAAATTGTCTAATCATTTGTTTCAGATGCGAGCAGGCTTCTCTCGTCTGCAAGCTCTGGTCAGATCCAGGAAGTTGTGCGCCTCGTATCACGTGGCCCGTCAGCGAATGACGCTCTTCCAGAGCCGTTGTCGTGGTTACCTGGTGCGGCGGGCTTTTCGACACAGACTGTGGGCCGTCATCACCATTCAGGCGTTCACCCGCGGCATGATCGCCCGTCGGCTCTACAAGAGGCTCAGAGGAGAGGTATGGGATGAACAAGATCTAGATTTGGATGATTATGATTTTGATATGGTTTCACAGTATAGTGCTAATATTACTAGGTGTTATATTGCTGCATACTTGTTTCCATGGAGATTTCATACATTTTGTTTTGTTGCTGCAGAAAGAGTAAAAACTAAATTCTGTGACCAATCAATAATATGCTTTGTTCATGTTATCAGAAAAAAACTCAATAAATGACGTTGGTATTTGAAAACGGTGTACTAAATTGTTTATCCTAGAGTTTAAACTAATTGTAGAGTTGTAGTAGTTACCATGTTCATTTTTAAAACCAGCTTTAATTTGAACGGTACTCCTGGTAAAATAACTATCCTCTTGCATAGTGTCCCTCCTTATTATCAATTTACAGTCAATACATATTATTGGAACATTTTATTAAAACACATCGCTGATGGTTTTTCTTAGTATCAAAGGCGGCTGGAAGCAGAAAAGATGCGCCTGGCCGAAGAAGCCAAACTGAGAAACCAAATGTCGGCCAAAAGAGCCAAGCAGGAGGCAGAGCGAAAGCACCAGGTAAAGACAAACACGTTATGACGTATCTCCAGAGCTCTTATGTGACCTGGATCTGTAACTGTGTCTGTGCAGGAGCGCCTGGCTCAGCTCGCCAAAGAGGACGCTGAACGAGAGAAGAAAGAGAAGGAAGAGGCACGAAAGAAAAAGGAGCTGGTGGAGCAGATGGAGAAGGCGCGACAGGAGCCGGTCAACGATTCAGACATGGTGGACAAGATGTTTGGCTTTTTGGGGACTACAAACTCTCTCCCAGGGCAGGAAGGACAAGCCCCTGCAGGGTTTGAGGTGAGATGTGAGCCAGTCCTTTTTTTTAAACGTTTCATAGTACCATGACTGAAACAAAACGGCCCCTCTGCTGTTTACAGGATCTGGAGCGAACATACCGTGAGTTGGACGAGGAGGACTTGGATGAAGCTCTGCCTTTGCCTGAAGACGACGATGAAGAGGATTTGTCTGAATACAAATTTGCCAAATATGCTGCAACCTATTTCCAGGGGAACACCACACACACATACGTCCGCCGGTCTTTAAAACAACCGTTGCTCTTTCACGACGATGAAGGAGATCAGCTGGTGGGTTTACGTTGGATTCTATAGTGATGCATTTCACTATTAAGAATAAAGAATAGAACATGTTTTCTTCTGTTCTTGCACAGGCTGCTTTGGCCGTGTGGATCACAGTGCTGAGGTTCATGGGGGATCTACCTGAGCCTAAATATCACACAGCTATTAGTGATGGCAGTGAGAAGATCCCGATTATGACCAAAATCTATGAGACTCTCGGCAAGAAAACGTATAAACGTGAGCTTGCAGCACTGCAGGGGGAGGGAGAGGTGAGGAGCACGGGACTTTACAGAGTTAGTCTTATTTTGATGTACTTTTAATCTCTCATGTCATTCATAGAACACACCCGCTGAAACCCCCAAGAAGAACAGTGTGCGGCACAAACTTGTGTCTCTGACTCTCAAGAAGAAATCCAAGATCACAGAGGAGGTGAAAACAGCTTTATGTGTTTACGTTACACTATTGTTCCCTCCCTCATCAAAAACAGACCTGGTTTTGTTTTTTCGCTTGTATGTATGTTACTCCATCCCTTCTACCTAAAAGCTCCTGTCTCCGTCCTGTATTAGTTTGATGTAATTGTACCACTATGGAAGTTGTCTTTAAATAAAACAAAAGTATTGTCCCTATATTAGATAATTCTCAAGTGAAATTATATTCTTTTTCAATTTACACATGGTTGTGTTTGCAGCAGTCATTTTCAATTAATAAATAAAGTAAAGTCCCATCATTATCATTTGTAATGTCAATCACCACATCTGTTATTTTCAGGTGGCTAAGCGTCTGAATGATGGTGAGCCTGGCCTCCATGGGAACAGTATGCTTGAGGACCGTCCCACATCAAACTTAGAGAAACTTCACTTCATTATTGGCAACGGCATCTTAAGACCAGGACTCAGGTGGTTTACTGTCACCTTTAGCTTAAGGTGCTTTAGTTTTGTGTGTTTTATAATGTTTTCTCCATCACTTTGTCTTTAGAGATGAGATTTATTGTCAGATCTGTAAACAGCTCAGTCAAAACCCCTCTAAAAGCTCTCATGCCCGTGGCTGGATTCTCATCTCTCTGTGTGTCGGATGTTTTGCCCCATCTGAGAAGTTTGTCAAGGTTCGTGCTCATAACATGATGGGATCAATATATTTACTTTATATAATATTAACATAATAATACATATTTGTGACTGCTCCATCATCAGTATCTGAGGAACTTCATAAACACTGGGCCTCCCGGTTATGCTCCATACTGTGAGGAGAGGCTGAGGAGAACATTTGTCAACGGAACAAGAACGCAGCCTCCATCTTGGCTCGAGCTGCAGGCCACAAAGTCCAAAAAGCCCATAATGCTTCCAGTGACCTTTATGGACGGCACGACCAAAACACTCCTCACAGACTCGGCCACAACAGCCAGGGAGCTCTGCAACGCTCTGTCTGACAAAATCAACCTCCGAGACCGATTTGGCTTCTCTCTCTACATTGCCCTCTTTGACAAAGTAAAGTCATACGTGTACATCTATAAAAACACACAATAAACTGCTAAATCAGAGTTGTATATGTTCTACAGGTGTCTTCTTTAGGTAGCAGTTTTGACCACGTGATGGACGCGGTGTCGCAGTGTGAGCAGTATGCCAAAGAGCAAGGGGCTCAGGAGAGAAACGCCCCCTGGAGGTTGTTCTTCAGAAAGGAGATCTTCACGCCCTGGCACTGTCCCACTGACGACCAAGTGGCCACGAATCTGATCTATCAACAGATTGTCCGCGGAGTCAAGTTTGGAGAGTACCGCTGTGACAGGGTAATTCTACTGTACCTTCAGCTTTAAACACTAATAGAAAAACATTTAAAGGTCATTTCAGCAACTCTAATTGTATTTAATTTTTCAGTGAATGTATATTTTTGTGCAAATGACACAAAAATATCCATCATGTTCATTCAAAAAGTTGCTCACCACAGTTGAGGAAAGCACCTTCTACTGTAAGAGACTTGAACATTTATATCTTCTGTGAACATTTATCAATATAAAACAAGCACAACAGGTCAATACTTGACAAAAGGGTCTGCTGTAAACTATAAAAATCTTAACTCAGGTGTGAATGTTCCAGTTGCACAGAATGGATGAATGAAAATAAAGAACAATAATGTTTGCATTCGTCATGTTGAGTTTCTGCTATCATGGAAAACATTGTAGTTATTTCTGGATGAATAAGTAAATTTTCTTCATTAAGTACTGTATACTAACCGCTGTAGTCTTCTCTGTTGTTTCCTGGACGACAGGATGATTTGGCAGAGTTGGCCTCGCAGCAGTACTATGTGGACTATGGTTCAGAAATCCTCCTGGAGCGCCTCCTGAGCCTCATCCCCTCCTACATCCCAGACCGCGAGATCAGCTCCTCCAGAGGGGTGGAGAAGTGGGCTCATTTCATCATGGCTGCCCACAAAAAGGTTTGCAAACACTGTAAACAGAGCCTTCATAACGGCGTATTAAAAATGTTGTGGTACTTACAGTAGATAAATGTGTTTGTCCTCAGAGTATCTACACTCAGAACAGGTTTGATTCACTCAAAGTGAAGGAGGAAGTGGTGGACTTTGCTCGACACAAATGGCCTCTTCTTTTCTCACGCTTTTATGAAGCGTTCAAGTTTTCAGGTAAGGTTTTGTTAAAGAACTATGGCTTTTGAAAATAAAATTAACAACGTGATAAGATGGCTTTTTATGCCTACGTCAGGGCCCGTTCTACCCAAAAATGACCTGATTGTGGCTGTGAACTGGACCGGTGTATACTTTGTGGATGAGCAGGAACAGGTCCTCCTGGAGCTGTCATTTCCTGAAATCAGTGCGGTCTCCAGCAGCAAGTATTTCACACATTACAGATGATGCATCATTATCTATTATTTACATACTCAGTTTATTAAACATGCTTTCATTTTCAGGGGAGGGAAGTTACAGGGCCAGAGTTTCACCATGGCTACCATCAAAGGTGAAGAGTACACGTTCACTTCAAACAACGCAGAGGACATACGAGACTTAGTGGTCACCTTCCTCGAAGGCCTGAGGAACCGCTCTAAGTTTGTGGTAGCACTACAGGACAACCCCAATCCCGGTAAGCCTAATAACACAACTCTGAAGTAGTTTGAGGCTTATCATGTATGTATCACTGTCTTCAATGCTGCTTTTTGTGTTTTTATTTCTCAGCCGGAGAAGATTCAACATTCCTCAGTTTTCAGAAAGGAGACCTGATTGTGCTGGACCAAGACACAGGAGAGCAAGTCCTAAACTCTGGCTGGGCTCATGGCATCAATGAGCGAACCAATAAAAAGGGTGACTTTCCTGCAGACTGTGTCTATGTTCTGCCATCGATGACGCGACCACAGCAGGAGATTGTGGTGAGGGATCAATGAATAAAGTTTCCAGTGTAGTCGCTCTCCCAAACTGTTCTTCTTTACATGGATTTGTTTGTAATCAGGCTCTAGTTACCATGACACCAGACCAGCGGCAGGAGTCGGTCCGTGCGTCTCAGCTCATGATGCCAGAGACAGACGAGCGACTGAAACCCTACACGCTGGAGGAGTTCTCATATGACTACTTCAGGTACACCTTACACACTCTTCGGTCAAATCAAGAACACTCAAAAAAGCTGTCTATTCATCCCATTGTATCTTCTGCTTCGTTTTAGGCCACCTCCAAAACATACCTTGAGCAGAGTGATGGTCACCAAGAATCGTGGCAAAGACAAGATGTGGAGTTGTACGAGGGAGCCTCTCAAACTCCCTCTTCTTAAGAAAGTGGTCAACCATGAAGAGCTGTCTCAAGAAGCCTGTATGGCCTTCATTGATATCCTTTCTGCTATTATATAACAATACCAACTTAGCCTACACTGCAATAAGGCAAAAAATTATCAAATTTGGCTAAATGTATCTCAATTTAAGCACATTTTGACTGCCTTAAAACAAGATTTGCCAGTGGGACATGCAAAATGATATTGTTTCAAACCAAGAAATGTCTCTCTTAGTTTGAGAAAATAAAGCAACATTTCTTGACTAAATGGCTTGTCCAATTGGAAAATCTTGTTTTTACTAAAAGCTTACTTTATTTTGTAGAGGCCTCTAATTAAACAAAATAAAAAAATAATTATTTTTGTCATTTGTGCTTCTACGTCTTTGAAAATCAAAAACTTTTTACATTGGAGTGAACACAAAAGAGTTAAGACAGTCAGAATGTATCAATTTATCATAAAACCTCTTGATTCAACCCAGTATTTCTTCACTTTTTGCAGTGAAACATGTACACAGTTGTGAATTGTTGTGTTTTCCTTAACTGCCCTCACCCATGATGAAGTATATGGGTGACTATCCATCAAAAAGAACCCGCTCGGTGAACGAACTAACGGATCAGATTTTTGAAGGAGCGTTGAAGGCCGAACCATTGAAGGATGAGATATATTGCCAGATCCTCAAACAGCTCACAGACAACCACGTCAAGTATGTAGCCTGTACCGTTACGCACAATCGTCATTAAGTTAAAACATCTACATTTTCGCCCATGGATCTTGTGCAGGTACAGTGAGGAGAAGGGCTGGGAGCTGCTGTGGCTGTGCACCGGTTTGTTCCCGCCCAGTAATGTGTTGTTACCTCACATCCAGCGCTTTCTTCAGTCCAAGAAACACCACCCCCTGTCCGGAGACTGCATGCAACGAGTGCATAAAGCTCTGCGGTACAATCCTAATAACTGTTTTAAAACTCACAATTCGGTTTGGAATCTGGTCCCATAATTATAAAATTGTTTCCACAGTAATGGGTCCAGGCAATACCCTCCTCATTTGGTGGAAGTTGAAGCGATTCAGCACAAAACAACACAGATTTTCCACAAGGTTTACTTCCCTGATGATACAGATGAGGTTTGTAATATAAATAAATAACTATTAAGTCTATATAAGTAAACCTAATTGTATTGTACCCACAGCGAGTTTCTTTGTTGTTGCTTTTATTTTAATTTACTTTTTCCCCTATGTTTCCGTTATAGTTTGTTAAACCCTGGCAGTATATTTTGTATATGTATGGATGGGTGGATAGTTAAGAGCCTTAAAACTGCTGTAGTTCTCAAAGTGGCAGGTTCGAGATAATTTTATTGTTCAATTCTAAAATCTTGTCACAGGATTTCACCTATAATTTTACATAAAACAATCATTTATGAGACATTAGGTCAAAAACAAACTCAGTCTCATTGTGTAATTGTTTGTAATTCAGATCCTATTAAAGGAAATGGGAAACATCAGAGGAAATAGGATCTGGATTACACATTTCAGTGTTGTTTGGTGTTGGATAATAATAAAATGGACATGTTTGCACACCAACATTACATACTCCCTCTACTGTTGTTCTAGGCTTTTGAGGTTGAGTCCAGCACTAAGGCAAAGGATCTGTGTCAGAATATTGCAACGCGGCTGCTGCTCAAAACTCCAGACGGCTTCAGTCTGTTTGTCAAGATCGCAGACAAGGTTCAATCTCTTTTACATTTCTAGTTATTTGGCATTATGTTTGCATAATGTTTACTTTATCCCTGCAGGTGATCAGTGTGCCACAGGGAGACTTCTTTTTTGACTTTGTGAGACACTTGACTGACTGGATCAAGAAATCTCGACCGCCCAAAGAGGGTTAGTTCTGTCTTTTTATTTGCTTAATTATGTTTTTAAATGTTGTATTTATTTGTCGTTTAAATTTGCTTTTGTTGCAGGGATTGTTCCTTCTCTTACGTATCAGGTTTTTTTCATGAAGAAGTTATGGACAACCACAGTCCCGGGGAAAGATACTTTTGCTGATTCAATTTTCCACTATTATCAGGTTTGTCTTGTGGAAATCCATCACATTCCTATTGGATAAAATTGTAATATCCTTCACTCATTCATCATAGGAGCTGCCAAAGTATCTGCGCGGTTACCACAAATGTTCCAGAGAGGAGGTTTTCCATCAGGCGGCACTTATTTACCGCGTCAAGTTTGAAGACGACAAATCCCATTTTACAACAATTCCCAAAATGCTGCGGGAATTGGTGCCTCAAGATCTGATTCGCTTAATGTCGCCAGATGACTGGAAAAGGGTGAATTTTCTATTTGTTTCCGTCTTTCTCAGCTTTTGTGTCATGTTAATTACAACTCATGTAATTGTGTCCAACAGTCAATAATTGCATTCTTTAACAAACAAGCTGGTAAATCCAGAGAGGAGGCCAAACTAATGTTCCTGAAGACCATCTACAAATGGTCCACTTTTGGCTCTGCTTTCTTTGAGGTCAAGGTAGGACCACACTGTTATAATGAGCTATCATTAGTTGGTGTCTTTTATGCCTCTTTGTGTTTGTTGTTTCTATGCAGCAAACAACAGAGACCAAGTACCCAGAGATCCTGCTGATTGCCATCAACAAGCACGGCGTCAGTCTCATTGACCCCAAGACAAAGGTGGGAACTTTTGAGAAATACTTTGTGGTCATTATCTCTGTGCAGTTTCATTAAAGTGCTGTCATTCTTACTCAGTATTTTCAGTTTTATAGAAAGTGACTTTTCCCTGTGTTTCTGTGTTCAACAGGACATCTTAACGACTCATCCCTTCACCAATATTTCCAACTGGAGCAGTGGGAATACATACTTCCATATCACCATCGGGAACCTGGTTAAAGGAAGCAAGCTGCTCTGTGAGACGTCGCTGGTGAGTATCTTTTCTCTGGACATTTTTGAATGAATATTGCTGTTATTGTTTTTCATTCTCCTCATGTTTACAGGGCTACAAGATGGACGATTTGTTGACCTCTTACATTAGCCAAATGTTGACCACTATGAACAAACCGCGCTCAGCGCGAGGCCATAACAAGTGAACTTCTTACTGGCAGGAGGCCCGTGAGCTTGTCCGAATGTTGCGTCCTATTGGCCAGTACTGCAGCTGGGGGCGGACCTTCTCCCAACAGCTGTGGAGGATGAGCCGCAGTCCTTCTGCTAGCTCCGAAAGTTCAAAGCTCACAGAGGAGAGCTCCGCTGAGAGCAGCGACCCCGGCGAAGGCCCGAGTCACTACTACAGCAGCAGCTGCCCCAGAGACCGAGAGGAGGAAGAGGAGGAGGAGGAAGACTCCAGTGAGGATGACTACCTCTGACATGTGCACACTCTGGACTACAGAGGGCGCTGTTTAATCTATGTTTGAGTCACAGGGAAAAAACTTAGAAGCTTGTTTTTTACGCTTACTTTTAAATACAAGGCAGAATACTTTGACAGTTTAAGTGGCTGATATTATTTGTATATTTTTATGTGACTTCCCTTTTTCTCTTATTTGAATTAAGTGAAAAAACTATTATAATTGTTTATCTACTTCTGGTATTATATTATATTTCTTAGGGTTTTATTAAACTAGTGCTGAGAGCGTTAATAATAGTGGTCACAGACGAGGGATAAATGTTTTGGTTTCAGCACCTTGCCTTATGATTTCAGCCGGTTTGGAAATGAGTCCAGCCTCCAACTGATGTTTATTTTTTTTCTATTTGGGCAAAAATATTATTTGTTATTGTTCTTTGTTATTATTTCTTTTTAAGGGGCTTAAACTTCTAACATTCAGTTGACCGAGATGTTTTGAACATTGATTAAAGAAGATGTTTTTATTCTACAAAAATCCCATGAGGAAGAGTGAACACAAACAAAAGTGTCTTGAATAATGTATGATATTTTAATTAGTTTCAAAGGACTTTGAATCTGACTTATGAGACCAAACAAACCATTATCTCTGGTTGAGCACAAAACAACAAAAGTCTCGGAGTGTTTCAAAGTCGAAAGCTGAACATGCACTTGTGTAAACAAAGGGGCCGCACTGAGCACAGACAGATATGATGTCATAGATGTGTTAATTTATAACCTTTTTACGTTATGCCTTTTGTTAAATATTGTCTCTTTGTAAACAGATTCTTGTGTTGCCAGTTTAAAATAAGTTTCAAATGATAAAAACACTCATCGTCAATTATTCTTTTTTGTCATTTATTTGACACTTTATAAACACTATTTAAACAGTTATAAATAAATGCTCCATGCACAAACTCTGGACAAAAATCAGCACATACAGACTTCTATTACATAAATAAATAATAATTACTGCTTTTTCCAACATTCATACAACAAAATACAAAGATATTTATAGATATGGTTTTTTTTTGTCTTAATTTTTTGTTTAAATATACACATGAGCTACATTTGAACTGGGCTGTGGATTCTTAGTCTTCTCGTAGATAGGCCTCGTGCACCTCGTGTTCACTGTTCTGGAGAAAAGCATGATACTCGGCCATTCGCTGGATTTCGTCCGCTTTGGTTTCAGCCAGGTTTTTGTCTGCTTCTGCCGACACTTTCTTTGCTTCATCGATCTGGGACTGGGCCAGCTGGATGTTGGTCCTTATTGTGATAGATGCTTGGTCCGCTCCTGCAAACAAGCACAAAGGAAACTGTTACTATAATGAAACAACAAAACACAAAACTCATCTAGACTTTGGCTGTATTAAAGCTGGAGTATCTAACTTTTGTTGTTGTTTCAGAAATACATGTTGTTCTTCTTTTGTTTGTCTTGTTTAAGTAACATTTTGAGAAGGAATCAGACTTAACCTGCTGTCATTATCTTATCAGAGGACATTGGATTTTTGGGGTGCTGAATGGCTGGTACTTTCTATTTTACTGGGAGGAAAAACTGATCTACAAGAGAAAACTAGTGAGAGCAACTAGTTACATGGATGTATAGCTAAAGTTAGGTACACCAGCTTTAAACTCAACGTAAAAAGCCCACTGTTTGTACCTGAGACATAAGCTGCCTCTGCTGCCAGTTTGGACATAGTCATGGCGTTTATCCAAGTTGACTCGTAGTGTTTGCATTGGCTCAGTCTATCAGCAGCCTGCAGAAATACAAAACTATAAATGCCCGACTGAAACAACAATTTTGCACATAACATTTTGTGTGTGTGTGTGTGTGTGTATAGACTTACCTCTGCACGTTGGTTGTTGATCAGCTGCCAAAGAGAATCATCTTCAGACGGGCTCAGCTTTCCCAAAGTGGCTAAATACTGTCTTTGGAGAGCGACACGAGTATGGACAGCCTGGAGACAGACATTTTGATATTATTAACATCATCATCATGTGTGAAGAATGCTCTTTCAATGTCAGGAAAGAAGAGAGAGTGATACCTTTGCATAGTCTGTGATAGAGTCGATGAGGGCAAGTGTGGTCTGGGAGAGGAAGGTGCTGGAGCTGTCGGTGACCACTGAGGCGGCTCTTCTGATCAGAGAGTCGTAGGAGAGGTTCTCAACTTGCTGCATAGAGAAAAGGGAAAGGCTGTGTTATTTTACAATTTCTAAACAAAAAAATAAATGCAAAAATCTGTCACCAACCTGCGAGAAAGGAACAGCATAGAGTCCAAGACCGACGCTGAGAGAGGCTTTGCTCATGTGTGAGTTTTTTGGTGTATCTTGCAGTTTCTGGGAGGTAGGATTCAGTCTGCTCAGTATGCCACTGTCAGAACTGAAAAGGAAAAGAAAAGTTAAAATACAGCACTGGTATATCTTAGTAGCAAGAGGTAAAAAATGCTAAAAAATTTAATTCTGCAGTATAAGCAGAGACCTTACCTTGTAAATCTCTTGCTGGTCAGAGCCCCTGTGATGCGGCCTGCACACACTGAACAACGAACAGCCTGCATTGTGCACAAAAATGAGACTTCTAGGACTGAAGAAAAAATATGAAGTTAAGTTCTTTTGGTCTGGAGCTGCTTTTGAGGCTTGAGACTACTGAATTTCAAGAGGCCAAGTCCGGGTCTTTTATAGGCTGAGAGTTGCGCAAAACATATTGATTGACTATTGACTCTGACTTCACAAGTGCGTATATGGCATTATCAGAGCGCACAATCACATACACAGTACGTGCAGATGGGAGAAACACCTGTAACCTGTGTTGTATGTTCCTCACTTCATATCATATCATACTGTTTGACATTTCCAGTGTTTTTTTATGTTTTTATCCTCTGTGCTGTTCAAATGACTTGCCCCTGGTGGGATAAATAAAGTCTGAGTCTGTGTTTCCTCTGTGCATATGAATTATTCAGTAAGAAGTATCAGTAAGAAGTATATTTTGTTTTTTTGCAGGGACAATGCACATTAAAGCTGGGGTACCTTAACTCTTGCAGAAAGAGTCTTGTAAAAGTAAAATGTTGTGAATCAATCAGAACAGAGCATGCATTTTACGAATAACAATGTCAACTGTAGTCTCTGTGCAATGTGAAGACATGCCCAATGCAAAATGCAAACACATAAATGATAAATGGCAAGTTGTTTTCCAATGTGGTTTTACAGTAAATGGCAATTAAACTGAATCTGAACTTAAAGCAAGAATCTATAGGTTACTTGAGGCTTGTTTACACTATCTTATCTTCAGATATGTATAATTATTACAACTAGCCAATAGTGCTGTGCATTTGCTTGCTATCATACTGTATTATTTAAGATGTATATATATTTTTTTAATATATAGCATGACTTTCTTTTAGTGCTGCAGTACCTCACCTTGTTTCTTGAATAATATCACAATGTGTTGTTACATAGAAAAGATAAGATAAGATTAAATAATATATACTTTATTGATCTCACACAGGAGAAATTTACATGTCACATCTGGCATGGATAGAAACACTCAAGATTGTGCAAAAAGAAAGAAATGTGCAAACATGTTAAAGGCAGGATATTATGTACAATAAAAAAGTGGCAATCAAAGCGTCATAAGTTAGATGTTGTGAACAAACATCTCATTAGAACACATTTTCAATTTATATTCTGGTGTATCCCTGGACCTGTGTGTTTTATGCATGTTTTAATGTATGTTTGTACGCATTTGAAAATAAATGAAAACAAAATATATACTGCGTGAGGCTGGTCATCTCTTTTTCACTTTTATGTGAAAAAACTGATCTACAGAGTGAAATGTGATTGAGGTTAAAAAAAAAATACATGCACGAGAAATCTAGTGATATAGAACCAAACTGCTTTGAGAGCGAGGAGCTATGAACTATTTTGCAATGTTTAATTGTTTTGTAGTTTGAAAGTCAGGCACCTCAGCTTTACTGTTACTTGAAGGCTCATTTTTGCAGACACAGATTTCTGCAGCTGCATCATGCCTTTAGGAGATGGGCCTTGTCCCAGAGATGAGCTTTGGTCCAATCCTCTGCAGCCGCTCTCTGACGTCAAACCAGACCCAGAGTCAAACTGTTCAAACGTTTCACAACAAGCTCCACGTTAATGATCTGCTACAGTCTGTAAAAGTCCTGCATATGAAGCTGATACTGATGCAACCGAAGCACCTGGCAATACCTCCACTGCAGTCAATAATAGTTATATAAGTTACTTCAGATGTACACACCTGAACGCAGACCTGTAAAAATATGGGAAACAACATTTATGAGGTTGTGCAATAGTTATGCAGGCTGTATTTCCGTGATGAAATTGTAGTCGTAGTATCCTTTGATGTTGCATTGAACAAGTAAATCTCAAATGCTGTTATGAAGTTAATTAATCTGTGTATTTCAACTTAAAATGTGGAACCAATTTCTTCAACTTGATGGATATAGACTTGTTACAGGCAAAAAATGACAAATGCCAAGGCTTTGTTTGTTATAATTTTGATGATTATGGCATTTTTCCAAACATAATAGATTTTTTATTTGGGTTTTTTTTACAAGCTGTGATCCAATTGTCAATATTACAAATAACGGGTTGATACTGTATTTTTGTATCTCACTTTGCATGTGAGATACAAATAAAATTGACTTTTGAGCTATATTATAATATTCACAGTCTCACCTGTATGGTACATTTTGTTAGCAGGGAATAAATAACTATTATAACTGCCAGAAGGATAATTTATCTACCTCTCTGAAACATATAAAAGCAAAAACATGTTTGGGTAGTCATCCAGATTTATGCTCATTATTTAAAGGTGTATTGTGCAGCTATTTCTTTTGCGGTTATAATTAATGCTGCTCCTTTTATTGAATCTTTTATTGATTTCCTGGCTCTTCTGTCCACAGGCATGACTTTTAAGCCAAATTATGTCTCTTGTCGTTTATGGATATTGAATGCCTTATGATGAAACAAAATGGCATTAACCATAACGTGAAACAATACAGCATTAACAACAACATTTAGATGGACCCAAGAATAAAAGCGAACCCTCTTTAATTGATTTCCAACCTTTCGTTTCAGTAACATCCAATTCAATGATTCTTGTGTAGCTCTAAATCACAACAGGGGTTATCTTAGAGAATTTTACAAAACTGCTGAATCGCCAACACAGGTCAGAGAATTGTGTAATAGTATTATTAAAGCTGGGGTTCTTAACTTTTAAAACACAAAGAATTTAAATAGGTAATAAAATCCATGCAACTTGCTCCTTGCTCTGAAAACAGCTTTTATCACTAGTTTTCAAAATGGGAAAAGAATCACTCTCAGCCCAAAGCGTCAAATAGTGACTGAAGCAGGGCTGTTTCTTATGACGTATGCAGAAGTGTACATATTTTCTAATAGGATGAAAAGAGCAAATTATGGTCTTATTTGTTCAAGACATTTCACTTTTACCAAGATTCTCCTGATGAGACAAACAACGTGTGTTATTCATGAGACAAAAGTACTCTTGCTTTAAAAGGAAAAAGAGAAGCACTGATATTTCCACAAAAACATCACGTCTTTCACGCTCTCTTTAGCGACATCTCTTGGTCGTGTTCTTACATTAGTTGAGGGAAAATGGACCACTGACCCCATGACTGCAGTCTGCCCACTCAGCAGATCAATACCACACTTTACTGTTTACTGCTGAAGCCAACGCAAACACCGCAATCCGCTCTACTTTGGTCTGTGCCAGTTTATATCTGCTGCAATTGTCAGGCTGGATTCACTTACACAGATGGATTAAAAAGATACAGTAGATAGATAGATATTAGAATAAATTGGCATCCAAAGTCAGCAAATTACAGTCAAAACAGTTTGTTTATCTCCAGTTTTTACATGCATTTATAATTGGCCTTCGTCACATCTTTAGATCAGAAAGAAACGCCCACAGCCCAAACCGTCAAATAGTGACTCACAAGGCTCTTACTTTGTGTAAAAGATATTGTTTTCTAACAAATTATTGGACAAACAAAATGTCTTTTTTATGAAGCAAAAAAGTTGTGATAAAATCAGGCAGCTCAATAAACTCTCACTGATAACAATTCCCAGTGAGAGCTGTTGCTGAGCGGTTGTGACTGGAAACACAGGAACACATTATTCTCCTGAGGTTTTAAGCCGTGCAGAAGTTGCAATAAATAGAGCCGTATGGAAGTCTATAAAGACAGACGGAGGGGAGATCACAGAGTCTGAGCCCAGTTGTCCTGGTCCAGATCTGATTCATTCTATTTGTTTTTTTTTTTTATCTCTTACTGACAGTTATATGCAACTGTGCACTCATCTCTCTGTCATAGATCAACCTAAGTCATTTCAGGTTACCATTTTCATCCGTGCACTGTGTATTTTTTTTTTTACTGCAGATAGTCCAGCAGCACAGCATATATTTTACATTTAATTGTAATTGCACTTATCTGTATAGAGACTACTTATGGCTATATTTTCTTTTCTATTTTAGCGACTTTTGTTTAAACCTGACTTTCTTCTTCATAAATAACCCCATTGTTTGTCCCAACAGAAAGTCTTGTAAACGTAAAATGTGAACAAATGTGAACATTTTTATAGATTGTGAGTATACTTGTGCATACTTATCCATGTGAGTCATTCTTTGAGGCTTTGGGCTGAGATCTGAGAGTAGGGCCCACTCTTTTTCACATTTCTGTCTGAAAAATCTGATCTAAACAGATGACAGAAGCTTGGCAAAATGTATCATTTTTATTATGACAGTTTTATTGCTGTGGTTTGAAAGGTTTGTCCCATTTATTTACAGACATTGGTCATCTGCAATCTGTCCCTTATTGACCAATCGTTCTATGTGTTTTTATCATTTCATTTCTTGTGCTTGAACTGTTGATTCTCTGATCTGTGTTGGCAAATTCATTGTTTTTGTTTAGTCCTCCGAGATAACCACCCTTGTTGTTATTTAGGGCTATACAAGAATACATTGAAATGAATTGAATAGGAAATTTACGTACCCTAGCTTTAATGTTGCTATAATATGTGTGAGTTATTGTGTAGAGGGACCAAAATGAATTCTTCTGTCAAAACAGTAGAATTTGAATTGGCACAATGTGTTTGAAGTGTGTCTGTTGTATTAATGTCAAACCATAATCAATGTATTGTTGTTTGAATTAAATCTCTTCTCAACTACTTTGAAAAATGTCCAATTTGAGTGCGTTCCGGCTCAACAACACTGCTCACCACAATCTTCCCATCATTATAAAGGTCTGCATCGTAGTCCCACTCGTTTGCATGTTCCTCTGCTGTATCTCCATCATGCTCCACACCTTTGCCTCCCACCGCCAGTTCCTGCAGACCTCTCGCTATGTCCTCTTCGCCTACATGCTGATCAACGACGCCCTTCAGGTCATATCCTCCATGGTCCTGTTTGCGCTGGCATTGTCTTTGACAGAGTTCCCTCTGGTCTATTGCATCCCATTATTGTTCGTCTCAACTGTCACTTTCCAAAACACACCGTTGATTCTCGCTGCAATGTCACTGGAAAGATACATCGCCATTGTCTATCCCTTACAGCGTCCTTTGGCTTGGCGTTCGGACAAGATTTGGGTTATCATGTTGTCTGTGTGGATAATCAGTTGCCTCATTCCACTCATTGAGTTTTGTATGGGCAAACCGAACCCAGATGTAGACCCTTTCTCCAGTCCAGTCCTATGCAAGACTGCACTAGTTAACACAAGTCCCATTCAGATGCTGTTCAAAGCAGCTCTAAGCATACTTTTCTTTGCAGTTGTGGCAGTGATCATCCTATTTACATATGTGCGTATACTGTTGGAGACGAGGAAGCTGAGGCAGGATAGGGCGTCCGTGAATAAAGCGATGCATACTGTCTTGTTGCATGGATTTCAGCTGGTCCTCTGTGTGCTGGCCTTCACTAGCCCCATAACAGAGACTTTGGTGAAGACACATGGATGGATACCGCAGGATTTGGCCTTCTTCAATTATTTCACATTCATACTCATCCCACGTTTTCTCAGCCCCCTCATTTACGGATTCAGGGACCAGAGCCTCCGGGCGTGCATGGGGAAGACCCTCCTGCTGTGCACTCATAAAATTAGCCCCAATAACAAGTGATGGCTATAGATACATTAAGGTTGGGTGGGACGCAGAGGAGAAACGGCATTTGGTCAGTTTTTAAATGCCTTGAAAGAAATGTGTAGATTGTGTGTATTGTCATATAGGTCTGATGTATTGCACAATGTGGCCTTTATTTGAGGCGTCACAAATTCAAATTTAGTCACTTATTTGAGAGGGAAAAAACACAACTTAAAGGTGGAGAAACCTCACTTTTTTGTTTAATGTAATCATTGTACATATATTTGCTGTATAAACAATTAAGTATGTACTAATAGTGTCTATTTCTCTATAACTGTAGTTTTTACCTTTTGGAAGATGGTATGCTTTCCACAGTGCTCCACCACTGTGGTGGAGCACTGTCTACTCAACAGTAATTAAAAGTAAATCCACCTGCTGCCCACTCATGCAGCCACTGAGTCACTTCAAGGTAAAATGTGCAAAAATAGCAACTTTTGTTCAAAATTTAAATTTGCATAATGCACCTTTAGAATCAGAAATAGAATTAACAGACTGTTCTGAACTATAACCCCTGTATGAATGTGTGCCAAGCAACATCAATAAAGATTACTCCATTTGATTGTTAATTTTGGCTGCCCTTCATCCAGGCATCTGTGCCTGGATGATGCAAATATGAGGTCTACAGAGGTCTACATTAGAGGAAACTGTGCCAATATCTTAACAACCACATTTTGGTATGAATTTGCAACACAAGCTATAACCCAATTCTCACAGCACAAGCCCCTCATGGATCCCTCTGCAGGTGCTGGGTAATGGATCTATGATAAAACTGCTGGGTCCACAGGAGGATGCTCCATCAGTGACGACATTAACTGACTCGAGGATGGACCAAGGGGTCATTTATAAATAATGTATAAATGTGTTGATTTTATGCTGGAAAATATCACAAATATAATATGTGTAATTATATTCGAATGATTTAGATACCCTTCTAAAAAAAAATGGGAAATCAGGAATATAACGCACTGAATGAATATGTTTTGCATGATTTCTTTATACTTCAAATTATTCTACATTTAAATTGTATTCAGCAAAGAAGTGTAGATTTCACACAGAGGGACCTGACTAAATGCAACACAACATATGTCCACTAGGGGGCAGTGTGTTGCAAAGTAAGCGTTATTTGAAATGTAATGAGCTTTATATTTGACATGTAATTAGCTTTATATTATACCTAATTTCTCATCATTAAGACTGGTTCAGCTGGGTTGCACTTTTCGGTCATAATGTAGTGAGTTTCGCTGGATGTTTGAAGAGGCAGCACCGCGCGTGTGATTTGGGCAAACACACTGAGGATGAGGGGTGTGTGATCTCTGGGACAGTCTGACTCACTGAAGCCTGGAGCCTGGAGCCTGGAGCCTGGAGCCTGGAGCCTGGAGCCTGGAGCCGGGGCGGAGCGCACTCTGACCGGCCGCGTGTGGTGGAGATGGACCTGCGTCTGCTCCTCTGTCTGCCTCTGGTCTTCACGTCTCTGCCTCTTTACTGCGCGGAAATCTACACGTCGCTCGTCAACGTGAAGCAGGCGATTATTGCGGAGAGAAAACTGATCGATTCTCTTAAAAGTTACATTGAGCAGGAGTCACAGCGGCTGCAGGACATTAGGCGGTGAGTGGGCTTCAGACTGCATGGGTTGTTTTTGTATTTATTACAATAAAAGCATAAAGAGCATTATAAAGACTATAATCAGGCCAGCTTTGGAGAGTCTGGTCTCAATCAGCCAATCAAATCACTTTAAAGCTGGGGTACCTAACTTTCAAACCACACAATGTGAAATATATTAGAATCCATTTGAATCGCTCTCAAAACAGTTCAGTTCTTTGTTTTATTATAGTTTTCACATGCATGCATTTTTTAAACCTCAGTCACATCTTCAGATTAACTTTTTCCAGACAGAAAAGTGAGAAAGAGAGGACCACTCATGCTTAGACATCAGCTCTCCCCCCAAAGTGGCAAATAGTGACGGATAGAGCTCTGTCTGAAGTATCCAAGAACTCAGCATGTAATCGTTTTGTTTATTAACAACATTTTTATTTTACTTTAACTGTTGGGACAAACAGAATGTATTATTTATGAAACAAAAAATTTAGGTACCCCAGCTCTAATGCTAGGCTCTAATGGGATTGGTATCTGTGCTTTTTTAAGGCTCCTCCAGACAAACTTGTTTTTTGCTACTAAAGCCCTGTCTGAAAATGATGGAGTGCACAGATGCTATTCATTTATATATCCAACATTTTGCTTGAAAAAATACTTTCACAGAAGACAAGACATTGCTGCAACCATTTGGAGTTTGGGGCCCTGTTTTTAGGATTTGTGTAACTTGAATTGTAAAAATTTTATAACTTCCAGACATTTTCTCTGCACAGATTTTATGACAAGGCTTCCCATCTCCACTCTGAGGTATACAAGGACCAGGCAGCTGCTTTAGCTAACCCTCTGTTGGCTTTCACCCTCATCAAACGACTGTACTCAGAATGGCCCAATGTGATCTACAGCGACGAGGCTCTGGAAAACACCCAAGGTCAGCACGGCTATTCTCTCACACTTAAAGCCGGAGTAAGGCAAGGCAACTTTTATTTGTATAGCAAAATGTATACACAAGGAAACTAGAAGTGCAGGCCATAAACAGTCACAGTACACTAAAAGAATAAAGATAAAATCCTTGTTGTATGCACAGCTAAATAGAACTGGTTTTAACCTAGATTTTAATTCTGTCAGAGATCAGAATCAGAATCAGAATCAGAATCATTTTTATTGCCACGTGAGTAACAAAGTTATCACTTGGAAATTGTTTTGGCAGAGAGCGTGCCACTTCGCCATTTGCGGCGCTGTGTGCAGCAAGAAACAGCAGAGAGCAATAACATACAGTTCACAAACAATTGGATAGACACATTGTGCTTTTTATAAACCACGGATTTTTTTCTCGGGAAGAGCACCTCTTCGGCCGGCCCAATGTAGCTGTCAGAGGGGGGCGGGATCAGGGAGGGGGTGAGTAGGAAAACAATAAGGAATGGAGGGGAGGGAGGGAGCAAGATGGATAGGTAGAGGGAGGCGGGGGTGGGGGATCCTTGCTGAAGACTGAAATAGTGTGAGTTGTTGTAGATTGTGGGACCTTGTTTATGGCCTTGGCTGAGGAATGTGAGATAAGAGTGGAGAGAGAAGCCACAGGAGGAGAAAAAACACATCGCCTGCAATGTCGCAGTCAAAATCAGGCAGATATTCTATTAATTCCAATTAAGCCGAATTCCGGTGCCCTCAGACCTCCGTACACAGGGGCAAATCCAAGCCGGGTCAGAGAGATCAAGCCTGACAACAATGTCATTCAATCTCAATTCTAAGGTCTTATGTCCATCAAGTGAACGAGCTGCGAGGTCTTTGATCAACTGTTCCACCAACACCACTCTCCGTTGTCCAGACACGGCACTCTCAACCACGACACGGCTAAGCTCCTTGTACATCCCATCAATTTTATCGGCCAGCAGGTCGTGAATCTTGCGAACTGCCATGCCTCCGAATTTGTGGTAGAAGAGGATCGCTCCAAACCCAAACAGGAGGATTCCCGCCACCAAAAGAGATTGATTCTGTCTCACATTTTTAGGAAAACAGTTCCAGATTTTAGCTGGCAACAATCTTTTTTAAATATGATTAATACATACTTCAACCCGGATGAAGCAGAAGAAAATGGATGGATGGATTAATACATATTGTTTGTCCCAACAGAAAGAGTCTTGTAAAAGTAAAGTATTGTGAACAAATCCGACCACAACTTTGTCATCTTTGGCATCTTTACTTGTAAGATCCCTGTGAGTGGGATCTTACAATCTTTCTAGTGTGTATATTAAATTTTTTTGACAAACGCCAAAAATACTCTCATTCGAAAAAAGGTATCCCAGCTTTAAAGGAATATCACTAAATTGGGAGTTTGGCCTGAGAGCTCATTGGCTGAGTGAGTGGGGTTCTCGCTTTTTCACTGAAAGCTGAACTATAGAGACGGGAAATGCATGCATAATGAACCAAACTGAGAGATAGAACTTGTTAAAGAATTTATTCCATAGTTGCTTTTTTGTGGTTTTAAAGTGAAGTACCCCAGCTTTAAACAGATGGTGGTGATAAGTCGCTCTCTCTATTATCAACACCCCCCTTCACCATTTGCTTGTGCAGCCCTCAGATCCAGTTACGAGCGGGAAGGGTCTTTTCTGCCCCAACTGGAGGACCTCCAAGGAGCGGTGAGTGGGCTGCTGAGGCTCCAGGATGTGTACGCGCTGCAAGTGTCGGATCTGGTCAAGGGGCACTTCCTCACGCTGACCAACGGAGGAACCAGAGAGATTTACAAGCCCCATGTGTCTGTCCCGCTGTCTGGGGATGACTGCTTTATGGTTGGTAAAGTAAGTTGGACTGAAACTTGTAATTATTGATTATATGATAGGAGATAAGAGAAGCTTATAGGAAGCACTCAAAACAACATAATTAGCTGAAAAACATAATCTATTTATCTAAATGCTTAAAGATTGTTTTGCTAAAATATAAAAATATAGGTCGACTAGTACGACTACATACTTTATAGAAGAAGTTCACCATGCAAGATTAGCAATTGAATAGTCAAAAGTCCCAGAGCAACATACAGGTGAAACTTGAAAATGTACAATATTCTTCAAAAGTACATTTAATTCTGTAATTCAACTTAAAATGTGAAACCTCTTTATGATTAAAAAGTATGATCAATGCTTCAAATATTATGATAATTTCTTATAAATCTTTTCTGAGATTCTATAATTTACAGTTTAGCAACACTCAGACACAACCACAAATCTCTAAATATCTCTCAGTGATATTTAGAGATTTGTGATCAAAATATCTCTTGTAACACTTATGGTCTTGTGTGGTAGGAATCCTCACTGGAAAATCAAATGGAGATTTCCAATGAAAATAGTTCCTCTTCCATGCGTGTACAGTGGGAATTACTCAGGGCTGGGCAGACGGAGGATCTGTGAAGGCTAAATGGAAAAGTCATTATCCCTGCAGAGATTTCTTGACTCAATTTGCACCATGGATTGGATCTTTTTAATGTAGTTTGTGAGGCCAATTTCACAGGGAGTTAAGTATATGAGTACATGAAAAATCAAAGATGCTAGCTCTATTAGGAGCTCTTGAGCAGATGTGTGACTTTGTAGTATGGTACCATCTTATTAGTGCCTCACAGCTGGTTTTCTCAAGGTTCAACTTTATTGTCCCCTCAGGAAAATGTGTTAGGCTCATAGTGCTGTTGAACATACAAGACACTCTCAATGTCAGGACAATTCCAACATAAGAATATACCATGGTCTTAGCACAGTCCCATCGGTGCAAGGATACAAAAGACCACAGATAAAAATCAGTATTGCGTAATAAGCAACAAAGTACACACAGTGACGAAAGTGCTAGTATAGTGCAGATTAAGAAGTTCTTGCCCCAACAAAGTGCTTGTGACGTTGGAAGAACTTCAACTTCCACCAGCCAAAAAAGAAAAGTCACATCATGTTTTTTCCAGTGACAGTTTTCCAATTTTCAGAGTTAAATAAAGAGTTATAATAAAATATAAGCCACATACAGCCCATTCACAAATCTCGGCAGCCCATGGCTTTGCTCTGATCCAAGAATAACATATAGCTAGAAACAAACCTTCTGCAGACACAAAGACAACACTGGAAGCAGCTTTCATAGAATATATTTTGCTAAATAAAATGAAAAAGTCACCTGCCTTCTTCGATATATCCTGCAATATCACAAGGGGCCCCTCTGAGAAAATAATTGCTCATCCCTGTATTTTATCCTAAGCACATCAAAGCAGAAATTGTGTTGCCAATGGTCAATCTCTATTGCTTGGGCTACATACCATCTGTTGACCTTTGTGACAGGTGGCGTATGAGCAGGAGGACTACTACCACTCTGTGCCGTGGCTGGAGCAGTCGGTGAGTCTCTTCAGGGGACTCAACTGGAGCCCAGAGAACCAGGGCAGTCTGGAAGATGCCCTGGACCACCTTGCTTACTCTCATTTCAAAGTAAGAATAAGAACATCCATATAATTTCTGCACATACAAATATGACACTGATTCGGCTAATTTCTTTCAGACGGGGAATGTTTCGTATGCCTTGAGTCTCTCCCAAGAGTTGCTACATCACGGTACATTGCGTTGCCAGTTTCCCTGTCATAATCACGGTTGTAAAATATGTCTTCAGTTTAGTTTATCTATGTTTTACATTTCCAGATCCAGTGAATGAGCGTGTCCAGAACAATGTAGAAAAATATGAGAAGTTATTGCTGGTGAAACCTCATATTAATGGCAACAGGCTGCGGAGACCGGATTCAAAATACTTGAGAACAAGAGAGGTTTACGAGCGACTCTGCCAGAACCATGGGTCACATGTAATCAACTATTTATTTTTATTTATGAGCATGTAATATGAATAGGTATGCATTTAGAGTTCCCTCTTTAAAAAAAACATGTGCAATGGTAATGATATTTTTTGAGGGAAAAAGTACTTTATGTAGTCCTAAATCCTTCTGCAGTATTTGTTAAAGCTTGGGTACCTAACTTTCAGACAACAACAATTGAACCATGTAATAAAAGTGGTTTTACCACTATTTTTCATCATTAGATCAGCTTTTTCACACATAAAAGTGAAAAATTGAGGACTCCCCACACAGCTAATTAGGTCTCAGCCCAAAGTGTCAAATTGTGACCCTCTGTTAACTCCGGTCAATTATCATTTCTTTACATGTATGATATTCGTACGATGGTATGGTAAGACCAGGCTAGACCCACAGGGTTCTGCGTGTAATAGATTGTTGACAGTATGTTGTTGTCTGATTTGTTCACAACATTTAACTTTTACAAGACTCTTTCCATTGGGATAAACTGCATGTGTTATTTATGAAGAAAGAATGTACCCCAGCTTTAAGTGTTTTGTACCAGTTTGTGTCTCATTCTGCAAATACATTCAAAACTTGTGGATTTGAAGCCTTGAAAATAACACACAATAAACTTCAGATGTTTTTTTTGTTTTTTTCAGCCCACACATTTTCAAAACCCAAGACTGTTCTGTGACTACTTCAGCGGCGGTTCAGGCCTGATCGTGCGTCCGGCCAAACGGGAAATACTGAGTCTGCAACCGTTTGTGGTTCTCTATCATGACTTCATCACCGACACGGAGGCCGAGGACATCAAGAGGATTGCCCTGCCAGGAGTATGTGTTAAAATAATATATTTATTTAAAAAGAAACAATGGAGCCCACCATGCTGTTCCAGAAGTATCCCCTGTTTATATTATCCATGTAGATATAAAACTGTCCACAACCATGCTGCAGACAGTTTTTATCAAAAGCATCACATTCAATTGTAGATGTCAATTATTTTATTAGTGAGTTTTCGGCCACAATGCCTTCATTGTATTTTATTTTTCTTGAAGAACTTCCCTGCCTCTGCACATTAAGACCACACTTTGATGTGCGTTACTATTTCTCTGAAAGATGGAGTACAAATCTTGTTTTTTCCCCCAGAATTATGTTCTTCCTAACAGAAAGAGTCTTTGAAAAGTCGAGTATTTCTCATATTAGAAAACATTATGCTGTATCTATTGCTTACTTTTGCATAAAAAGAGCCCTGTGAGTCACTTTTTGATGCTTTCGCCGGAAAGCTGATGTGAGGGCGGTCCTCTCTTTGTTGCTTTTATGCCCGAAAAATCTGATCTAAAGATGTGACAAAGGCCTAAAATACAGTGATGCAACCAAACCATGTCATAAGAGGAATTGGTTTGATTTTTTTTAATACATAGTGTCACAAGCTGGCTCTATGCTTGTGTCAAAATGAGGGACAGACAGGTAGGGCCGTTGTTCTGCCGAGTTGTGCCGCTCTGCCAAAAAGTGACGCTTATGTAATGCTCAGCTGTTAATGATGTAATGCAAACCTGCGCGCATGCGCGTCTTAACCAAAGCATACCAAGATGGCAGACCGTGAATTGCTTTAAAAGTTGAAATACGAACGAATAAAGACACGAATGTCACTTTTAATGCAATTTGAGGCGAGATGTTGATGGTTCCGTTTTGTCACATGTGGGTTTTAAGAGTCAAAGTTTTGTGCAAAGTTTAGTTTAAGCAGTCAACTGCGCCTGTGAAACCACAAAGCTAATGTTTTCATAGCAGTCCGTGGCTGCTGACGTAGGCTGATGACGCGTCCTGTGGCAACTCTACACTCTTACACTGGTCTGTCGGGTTGATAATGGAAATAATAAATTTCATTCAATACATGTATCGTACTGTATTTAATATGATTAATTAAATATTTTGTTTGAACACACTATTGTTAGATTGATTTTTTTCCCCATTTTCCATTATCAACCCGACAGACCAGTGTAAGAGTGTAGAGTGGCCACAGGACGCGTCATCAGCCTACGTCAGCAGCCGCGGACTGCTATGAAAACATTAGCTTTGTGGTTTCACAGGCGCAGTTGACTGCTTAAACTAAACTTTGCACAAAACTTTGACTCTTAAAACCCACATGTGACAAAACGGAACCATCAACATCTCGCCTCAAATTGCATTAAAAGTGACATTCGTGTCTTTATTCGTTCGTATTTCAACTTTTAAAGCAATTCACGGTCCGCCATCTTGGTATGCTTTGGTTGAGACGCGCATGCGCGCAGGTTTGCATTACATCATTAACAGCTGAGCATTACATAAGCGTCACTTTTTGGCAGAGCGGCACAACTCGGCAGAACACCGTGACAGTGAGTATATGAGCAGTGGAATGTGTGCAAGTCAGTGAATGAAAACCAGTGTATGTGTGTGTATGTCTGAGTGTGAAAACAAAGCTAATATTAACAAATGACGAAACAAAGAACCAACGATCCCGTACCTGGAGGGAGCAGAGCAGAGACAGAGTGTTAGTGACACACACACACATTTAAGCACAGGTGCCCCAATCACTGGATCCACCCTGCCTGAGAGGGAAACGCCCCTGTCAGGCAGGGAGGGGCCGTGACACCCCCCTCCTTAAGATGAGGGTCCACCCTCAATCCAGGCATACGGCTCCAGTCAGTGCCTCTCATCCTTCACCAACTGCCAGCCCCCCCTCTCGGCAACCCTGGTACCTGGGAAGCAGTTTAAGAGTGGCGGAGTTGACAGAAGGCAAAGGAAACAAACAGTTACTACACAGGAGCACGGGAAAGAGCATCAGCAATAACGTTGTCCTTACCCCGTATATGCCTAATCTCTATATTATATGGCTGCAGGAACAGAGCCCAACGCATCAGTCTCTGATTTGGGTTTTGTAAGGACTTAAGGAACGTAAGGGGGTTATGGTCCGTGAAAACAGTCAAGGGGGTCAGACCGGAACCGATATAGACCTCAAAATGCTGTAAAGCCCAAATGAGACCCAGAGCCTCCTTCTCAATCACAGAGTAATTAAGTTGGTACTTACTAAACTTCCGGGAAAAGAAACTTACAGGACAGTCTATAGTGTCATCATTTTCCTGCAAGAGAACAGCACCTGCACCAATGTGACTTGCATCAACTTCAAGTTTAAAGGGCTTACTGAAATTTGGTGCTGCCAACACCGGAGCCGAACACAGAAGAGCCTTGACCAAAACAAAAGCCTCATGACACTGGGAGGACCAGGCAAACTCTGCCTTAGCCTTCAACAGGTTGGTCAGGGGGGACACCACAGAGGAGAAGTTCTTGCAGAAAGCACGATAGTACCCTGCCATCCCCAAGAAGCGCATAAGCTCCTTCTTCGTGGTGGGCTGCGGAAAATCCTTCACAGCCTGGACTTTCGCTTCCACAGGACGAACAAACCCCTGACCCACAACCTTGCCGAGATAACAGACAGTGGCCTTGGCAAACTCACATTTTGCCAGATTTACTGTCAACCTGGCCCACTCCAGTCTGTCGAACAGGGCCTGAACTCTGCAGAGATGCTCATCCCAAGTGTGTGAGTAGACCACCACATCATCGAGATAAACGGCACAACCTTCCAATCCCGAGACTACTCGATTCATCAACCTCTGGAAGGTGGCAGGAGCATTCCGCAATCCAAAAGGCATTACTGTGTAAGAAAACAAGCCAGACGGTGTTATAAAAGCAGCAATCTCACGAGCTCTTTCAGTGAGTGGCACTTGCCAATAACCTTTTAAAAGATCAAATTTGCTAACATACTTTGCAGAACCAACCTGATCAATGCAGTCCTCCATCCTAGGCAAAGGATAAAGGTCTGCCTTAGTCACATTGTTCACCTTTCGATAATCGGTGCAGGGCCGAAATGAGGAATCAGATTTCTTAACAAGAAGACAGGGTGATGCCCAATTGGAATAACAAGGCTCAGCAAAACCATTTTCCAGCATATAATCCACCTCTGTCTCCAACTGCAGTCTCTTCTCCTCAGACACTCTGTAAAACTTTTGCTTTATGGGCTTAGCCTCTCCGATGTCTATGTCATGTTCCATTAAATGAGTTTGACGGGGTACGTCCGAAAACAAAGACTTGTGTTTTTTAATCAGAGCGACTAATTGGTTACGTTTTGTAGAGTCCAAATGGTCCACCAAACTGCCTAGATTTTGCAACGTTTTAGAGTTTTTAAGACGACCCTTTAAAATCTCATCCGGAGCCACAGTCATCTCCTCCCCCCCCTCTGCAAAGTCCGAACAACCCTCAGCGACCGTCACAGCCAGCAATGCGGATCTCACAGTGCCGTCAGCGACCTGCCCAGGAGAAGGAGAATGATATGGTTTAAGCAAGTTAACATGATACAGTTTACAGGAACTTCGCTTCCCTGGAGTTTCCACAAGATAGTTTAAATCTGACACTTTACGCAAAACTGAGAAGGGACCTGAATACTTTGCCTGGAATGGAGAATTTACTAGGGGTAACAGCACAAGAACTTTGTCACCCGGAAAAAATTGACGCACAACACTGTCCCTATCATAATTTTGTTTCATTTTCTTTTGAGAAGATTCTAACTTTTCCTTAGCCAATTCACCGGCACGATACAACCTAACCCTGAACCCGTTAACAAAATCGATTACATTTTTTGGAGGGGCATCAGGCAAACAACCATCCTGTAATACACATAAGGGTCCCCTCACGCGATGACCAAAAACCAAGTCATTGGGACTGAAGCCTGTGCTCTCCTGCACCACTTCTCGGGCGGCCAGTAAGAGCCAAGGTAAGCCTTCTTCCCAATCCGACAAAAGCTCTGTACAATAAGCACGAAGCAAAGATTTTAGAGTTTGATGAAAACGTTCCAACGCCCCCTGGCTTTGAGCGTGATAAGGCGTTGACTTGTTATGCTTGATTTTTAACTCTTTCAGAATCTGAGAAAACATGTGGGAGGTAAAGTTGGAACCTCGATCAGACTGAATGACTCTGGGAATACCGAAAACTGATATGAACTGAGTTAGTGCTTTGACTACCGCCCTAGTAGTAATTGTGCGCAAAGGAAATGCTGCAGGATACCTCGTTGCCTGACACATGACAGTCAAAAGGTACTTAAATCCAGATTTTGAGGGTGGTAACGGCCCAACACAATCTATTATAAGATGTTCAAAAGGCTGCCCAATAGCAGGTATTGGGTACAAAGGCGCTGGCTTTATCACTTGATTTGGTTTACCAGTAACTTGACAAGTATGACATGTCCTGATGAACTTTACCACATCCCGCTTGAGACACGGCCAGAAAAAATGTCTGAGAATCCTGTCATAAGTTTTACGAACACCTAGATGACCTGCCACGTCACCATGTGACGTACGCAGCACTTTGTCTCGTAATGAAATGGGCACAACAGTTTGAAACACTGGATCCCCCAAACCCTGAACCCTACTTTGAATCCACTTCCTAACCAATAGACCATCTGAAATGAAATAACATTGAGCACTATCCCTCACTTCAGATTCCGGAACAACCTTGTCATAAAGACCAGACAAAGATGGATCGGACTTTTGCTCAGCTATCAAAACATCCCTAGAAACAGTTAAAGGATCTAACTGGAGTTTAACTGGCCACTCCAGATCCTCTGTCTGCAACTCTACCTCCCCACGACGAGAAGCTGCACGGGTAACTACACAACTAGGGAAAACATCAGAAGCCACTCTATCACAATCTGGACTCTTATCTGCAGAAGAAGTGGGAGGGTCTTTGAAAATGTGAGGGTTGCCATCCGCCCACACTTTACTACCTGCCAGATCATTCCCCATAATCATGTGGACTCCCTCTACTGGCAACTTTGGTCGGACTCCAACCACCACACTTCCCTCCACCAGCCCACAAGTTAACCTGATCCGATGAAGTGGTGAAGAAAATGGAACCAAACCCATACCATTAACCAAAATACAACTGCCCATGTCAGATTGTTTTGAAAATGGCAACACAGACTCTAAAATAAATGAATCTAGAGCCCCCGTATCTCTTAAGATTTTAATTGGGACTTTTTGATCTCCCTGTACTAGAGATACGGTACAGTCTGAAATAAAAGATGAAAAATCATCTTTAACTGAGGCACCATTAACCAGTTTACAACACTCATCTTGATGCTCAAACACCAAACTTGACTGGACTAGAGGAGCCGCCATAGCTGCAGGCTTCACCTGGCCTGATTTTCTTGCTTTTAGAAGGGGACAATCCTTTTTCCAGTGACCCTCAACAAAACAATATCTACAAGTATTTGCCCCAACTGACCCTTTGGAACTTCCATTACCAGACTCATGCCTATACTTTTGTGAACTAACCGGGGACCTCTGTGTTGGAGACCCAAACTTAGAGTGAAAACCCGTACTCAACTCAAAATTACTTCTGTGGGTCAAAACATAGTCATCTGCTAGCCTTGCTGCTTCACTAGGACCCCTGACGTTACGCTCATTAAGATAGGTGGCCACCTGTACAGGCACAGATTTTTTAAACTGCTCCAACACCATCAAATTGGACAAATCCTGGAACGTAACAACTTCCAACGCAGTACACCACCTATTGAAGGCAACAGTCAAATCACGAACAAACTCTGAATATGTTTGAGAATCCAATTTTTTCCTATAACGAAAACGCTGTCGATAAGCCTCGGGTACAAGCTCATAAACTTTTAACACTGCAGCCTTAACTGTAGCATACACCCGGCTATCAGCTACACTCAGTGATGAAAAAACCTCAAGAGCTTTACCTGTAAGGACACATTGCAACAACGTAGTCTTGTCCACATCAGACCAAGCTCTTGCGTCAGCAATACGTTCAAACAAAGTGAAATAAGTGTCTAAATCAGACTCATCAAACTTTGGCAACAAGCGAAGATTCTGTGCTACATCAAACTGTGGTCCTCTAGCCTCTGCCACAGGCCTGTTCACACTCCTCAGCCTTTCTAAGTCCAACTGCATCAGCAACAGCTCCCTCTGCTGCTCGAAAGTCAACATACTCTGGCTGGCCTGAAAACCTGCCCCTGAAGACTCACTACCAAAAACACCAGCTTCAATAAGACCCTGTTTTAACACAACCTTGACCGTCTCTTTAAGCTTCCTGTCCACCATTCCAATCTTGTAACGCTCTGCTATCTCAAGTAACTGCTCCTTGGTACACAAATCTAAAACCAACTCTGAAGGAGACTGAACAAAATCATCCACGACAGACATTTTTAATCAACTTTTCCACCAATATAAGATCACAACTCACCTGCTGCCGGTCTGGGTTTAGATTAGGAGATCCATCCCCCTATCTCAGGAAAAAACTAACTAGCTGGACCCTAGTCTTCTTGCGGTCTCTTATGATGGGTGTTATGCACTCGAAACCAGCAGTGTGAAACGAGGTAGAAGCTACCTCCTCACAACTACGGAGGTGCTCCCGAGCCGATGTAGGGGAAAGGGGAAAGGGATGCTCTACCCACGTTCACCGCCTAAAACAGAAGCACCACAAGCCCCCTAATGAGACCTGCTGATAAGCCTACCCGGGGAGGACTCCAATCAAGCACAACCCAGAACATAAGCCCAATGTGAGTTGCTAATCCTACAAACTAATGGAAGCAAAAACACTGCTCCTCTCCACACAATAACCAAAACCAATCTATCCCTCAACAAAAGTTTGACAAACTCAACTCACTGAAAGTACAGCCAAATTAACCAATAACTCTGCCAAACTACACAAATGCAACTTCAAAAGAACTGTACTAAAAATATTTCAACCAATATCCAATGTAACCAATCAGAAAAAACA